TTCACAGACCAAGGAGGTTAAATTAATTAATATGGAAGTGTCTGTTCTTTAATTTTCTGCCTTATCCAGTGTTCCTCCAGAATAAAGCCAGACGGGATGACTTCTGCCCAAGAAATCTGAAGAACATGCATATGGTGGTGGACAAATTAATGGCCCACTCTCATCTCAAATACAAAGGTGAAAAAAAACTCTTAATGTTTTAACTTTAGATGTTGTACGGCCAAAAAGGTGTAAAGTATATTATTGAAAGTAGTATTTTGCATATAGAATTTGCTTTAGAGATTTGTTTATTTAAATAGTTCCTCCAGATGTTACGTCGCAGCTAAAGTCATCCTGTAACATGTGGTTTGTCTTTAGGTACATTGTCCATGCTAGACAGCAACATCTTCCCTGGCCTAAGGCAGGACTATCTGACAGCTGAGGTCAACATGTTCCTCCTTCCTGTGCAGGAGAGTGATGGGGACGATAACCTGACCAAAGCAGGTTATAAAGAATTTGTCCAATCATAAGGCAGAACAAGATTGTCCTTTTCTATATTGTGTAAACTTGGAATTAAACATTTGATCATGTTTAGGGTCGGGAACATACCCGCTCTTCTCTCTGCTCCCCGGCTACAGAGGACACCCTTCCTTCTCCACCATGGTTTCAAAACTCCGCAGCCAAATACTTGCCATGCCCCGCTGTCAGCTTTCCCACACCATCCTCACTGAGAAGAACTGGTAAACATCATTCCCTTCTCTGCTGACTCTCTGTTCATCTACACTGAAGTTGGGGTGCCATTAAGGATTCTTTTTTATTAATGTTTTTATGGTTTAATAGAGAGGGACAGTTAACAAAAAGTGACATGCAGCAGTGGTCCGTGAGAGGAGTCATGGTTATGTGCCTCCGTTCAACTATTAGGATGCATCTCAAAATTCTATCCACTTTCACAGTTTTATTTTGTTTGCTTACTTAAACTCCAATAATCTAGAAAAGAGAAACTTTGAGTTTAGAGAAATGGTGTAATGGGCATCATTTCCATTGGGGGCTAACATAAGCTACTTTCTGTTCAGCTGAGAAAATTATTGTTTTAAAGGTGTTGATTTTACAGCACAGAGCTGGGAGAGGTCGGCAGCACACAGGGTGTGGTGATGCTTTGTCGTCTTACAAAACAAATACACACATTTAATTTGAATGCCTAATGTCATCCTGGGTCAAACACAGCCGAAGAAAAACGCCTGCAGACACCTCTCAAGGGTGAAAATGTTCTCTCAACTTAATTACATTTTTTTTCTTCTGGAAATTATGATTTAATAAGATTATTTGCAAATAAACCAACTATTACATATTGTTCTGATTAAAGTACAAGAAAGTAGATGGGAAAAAGTTTTAATTTAAACTTAATAGTGATAGTGCTCTGTGTCACAATGATTTAGACGCTAAGCCACACACCAAATATACTGTAGTGGCCTATGTTTGATACATGCCAGGGACCTACATTTATATCAAAATACCAGAGAAGTCCTTTGCTAATAAAATACAAGCTCTCTGATTAGAAAGGTGATTACAACATATGTGTTTGTTTGTTCTGTTTTTAAAGGTTTCACTACGCAGCTCGTATCTGGGACGGGGTAAAAAAGTCATCTGCCCTCTCTGAATACAGCCGCCTGCTCAGCTAACACCTCGGCTGAACTGCTGAAACATAAAACAGCTGTGAAAGCTCTTATGTCCCTTACTCTGGTCACATAAAGAGGATGTGACCCTGAAAGTGGAGAGCGATGTTTGCAACGTGCTCGAGGGACAGGACACCCCGTCAGTGACGAGTCGGATATATTGTGAGAAGACATCTTCTGCAGACTCTGGTGGGATTGAACAGCGTTGAACTGCTGGTACTGTAATTCAAGTCATAAAGTTGACTATCTCTGTCCTAAGGAAGTGCAGAGTTAAACAAACAACGATGCGATTCAGTTACATCGGTTGTGAGAAAAAGAAAGACAATTGTCTTTAAAGCAAAATGTAAAAAATTTTCATTTGCAGGCCATAACCGACAGCTGTATGTGATGTTGGAACTGCAATTTTGATGCACACTGAGATGAAAATATTGTCTTCTGTAAGCTATTGTTTTGTTTCTTTTAACAATCAATAAAGTGAGTAATTTTGATTTACTCAGACATAAAGATAAATGGACCTATGTTATATGTGGTTCTTTTTATGCATGGCGGATTTCATTCTTTCATGCAAAACTCTCTTTACAGGGCTAGGACTGAGTCCAAACCATCCTACATACTGTATTTAATTGTTTTAAATTGAATTGCCTTAAAGAAAGTATCCGTACCACTCCATTCCAATTATACATCTGAGGACGACCGTGAGTCACTGGAGCAACAGGTGCTTTGCTATTTGAACAACAAGGGCGTTTCTGTTGACAGCGGTTACATCGAATCCTGCCATACACTGCCCAGTAAAAACAAAATTGACAGCACCAGCAGTAAAAATCCGGTTCACCAAGAGGAACAAAAAACATGCACTCATCACACAAGAAAGGAAATTAAAAGGGACCGACGTCTACATCAATGAACACCTGACCAAGAAGAACGCAGATATCGCAAGGAGAGCACGTATACTGAGAAAACAAAACAAGATTCAAACAACATGGACTTCAAACTGCAAAATATTTATCAAACTGAATTGACCCACACCAGAGGCAGCAGAAGTGCTCATCGTCAGGGACATCACCGAGCTTGATAAGTTTGAGGTATGAACAAAGAAAATCAACACAAAGTAACTGAATACACACTGAACTGAATACACCTAGAACAGTGGTGTCCTAACTTTTTTTCTTGCGGGCCAAAATTGTCGTGTTAGAATCACTCGCAGGCCACAGGTTTTGTTTTTTAAAATAATATAGTAAAAGCTGTAGATTAAAAAAAACAACAACATACATGTTACTGAACTGAAATATTGTTCAGCCCTTGTTAACATGAAAAAGAAAAATAAGATAACATGCCAATCTTAATCAAGGCCTCGGGCCAAAATCTTCTGATTCTTCTTTTGAAGTCACGGCCGCAAAAAATCCCCTCAAGGGCCGCAAATGGCCCTCAGGCCGCACTTTGGACACCCCTGACCTAGAACATCCATGACAAGCTTGGACAGAAACCACCTTGCTCATATGAAAAACTGGACTCAAAATGTTTTGAATTACAATTTGGATACTGTTTAAGCAAAGACATTGCAGATGAAAGGTGCTCTGTGTACATTTGCATTGCAAGTGAGATCCCATCAAGAAGTCATTGAACACTCACTCATTGTCCAGGTGTGAATATCTCTGCTTAAAGCTATAATATCTGATAAGATCACTCAGGACACATTACCAATACCAGGTCTGAAACCCCCGACCAGACCATCAGATTGAAGGCATTTTGGCCCTTAAAAGAGAGTTCCTTGAAATCTTTGTTTTTTAAATCTTAACAATAGTGCCAAATATCTGAACTCATGACCCTTGAAATCAGTTCTTGAATGCACTCTTTGTTAAAATATTGAGAGTTGAAACAGCATTAATCAGAGGTGTGGACTCGAGTCACATGAGTTGGACTCGTCATCAAATCTGTGACTCGAGTCCGACTTGAGTCACAGATTTCGAGTCGACTCGACTTGACAAAATCATGAAAGACTTGCAACTCGACTTGGACTTCAACACCAATGACTCGTGACTTCACTTGGACTTGAGCCTAATGACTCGAAAATACTTGAGGTTTTAATGTTATTTTAGGTCCCATATATAATTTCCGCGATGCGCAAAACACGGACGGAATCACGGAGTTTTACAATGAAAATATAATGAACTGTGAACAGAATATCGTGGGATTTGCCTCAATGTGGGTGTGATTTATTAAAAAACCCTACGTTTTTATACCAAGTGTTTTTATAAAATATATGAGGAGTTTTACGCGCGTTTGGTACCTGCAGCTTCTCACTGCTGCTCCTCTTCTGTTTACATGTTGCAGGCGCGAGCTGACACATACACATACAAACACACACGCACGCGCACGCACACACCGGAACGCCAGCCATCGCGCGCACCTATTTACTTTTAGCGCAACACAGTCCGTGATCTGTATGGACCTTAATAACTACGGTCAATATTGACCAAGTCTTTATGCTTTCCCCGTTCTCTCTCACTGTGTCTGCATACTGTATTTATCAACAATCAGCACATTGAAATTGGTAGGCTGTTATCTAACAGCCTGCTGTAGTCTGGGAACGTCTTCACAAACACTGTAAAAAAAAGAGGGCGCAAGGGTGGCCTTGGCACTAGGCATACTACTTTTTTAAAAATAAATAAAGGCGAGCTAATTTATATTTTAAAATGTCTCAATTTCCTGACATGATCTAATAAAATGACCCAAATCAGTGATCTGATCTAATGGAACACACCATTAAACACAGAATTCAGTCAAATAAAAATGGAATAAACAAAATTAAGAAAAATAAACAAAACAGAGTCAGTCACACTGGTACTCTTATTTTATTTTAAGAAGTAGGTTAAATAAAATCATATAAGCAATCATGATTTGTGTAACTGTAACAAATTATTACTCTGTTAAAATGGCATTTAATTCGGTGAAGAGAGCTAATGACTTGTTTAGGACTCGAAATTCAAAGGTTAGGACTTTTGACTTGACTTGAGACTTGCCTGTCTTTACTTGGGACTTGACTTGGGACTTGACTTGGGACTTGAGACCAAAGACTTGAGACTTACTTGTGACTTGCAAAGCAATGACTTTGTCCCACCTCTGGCATTAATCCACCAATGAGAAAGCACTTAAAAGTGGCAAGAAAATACATCACTGAAGAATTTCACTAGAAACAAAACTATTTTGTGAATAGCCACCAGCTGTGGCTGGCACCAAGAGACAGACATGGAGACAGAAAATGAAGGCGTGGTCTGAGGCTGAAGAAGACGCCTCCTCATGAGGGCTACTTATAGGTGAGATTGATGAAAATACAACTCACTTGTCTCCAACCATCACACAATGAATCTCCTCGTACTGGTATTTGGGGTTATGCTTCTGCATGAAGGCAAGTGTTTTGTTCTATTTTCTGCTTTTTCAACAGTTTAATCTTCTAGGAAAGGGGGGTTGTATCTTTGTTTTGCTGTTATTGTGTTACATAGTTACTAGTCCTTGCAGTTTGTACTGTTTGCAATATAATCCTCGTTTAGGGGCAGTTCTAATTTGGACAAATTTACTCCAGAGTTAGGGTGTAAATATTTTTGTGTCCATCCCTCTTAAATTTTTTTGTCTTTGACTTGTGTGTTTTTTAGCCTACACTCTGAAGTGTTATGAGTGTGTGCCTAGGTTCCAGGGAAACTGCACTGACAAGATGATAGAATGTCCTATTCAGGGACAACAGTGTGGAGCAGTGACGATCCGGTATATCGCAGGTATTTTTTTTTGCATTGTTTTTATTATAAAACTACTTTTATGACAATGTCACAGGATTAAAGTTCTCTGTTGTTACGATGGATTTCCATCAATTTCATAATTGCAATAAAGTCAGTGTCAATCAGACAAAAACAAAAGTCGAACAGAATAATGGTTAGTAGCCTAATGTCAGGCTTTTATTCTGTAACACAAGTGTAGTTTCGTGTTTGTGTGACATTTCAAATATACAGTCAGAACTTTTAGCTGCTACGTGAAGTCTGCTCGGCATATAGTAGGCTAGGCTTGTGGTAGCGAACATCAGCGTGCACCACCCGTCATGTCCAGACTTGCACGGATTAAGAATACAGAGGCCCGAGAGGCCCCTAGCCACAAACTCTATAATATAATATAATAGTGTAAGCGACGTGGGTGTATGTGAAGGAACAAATCAGTCCAAACATGTTCTGGGTCTTTCTCATAACTTTAGTCAGCTTCTCCGACGCACATTTAGGTAGCCCACTAGGTGGCCTACCTAATAACAGGATATTAACATTACTGTAAACACTAACCAAAATTATAGCAATCATTTAAGAACATACTAAAATATTCCCATAAAGAAAGAACATAATAAACATATGTTTCTAACTTATTTGCATATCCAATTTTCACTCTTACAATAGCTTTCAATGAGTTTAACCTGAAATTATTGTCAGTGGTTGGGCTCAATGCATCCTAATTCAACAGATGAACTAAAAGCAATATATATTTTTTTAAATCAACAAAATAGAGTTAGGAACAAAAAAGAATCCTTTTGGTTACAATCCTGAAATGAGAGATACCTGGTCCTCGCTGCAGCTGAGGACCAGGTATCCCCCCTACCCCCCCAATACATTTGCAATCCAATAGTCCAAGTTGCTGTTTGGTTTTTTGTATTTTATCTGATGGAAACACCTGTAGTTTACAGGATTTACACTAACAGGCTAAAGCCTATGATCACATACACATGTAAAAATTATACCATAGCATTAGTTTACAGTGTATAGCTCAGCATGTATGCAAGCACATACCCACCTCCACCTATTCTGTTCTATGATTCAGATTCCCCCCCGCTCTATTGGACTTGGAGGTGGATCAGGTATCCTCCTTTCTAATACCTGGAAATTCAATAAGCTCTCTCACACACACACACACACACACACACACACACACACACACACACACACACACACACACACACAAACACATACACACACAAACACACACACATAAATGAACGCTGCCTTCAACTGTGTGGTGTGTGGTGAACAGTAAAACAGTGAACAGTAAAAATTACCAATTTTTTCTCAAAAATGAAACCCTAATATTACAGAATGCATGAATTTTGTAATGGCTATGAGATTAAAAAATGGGACTTAATGGGACATTTTGTCCTCAAGTGACTCAAGAGGTAGCCTACATTTTAAATCTGAACTACACAAAAACTAAGAATGCATCAAAGTCAATATTTTGGCTAACCGTTGACATATCCAAGATTGATAAAAAAAAACTCCCCCAGCCACTCAACATTTGTTATATTGAAAATAACAAATTTTTGTGTTTTTTTCCATAAAAAACAACTGTGACATCAAGTTATCAAACTGGCATTTAAAGGGTTAAAATCCTCAAAATAAATGAATGTTTTGAGCAGGGCTGAAGCAGTTTTTTTTGGAAGCAGACATTTTTGTCCTTAACTCAAGAGGGAAGTAAATTAAACTGATGCCTGAGGGTTAACAGGAGCAGTAACAATGTGCGCTATTCAAATGAGGAGTTGTCGCTCAATGGGAAGAGTATAGAAGTGCATTGCACGAGATCCTTATCTGATTATTACGAGATCCGGTGATCAGCACCACCATACACTGATGGTGCTGCAGCACCTGCTAGTCGGGGGGGGGGGGGCACTAAGTTTAAGTATCTAAGTTTCATTATTTGCTAAAGGTGTACTGTCAGTAACAGAATCGCTACGAGCTGCTTGAGCTGCCTGAGTTGCAGGTCAGTCCTCAGTTCTATTACTGCTAGACCTGTCTGCTGCCTTGGACACAGTTAACCATCAAATCTTCCTATCCACTCTCTCTGCACTTGGCATCTCAGGATCTGCCCTCTGCTAGTTCGTGTCCTACCTCTTCAGGCGATCTTTTAGAGTGTTGTGGAAGGGAGAGGTGTCCAAAGTGCACAGTTTATCCACAGGGGTGCCCCAAGGGTCAGTGCTTGGTCCCCTTCTCTTCTCAATATTTACAAGCTCACTTGGTTCAATAATTCACTCTGATGGCTTCTCATACCACTGCTATGCTGACGATACCCAGCTCTTTCTGTCATTCCCGCCAGACGATGTTACAGTCCCAGCAAGAATCTTGTCATGCCTTGTTGATATCTCTAAATGGATAAATGAACGCTGCCTTCAACTCAATCTTTCGAAGACTGAGCTCCTTGTCATCCCAGCCATTCCCTCTATGCAACCACAGATCAATATCCAGCTTGGAACAACCAAACTCATGCCCACAAAGTCTGCCCGGAACTAGGGTAGAGCTATCAAGAACAGCCGCCAATGTTGTGCTTTGCCTCTGTGCAATGCCTGTCAGCACCTGTGTGTCTGATCGTTTGCACTAACTGACGTTGTTTCCTCTTTTCTAGACCCTTGCTTGTGTTGAACTTACTCTCTGATGTACATCGCTTTGGATAAAAGCGACTGCTAAGTGAATTGTAGAATTTGTAAAGTAGGGTATGTCTGTCTGTGAATGGCTCAGTGAGTAAGTGCGCATGTGTGTGGGTTTTGGAGCGAATGAGGAGAAGGGGAATGGAGGCGAGTGTGAGTGTTTGGTCGTTGTGTGCAAGAGTGGCGTTGTTGAGCTGTGTCAGAGCAGAAAAAGGAGTCAGTACCCTATCTGAAGTGTATGTACAGTTTGAGCTATGTGTGTGGCAATAAAAGGCCCGACTCCTCAAGAAACAAGCCGGACTCTCTGTGTCTGCTTTTGCTGCTCCTCAGTAAAAGTGCTTGAGTGCTACAGTGCTTAACTTCAGCCCTGGAGCAGACCAATAAGTCTACCCTGTGCACTCTGACCATGGTTGGAACGGCGAAGCAGAAAAGGTTAACACTCTATTTCCAATAATACAGAATTTTCACGCTATAACATACTGCCATATAGAAAAAACAAGAATAAAAAAACTAAAAAAGGCAAAGGTTGGTTGGTGAGGTTTTGGAGTACCCTTGTGGTTGGAGGCTCCCAGGCACTGGCCAAATCGGCCCGGTTGATAATCCGTGCTTGGATTTTTGGCTTTAGTGCACAACTTTATTTACCTGACCAAAGTGAAATACCGGAGAACATTATTCCGTATGAGGAAGTGTATCATCAGTCCAGTTTTATTACCTGCAGACAGGGCAGGCAGTCATGGAGTGCTCCGCTACCGGACACAGTCAAGACAACAGTTGATACACATTACCCCCTACCTTACAAAGCAATGCAACATGAATCACTTTTAAACTGTACTGTTTGACAACACAATTCTTACATGTCATATTAGCTCAACAAGCTATCACTAGTTTACTTTGTTACACGCGACTGAGTGGGTGAAAGTTATAACGTAGGCTACAGTACATTACACATTTAAAGATGCTTTCTTGTACCTGTCTATTTGCTGTTTCTTTCACTTTGACTAAATTTCATAATTGTGAAAATTATTCTTCTTACTCCACTGAATCTATGGAACATTTTAGTTTGTTTGCTAGTTACTTCTCAGATTTAGATTTTTAAGGCAAAATAGGATGAATACATTATTTGTCAAAATATCTTCATTTTATGCCCTGGAAATTCACAAGGTATTCAGATATATGTAGGCCTATGTAAATAATTAAATAAAATGTATGTTACTCAAGTGGGATTAGCTCCAGATGTAGCACTGATAGCAAAATGAGGCTTAATTTTAATAGCTACATTTTTCCTTTTAGGGAGAATCCCCCCAGACTCCCCTAACTTATTTTACACCTGCTGTGACTGTTAATTTATATAGGCATACAATGAACTTGACTGTAGGTCACATTTGTTAAAAAGATGCAAGGTCATATCTGTCACCCTAGATCATGAGTTTTTAAGAAAGAAAAATGTGTCAGTTCAAATTGGTTTGCTTTAATCCCTGCAATATTAACAAAGGCTTTTTCAACAGGTATTTTACAAACTGAAAGCTACATGAAGTCATGTTTCTCTGCTGATCAGTGTATCGAAGGCTCGGTCAACTATGATGGCAGCAGGACTGTAATCACCAGCAAGTGTTGCACCACTGACCTCTGCAACACTGAGTTTGCCCCAAGTAATTACTTCCTTTGTCTATTGCTATTTTTTTCTCTTTTCACTGAAGCTATTTTTCATATTAAAAGCTCCTGTGAGGAACTTTTAGTTTATGTTGATCGTGGCAAAGAAAGCAAGATTATTTTATTCCCCTTTTGTTTTAAACATTAGTCACTCTCCTCTTATCTCTTTGCTGATCTGGTCCAGAACATGAGTGAGTAGTATTTGAAACAAAAGGGGGAAAAAAAACCTGCTTTCTTTTAATTGTCAAAGGTTTTATTTTATCCAGTATCTTTGCCTTGAAAAATGTATTTAAAAAAAATTGAATACAAAGGCTGATTCTGCAGCGTGCTGTTGGTCACTTCGTCTGACATCTACCCCCTGACAGCAGTTTCGAGCATCGACAAATCCCTATAAACTTATAACCATTCTTGTTGCTCATGGCCTCTTTGCTTTTGTAGCTCATAATCAATCAATATTAAAGTCAGTCCGCTCCATAACCAGTTACAAACTCCCTACAGGAGCTTTAAAATACTGGTGAAAAAACAAATGAATGTAAAGAATACTCCTTTTAAATGAATGCTGGAATCATTGTTAGCTTTTTCTTATAGTTTTGTCAAAAAACAAGTCTGAAGAATGATTTAAGAATTATTATTTTTTTATTCATGTGCCTGCATTATATTGTAAATATGAGTGTTGTAGGTTGCTATGCCAATACTATATCAGAATCTGTGACCTTAATTCAGAAGCCGACATGGTCAGAGATACAAAACTCAAATTCCCAGACGAGTGAGGAAAAAAACATTTCCCTCGACCACCAACTGCTATTTAGAAGCCCATGGGCATGAAACACCCAAATGCCACAGTGGAGATGCTGCACAAAGCAAAATGTTACTGGTGTGTGTTTGTGTGTGAGTGAGAGAGAGATAGAGAGAGAGAGAGAAAGAGAGAGAGAGAGAGACAGAGACAGAGACAGAGACAGAGACAGAGACAGAGACAGAGACAGAGACAGAGACAGAGACAGAGAAAAAACAGAGGGAGGGCATTTTCTGGCATCAAAGTTTAATCAGCCAGTTTGTTTTTATTTGTCAAACCAGCAGCTCCCAGCACATCCGTCCCCAACGGTAGGAAGTGTTTTGGTTGCATTGGATTTAAAAAGTGCACTTCCACTGTAAACTGCCAGGGGACTGAGGACCACTGCATCTCAGCGTCAGGTAACAGTCCTGAATTCAAACATTTCTGATCCTCATATTTCCTCTGCTCAGGTTATGAAGTAATTGTAGGAGGTATGATAAATCAAAGGTTGCACACTAACATTGTTTTCATTTTGTCAGCGGAAATAGGAGATACACCGATGTTCAGTAAGGGCTGTGCCTCCAAGCAGATTTGCACAAATCATCCAAAGATGATAGAACACTTGGGAGTAGACATAAGCTGCTGTCAGGGCGACCTCTGCAACAGCGCCAGCACCTTGAGAGCCGGTCTCCAGCTGCTGCTGCTGCTGGTGCCACTGCTCACTTCTGTCATGTTGTGTTAAAAAACAGTACGACACAGCTAAACACTTCTCATTTCTCCCCTCAACCCTCTTTTATTCTTTCAAGTAAGGAGTGAGAGAGTTCAAAGTTAAGCATTAAGTAGAGCTTGGATCTTTAATTGTGTGCTTAAATACATTACAACTGACTTATTATCTCTTTTTTTGGTGGTGGCATAATCATTTTTGTTTTTCACTGAATATCTGTCAACAAACACCCCTCTGTTGTTTCTCTTTAATGGCAAAAATATATTGTTAAAAAATATATTGGTTTTCTGAATAATATGATAATATTTACAGTTTTTTCAGAAATATTAAGATGTTATTGTTAAAAAGATAAACAAACCGTTTTCCTAAAATTCTGTGTTTCGGTGTTTTCTTTGAATGTTCTCAGTTTATTAAAGGTCTGGTTTGAAATGAAAAAATGTTCATGTGTTGCTGAAATTTAACCATTTACAATACTTATATCTAATATTAATTAATGGAATAGTATACAGTAAATAGAGATTAAGGTGCACAAAAAAGAAATCAGGTTCCTCCTTCTGTATTTGCTGATTCCAGAGATTTTCCGTTTTTAAACTGTCGAAATACTGAAAATAGTTCTAATAAAAATTAGTATAAAATATACTTTGAATCGGTTGATCAGCAGCAAAGAGACCATTTTCAGGTTGTGTACGAAATCACACACTCATTCACTCCCTACTCGCTGTATGGGGAATTCAATGTAGTGTGGACTACTGTATATATTGCACACATTCAGCACAATTAAAAAACAATTACACGCCTGCAGTGACGTCATCGATGTCACACAACTAAATCGCACAGCTTAACGCTGGCCGAGGATCAACAATAACGGTCATTTATAACGGCATGAGTTTCTAAATAATATTGTACTGTCAGTATTTACTTAAAACCTTTTGAAAAATGAAATACTGAATAATTAATCACATATTTTCACACCAAAGCTAATTTATTTGTTCTTAGCCTACAGAACCTATAATATGGTCTCATGCCTGCATCATCATTAGAAAAAACTAACGTTACTCCGTTAATTCTTTAATCTTTATTAGAACAGCTTCAAGATTTCAGTAAAAAATGCCCCGATACTGTATATATGATTTTATTTGTTGTTTATGTGTTGTGTGTTCACGCTGGTCGCTCCTCTAGTCTGCCTGGGAGCAGTCAAAAGTCGCTTTCTGCTGGCAAAAAGATTTGAATTGCAATGCAACATGGTATATAATGCTTGGATAAAGTTGTACACACTACTTTTCATAATGCAGTGTGGGATACAGTGGACTATAGGGTATGACAATGCTCAATCAGAATTAGGACACCAAATGTGATTTTGGACCCAGACCCAATTACTTTAGTTTCCACTGTTGAAATGTGGTTGTCCAACAATAACAGTAAATACAGAAGTAAAAGTAAAAGCATCGGCGCCTGTTATTAACAGGAATTGAAAGTCAAAAATAATCAGCAGACACTAGTTTTTATTTAGTCCTCAGCAGTGCGATGAATTCTGTGTTCACTTAGGCCTATTTAAATCCAGTTTTAGATTAAGACTTCACAGCAGAAATAGTTCTTGTATTTCACTGTATCAAACAAAAAAATTAAACAAGTATAAAGAGAGATTATAATGTTCGCATTTTTGTTGGGATGGTCAGATTACATTTTGAAAAGTCTAGGGGGATTTCTGCATGCTTATTAGGACCTCCCTAAAGATCAAATGAAAAGGACTTAATCATTCATGCACAAAAGTAGACAAAAACAGGTAAAATAAACTAAATAACACAAGATATAATTAACAAAAAATTAATATAAAAACAAGAAGGAACTCAAGAACATATAACAAAAATAACATATAACAAAAGTAAAAATGAACAACATTGCTAACATGAGCACAGAATCTTCTACAAATAACTAAGAAGTAGTTCTGACTGATAAGGTGGTTTTTGGGACCTTTTAAAGAAATAAGATTTTTAGAAGGGTATGTACTTTCCAATGCGATGGACCTGCGTAATGTTTGACCTAGAGTGGGCTTAATGAAAGCAGTGCAAAAAGCAAACAAGACTGGTAGAGTAATTGTGAACTTTTGAAGTAACTGTGACTATTTAGAAGATTCATTCTTCACTGAAACACAAATGAGCAAACCTGGTGCACATTTATTTTATGAATATTAAGCTATTTTAGATTTTTGAACAAGGGTCCTCAGCTGACAAGTGGATCACAAAATGTCTCCATTCTTACAAAGAGTTTCTGTGGGGTGACATTTGTTGAAGGTTTGTTTTGAAGGTTCTTTGTCTATATTGCATTAAGACAGAAACAAAACTATAATTATTATTTTTATAATTAAGTTTTTTGTCAAAATGAGAACACCCACAAACATAATGTGGTTAGAGCGTGTTTAGATAGAGCAAGATTAAGGCTTATTCCATGTCTGTTCTTGTGCACTGACAGCATGCAAGTGTTTTCACATTGAGAGACAGTTCACAACATTTTCCTCTCGTGTTCATGAGATACAAATCTCCATGAAGTTTACATTTTGAATCAACAAAACAAACTGAACAAATAATGTACAATCTGAGAAAAGCACATTTATTGTGTAAACCAAACATGCACAAATTCTATGCTGAAAGCTGATAAACATTCAATTAAAGAAGTAAAGATGTTTGAATGCATGTGATGGAAAAATACTGAAACATACTGAGTGTGTAACTGAGTGCTGTGCTCATCTAATGGTTAAGTGTCTCAGTGAAAATTGAAATTTGGTGGTAGCATTTGAAAGATGGAGAAGTGAAACAATTCTATGCTGTATTTTCTGGACTGAATACACAAACTCTACTCAAAGAAGAAAGCTTACACTTCTTTTAAGAGTGTTTAGAGTGTACACTTCTCCGATTTTCACAACAGAGGGATGTTTTGTTTAGAGTGTACACTTCTCCAATTTTCACAACAGAGGGATGTTTTGTTTAGAGTGTACACTTCTCCAATTTTCATATTTCTCTATCAAAACTCCATAGCGCACCTTTAAAGATCAGTGTGAGTAAGCAGGTTTCTTTGAGGATGGCGGAGAGATGGTACAACCGAGGGCCTCTGGCATACCAGAGAAGAGGTAACTTCTCTGTTGCTGAGCAGTATGACGTATGTTAAGTGAAATCTGTAGAGCTTAAATACTGAGACTTCCCTCTATTCGGGGAGATCCTCTCCCACCACTTTGTGTTGCGTGAGATCCTGTGCACTGCTTGAATAAAGAGACGCTGACTTCAAAGTCCTCATCGGGAGTGGGATGTTACTTTTTCAGCCACGGCATGCCTGACCAAATCATTGTATTCACTGGAAATCTTTTATAGCCATTAGCCTTGCACAACCACTATTATATATTAATTTAAACACTTTAGTTATATTAAGATTCACCTCTGTACAGTTGTCATGAACAGCAAAATATTTACAGACACCAAAACCCTTTTGTGTAAGCAGGCTGTATATTTTGTATCATCTGCTGTGAAGTTGGGCATTTAAATATGGAGATGAATGGGTATTGACTCCTTTTTGGAGCAAGCCTCAAGTGGCCCCTCAAAGGAAGTGCAGTTTTTTTCATGTCATCATCATGTTGGCTTCATTTCTCAGCCTGGGAAGATGTTGCTTTGCTCTAATCATCAGAGATCCACTTTAGGCGTTACAGCGAGTTAAGTTCTCCTGTTACTAGATCACAAATGAAACATAAAACACATCAACTACATGAAACACATAGAAAGTCACTTTAGTACAGGTGGCTGTGAGAGTAAAACTCACTTCTCTGGGGATGGAAAGCGCTGTTTGAAGATTTGAGTGTCACATTTAACAGTGGATGTGTTGTTTCTGTAAGAGGAGGACAGAATCACACAGTATCAGGTTTTGGCTGTGTTTTCATCAGGAGTGTGTAATGTAGTGAAAAAACTGAATCAACACTTACACAAATCGGACACTGAAGTTTGAAGTTTCCCTTTGTTGTCTGTAAGGGAAATAGTTATTTTACTCAATTGATATTTTCAAAAAATGTCTGCTATGTTGAAAGCAGATAGTTATCAAATATGGTACCTTGAAAATCGGCTCCAAAATGACTTCCTAGAATCAATTAAAACAAAATCAGACGTTTTGACAACTTAAACAGAAAGAATGTGAGTGGTCAAATCTAAAGTCATCAACTTTGTTCAACATCTACCTAGGGTTCCTCTCGTTTTGCCATCCGACACGCTCATCCTTTTCTCCCCTGGAATTATAGCAGTCCAAACATGAGGCACTTAATCTGATCATTCAAATAAATATAAAGGCTACTTTTTGGTGAACCTACCAGGTCGCTGGTCTTGCTGGTCTATCGAGGCCTTCATGATGTCTAATGAGCATTTGGGCAGTTTATTATTAAGTAAAACAAGGTTAACAAGCTGTACAAAGAGCGTGGCAGATTAGTGATTTTATTTCACATGACAACACGAGACTCTAGCTCTTCAGCCATTCAAAAAAAGGCTTGCCTGGATATTCGACCCCATAGTGATCTCCAAGGAAAATTGTAAAAGCAGAGATAGAGATTTATGTTGCTTTTCAGTAGAAGCAGACTGATATCTGAAATAAGAAATAATGTCACACCTTCTCTCAGGTCGAGGTGGCGGTCTCAGCTGGTCATCAGAGTGCTTCCTGTTGGTTAGAACGTATTTTCATTAGGACCTTATTAATGTTAATTTTGACATTGTCTTACCAAAGAAAAATATCTTCTATAGCATTGATTTTTCCTATACCTTCTCCTGCAGATGATGACTCCAAACACTGTAGCTGTTATGATTAAAATCAACACCAGAGCTGAGACTGGAGTCACTACTGGGAGAGAGGCTCTCAACTGGTACATCATTGATCCTGGAGATGTTGAAATATTTGACATGTGTGCAAATGAATTAAGGAAAATACACAACACAGTAAGATATAACAGCTGACATATGCAAATGTTTTTTGGGCTCCTACCCTTCACAGTCAGCTCCACTGTGCTGGCCTGTTTCTTGCCCCGCCAGGAGATGGCAGTACATGTCAAGTTTTTGACTCCGTCTCTCCCTGCAGCCATGAAAGTGATGGTAGAGGTCGTCTCCCAGATACCCTGCTGTGTCATTGCGTGCGTGACCTTATTTGAGATGTCAGGGACACTCCATGAGAACAAGGGAGGATGTGAGGGACATGTGTGCTTCACTGAACATGAGACAGTGATCGTTGAACCGGCATCAACTTCTGCTGGAACTGGAGTCATGACTGTTTTTTCTGGGGAAGCTGTGCGTGTAAAACAAAGAATAAAACCTTCGATGACAGACCGAAATGATTTGATACAAATAAATGAGCTGAAGAGAAAGTATTAACACTAGACCTTTCATCACAATAAATACGCAGCTGTTGTTGAATTTGTATTTGACATTTTCTTTCTCTGCTCGGAAACAGAAGGGCCCGTTGTCAAAGGGCTTGATGTCATCGATCTCCAGAGAGCAGTTTCCCTCACTCAGATCCCCTACAATTCTGGTTCGGTCCTTGAAATGGTCCAACACAAGACTGCGACCATTATGGTAGACAACTCCCCCTGTTTTTTTAATCCAGATGCCGCGTGTGGGGGCAACATCCCACTGGTACTGGAAGCTACAGGGAATCACCACACATGAGCGGGTCAGGGCGTAGAATCTGAATGGGACGTCAGCAGCCAGAACATGCGATGCTGGAAAGAGAGAAACCATAATGTTTTGACAGGAAGGCTGTAGAAATAACAAAGTTGAATTTGACAAAACAAAGAAGAAAACGCACCGCCATTTTCATCTGGATCCATTTCGTCAACTGGTCTCTCATATTCTGTAAAAGAAATCCCAATAAGTGTCGATGCTACAAAACAATCAAATCTTCATCTAACTTTGACATTTAGGCTAAATATTTACAATTCTAATAATTGCTTTCATAGTTGCAAAAGTATGGATTCTACTTTCATATTTGACTGTTAAATGCAAAGCTAAACCACTAGCAAATAATGTTTGATTAGCTTAGCACAAAGACTGGAATCAGCCTGTGCAAATTAATAAAAACAAACAAACAGCCTCTCTCTGCGTTGGTGCGTGAAGAACCAGATTTCTCTGTGTGCATGTAAACATCATATCCTGAATCAAAACCGGGATAAGGCTCATAATATGCTAAGCTAACTGCCAAAGCTTTATTATGGGAGTGGTGTTATACTCTCTGCCAGCAAGCGTATTAAACTTTCCTTTACCGTCTAATGAGCCACTCCTGATTTGGTGTTGTTTACATATGCACCTCATCTCACAGGAGACTAACCCTGTCTGTTGTAACACTGCAACATCTTCAGCTAAGACACTATAATGAGAATTTTGCTTTTAAATCGGTGTTACGTGTCATTTGAAAGGATCGCAAAATCAACAAAAGAGCGGAGAAGAACATGGTGCTGCAGTTTAATTCCTCTAAGGGGGCTGGGAGAAACTCTAGGTAAAGTCCAGGTTAAAAATTGAGCTTTTGCATTCACACATGCAGCTCAACTTCAGGAGTTTTTAGGAGTTTTGTAGAAGTGTGAACAAGGTTATTGTGTATGACATGTAGGAACTCACTTTTTATATGAATGTTTGCAGAGGCTGAAGTCTCCCCTTTAACAAACTGAGCAGTGCAGGTCAAAGAGTTATTGTCATCCCTCAGAGAGCCAATAAAGGTTAGATTTGACACTGTTTTATAAGTGTCACTGGAGATTTTGTTGGTTTGTAAGGAGCTCTGCATGTCTTTGTAGTTCCACATGATGGTTGGGGTATTTTTCTTACACTTGTAGGAAACAGAACAAATGACACTCTGTGCCACACCCTCTGTTTCATTGCCAGGACGCTTGATCATTGAAATGCTGTTGTGAGGACCTAAGCAAAAGATAATATAGAGGGTTACATCTGTACAGGAGTATTCTCAACATGATTCAAAACACAATCTCATATCGTTCTCACATTCGACATTCAGCTTGATGTCACTCGTAGCTTCCTGACCACCATGATAGCTAACAGTACACGTCACACTCTGGTCCTCTTCTTTCACAGTCCAAATTCGTTCCACCTTTCTTTCCCAAACACCATCTGAAACTTGCGTGTCTACGATGACGTTTTGTCCAGGTATGTTGTTCAGAGTGAGGTGGGGGGGAGCAGAGATACATGCGTGGCGCACACTGCAGGACACTCTGCTCTGCTCTCCCACCCGAGGAATACCGATGATGTTTAGCTGCGGTTTCTCTGCATGATCTGTACAAACAAAGCTTTGTCACTGTAGGAGTTTTTTTTTATTGAATGGCAAAAAGGAAGAATTAATGTATCCAAATACTTACCTAAAACAATAATTTCAGTGGTTTTGTCATCAAACGAGAACCCCAGGGTGTGGTAGGAGGTGATAGGGTTCTGGTCTACCCATGGGTAAAGTCTGTCCTGGTTGTGGGACATCTCCAGCCTATCAATCTTCAGACTACAATTCCTCTCTCTCACAGATCCAATCAAGCTGGTTCTTCCACTAAACTTACTGATAACATCTTTTCTTTGGTCAAACACAGGTGGGTAACTATTTCTCTGCGACAAATACCAGATAACTCGGAGGTCAGCAGGCTGAGAGGAACTGTAGGTGAATCTGCAAGGAATGACGATACATGACCCCCTCATGGCTGTGATCCTCTCAGGAGTAGTGAAGGACCAACCACGAGAGTGCATGTTTCCTGTTAATGAAAACAAACATTTAAAGGAAAGTGTTTAGTCAGTTTTAGGCTTCTGTGCCTTTGAAATGAGGCAACTTGTGGAACTATGAATGCAGTGAATACATCAAACAGTAATGATGATGGCCAGAAAAACCAAGTGTGGGAGCTTAATGAGGAATAAAACTAGAAGGGATACTGGGAAGTCCGTGTGTAATTCTCTGTGTTTTTTAACTACTAGATTAAACATTCATGTTGCTTTTAGTTATGTGATCCATCATCATAAAATATAATTTAAAATTACACCAACCATAGCCGCATAAATGTCAAAATACATTCAAAGCTTTACTTCCATTATTTGATTAAAATTATTATTTGATTATCAAATACAAGTAAGCACTGGGAAAACCTTCTATTTTGATGAGACATGTTATTTTGGAGACCCTGTGATTGGCTGGCACCTCTCCAGGGTGTAACCCTGCCTATTGCCTAATGACAGGACACCTGGGATTATCATTGCTTTTTAAAAATGTAATAACCTACTAAGAAGAAAATAATTGCACCACTGACAGAGGTTTTCCAAAAAGTTAAAATTTCTATTATTATTGATCTTCTGCAATGTGACAGCTTTAATTCTGAAGGCCAACAGCATGGTTGAAAAATAAATAATAATCATTTCTACTCACTCTTTACACTTAAGGTGATGCTCTCTTCCTGCCGCTGTCCCTCAGTGTATCGTGCATAACATGTCAGAGATCTTCCATGGTCTTTGGATGATGCTGTGAAGGTCAGCGTGGATACAGTCCTCCACTGAGCAGTTTCACTCTTGCGGGTGTCAGATGAGGCCGGCATGTTCCCGTAGTTCCATGTGAGAGTTGGGATTTGATGTTTGCATGTGTATGAGGCTGTGCAGGTTATTTTGCTAGCCTGTCCCTCATTCAATTCCTCTGATGTAGACTGGATGGTCAAGGGTGAAAAGGAGCCTGGGATACAGAAAGTAAATGTTAGTATTCCTAGGTAAGACATAACAGAAAAGCTATTTTTATTTTTGGTTTCATTGCCACACACATTGTGCATTTAAGGTTTTAGAGGCTTTAGCAGTCAGGTCCCTTGTGTATCGTACAGAGCACTCCACAGTGTGGCGGTCACTTTCTATGTTCAGTGTGGTTGTTAATGTGGTCTTGGATGTGCCGTCAGACAATGTGCCAGGAGAAAGATAATGGTTCAGCAGAGGGATGTTGAGACTCAGAGTGGGTGGACGAGTAGGACAGGTGTGATAAACTGTGCATTGCACTGTCACTGACTGTCCAACCTTCATGCTTCCAAAGATCATGATCTCCGGTTTGTCTGCCTCATCTGCACAATAGAAAAGTGAAAAATTATAAATGAACATGCTTCCTTTTAAAATGTATCTTTTAAAGCTTACAGTGAGAACCTACCCACTACTTCAATTGTTACAGTTGTATCATAGAACCGATAGGTGCTTTGTCCGACATGCTCCGGATCTACCCAGGGGTAGATCTTCTGTCTGTGGTGAGACCACATCACTGGGTAGATTTCAAGAGTGCATTTCTTTTTGAATGTAGAAGTTAATACACGTGTTTTCCTTTTGAAGATGTCAATGACGTCATTCTGGTACCCGCTGTCACAAACCAAAGGATATCCCCACTTCACATACTGGTACCAAACCACACGGTCTGGTCTGCGAGGCGGATTCTCAAAGTAGTCAAAGCTACAGGGGATGACGAGGCAGGAACCCAAAATTCCTCTGATGTTACTCGGCATCTTTACATGCCAAGCCCTGGAAATGTTGTAAAAGTGTCCTGCAAGAGGGCCAGCAAACAAAAAGATAATTTGAACTGTAACAACTAAAAAGATTGCAGATTGCGGATTGTATGTATGTGTGTTTATCAAAGAAAGATTAGTGCTAAATACCTAGAACACAGAAGCTCAGGAGACAATGGCTTAGCGGAGACATCTTAAGAATTTTGCCTCAAACCTAAAATAAATGTGTGAGAAACTTTTTATTATGCATCAAATTTTATAAACAGAGCACATCTTGGGATTTTTAAATTCATATGTATTAGATGTATCTCTAATAAGTATTTCCTCATTAAACAAAGTTCAATGGCATATCTATCCTGTAGTTTTAATGCTTCAGGAAATTCAAGCAAAATCCTACTTGATTACCTTAAAGCCCCTGTGAGGAGTCTATAGCTGGTTGTGATCAAGCGGCAATCTGTGTTGAAAAATTAAGCAAATGCGGAAGTTAAAAATCCTGCAGGTCATCGTCTGTTTCGAGATAACACTGGTGTATTGAATATTTGTTAGGTAAAGTATAAAACACTGTTATGAATTGGCGCTATACAAAGAACATAAATAAAATAAATAAAGATTGATCGAGTCTCAGCTTGAGGCTGGCTCCAAGCGCTCCGGTCCTGGATCACATACACACCACCCATTCAAACATGCCCATATTTTCATAGCAGAAACGATCATGTGTACAGTCTGGTACAAAAAAACCCAATATTGGTCTGATAAGTTATTGTCCTCATGGGCACACACTGTACTGGAGGTTAGTTTTTAATAACATATCCGTTTGGATTTGATAAAGGATACAAGTTATGGAAAGATAAGACGCATGGCACGCAGGATGTTACAGTTTGTCAAGAGGCTACCCGCCTCAGCTCCAGCTCTCAGCCTGTCATTGGATTGACTGAAAGCTAGGTTGAGACACGATCTCCAGCACTGAGGCTGCCGCTGATGAGCCCCCAGAGCCCCCAGAGCCCCCTGCAGTAACAAATGGGTGACCGTCACCCGGTGACGAGACTTAGGGCTTTGTCTATTAATACTTACAGTCTAAGGTTATGATACAGACTGAAATTCAGATTAATTACTCTTAGCTACGGAAGCAAATGAGACCATTAGAGGCAAGATAATGCCAATAATTAGTGAAACATTTGACTTCTTATCATGTCCAGCTCAGTGTCTTAAGTTGTTTTTATTTCTATCTTGTATTATTTCCTGTTTTGGGTCACTAACTTCTCCTCTCGTTTCAGATCCTTCACTTCCTGCCCTCATGTGTTTCCCACCTGTGTGATTGTCTGCCCCGCCCTGATTGTTCCCAGCTGCATCTCGTTGTCTTCCCCCTCACCCTAGTATTTAGTCTGTAGTTTCCCTTCCTTCTGTGCCAGTTCGTCTTTGACCCCTGGGAGAAGCGTTCAAGCCTTTTGTTTCCTCTTTGATCACTTTTTTGGATTCTGTCTGCTTAAAGAGTAAAGACTGTTTTTTTTCCCCCAACCAAAGACTGCGTTGTGAGTCGTGCTTTTTGGGTTCAGTTACCTGTGGTGTTGTTACACCTCTAAAGAAAGGGGGGGGGGGGGAAACAGCCAAAAGAGGTACTGCTTTGTCCACAGGGGTCGCCAAATCAACACAATTCAAAAACTTACCTCACAGCACTCGTAAATTAAATGAAATTACCTTAAGTCAATATAGAGACAGGGTATGATGTGGCAGGGACTTAAGTCTATTAAAAGCCTCCTACAGACTGTTCCAGTTTTGTAATCTATTAAGTTTCTTGCAACACCCAATTGTGTGACATTTATCACATAATGTTGTGTACGATATGCATGTACACTGTGCAATGAGATACATAGTTCCAAAACTATGGAACTCTTTGCCCCCAGACATCCGTCTCTCTCCCACTATTGGGTGTTTTTAAAACTCGCCTTAAAACATATTTTTACTCAATTGCTGTTCATGTTCAGTAACCTGTTTTTTAATTGTTGTTATTCTTGTCTGTTACTTTTTAATGCTTTCTTTCTGCAATGTTCAGCACTTTGGATCAATCAATGGTGTGTTTAAAGTGCTATATAAAGTTGTTTTGATTTGATTTTGATAGTTAATCATAGGCTGTTAGGCAAGTAAACAAGCATTGTCATTGCGTCCTTTGTGTGCATCAACCTGATCGAGCTGAGGTTGCCATGACAGTCAGCAGAAAGTAAGCTCTGGCCATAGTGGCGTTCATATGCACAGAACAAAAAGAGTAGGAATACAAAAATGTGGACACGGTCATGGAGAGGTAAAAGAGGCCAAATTGGGATGCCAGTGTTACAAAGAGAGATTGAAAAGTCCCGTTATTGTTAGAATAGGCTTTTTACAGCTCTGGTAGCTGTGTGGTCATACTGATTTGTGCGTCATTTCATGCTTAATTTCTATTGGTTGGGAGATGACGTAAATCGGAGAGGCGTTCACCGGATGAGATGATCCTCCTAAATTTCTGACACCTCTGAATTTTCTCTCAGATTTTTGTTGCAGGCTATCTTTGGTCGCAAGACCGGTAGATTGGTCATCATTGATCCTCTCTCACAGAGCAAAGTTTTTACTTGGAGCCACAACCAGACATTGCCACAATTTATGATCCTTCGTCTACACAGCCCAAAGTCGTACAGTCTACACCCGGCTCAATGCATGTATTCAGCTAATATCACAATTTATCAGTCATCTAAGCCAACCAGAGAGAAAACAACAACAACAAAAACTAGATATTGTCAGTCTTTCTCAATTTACCTCATTCTCCTGATTCTACTTTGATTTGAGAAATAAGCTCTTTGACTTTTAAGAAATCAAATATTTGGATTTTTAAACTATAGCAATTAAAAGATCAACTTTAACTTTACAAAAATCAAAACCAGGTCTTGCACAAAATAGCCTCAATCTGGTTGTCTTGCTGTAATCATTCTGGTGGAGTATCACTTCAAAAGAACACACACATTTGTTCTGACTATTCAACCAGAGCTGGTTTTCAGGAATTGAGAAAGAAACACACATACAAATCGAGACATACTTAACATACACAAAAATATCCTCTTCCAGATATCCAAAATAATGTACTTATTTTCAAAGACTAACCAGTGAAGCCTATACTTTTAAAATGACTGGTTTAAAGTTGGCAGAAATAAAAGAGTTGAAGGTAACAAATATATTATATAGATTACATCACCAAATTGTTTACAAATTTTGCCAAAGGGCAAACAAAAAAGATTACATAAAAAACAAACCTTAAAACTGTCTTCATCAAACCATGGTATCTTTATTTCTACAAGAAAAAAGAAACAGCAGAAACAAAAATTCAAATGATCTTAATTCAGGCCAGTCAGTTTGCAGGTGTGGCAGTGCAGTGAAGAAGAAAGCAGAACAAAGGTCTAACATTAACAAGCAAACGTATCTCAGCCTAAATAAATATCATTTTCATAATGTTATGGATTTTTCTGTTCTCACAAAATAAAAATCATTGTCTACTTCATTGAAAAATGGTGGATATTATTATACCATATGTGATCCTGATTTCACTCTTAAATAGTGTCAACTAAGTTATTAAGATTGTAAGTAAGACCGCATGAAATGTAATCATGTTTTTGTTTTTTTAGATCATTCTAATATATATATATATATATATATATACTATGCATAGCGGTTTCCTGTTACGGTCTTTGATTTCCAACAAATATCTGAAAGTCTGTTCTCTTATTTTTACTCAAAAATTACAGTGTCACAACTGATAGATTTGTTGATTATTTCAGTATTTAGGCAACAATGAAAACTAACATTAACAGTAGTGACCCCAACTTGAGAAGCAACCAAAAATTGAAAGTTCTTTTATGCTCTTTTCTTAAAAGTAAGGGTAACTTACCTCTAGAGTTTAATAATAAAGGAAGATGTACCAGCATAAACAAGCCTTACGTCTTTAACAGCACATCATCTTGAAGTCCCTTCCCCCTAAAATATGGGTGGAGTGTTCAAGACACCTACCACAAGAGGATACAGATCCTCATTTCTATGAAGGATTTTGAACCACAGATTCATGTGTAAAAAACAAACAAGCAAATTCTTTAAAACATACGATCAACAATAAAGTCAATGGAACATATCAAATTAAGCATATGGCAAATGGACCAATAATAATTGACCTCTTTCTACAGATAGAAACATAGTTTCCCCGGGTCGAGCTCAGAATCAAACATAAATTGGGGTTTGTTCTGGCAGGCCGTCAACCAACGATCTCGAGGAGCCTAAGAGAGCTCAAGAGCTCTCAGGAAAGTAGGTGGTTAGTGACTGAGATTTACAGATAGATACATGCAGTAATATGATGTACTGTATATGTACAGTGAGAGAGAGAGAGAGAGAGAGAGAGAGAGGAGCTCAAGGTGCCAGTTTCCCCGGTAGTCTAAGCCTATAGCAGCATAACTAAGAGCTGGTCTACACCAGCACTAACTATAAGATTTATCAAAAAGGAAAGTTTTAAGTCTATTCTTAAAAATACAGACTGTGTCTGCCTGCTGGACCCCGGCTGGAAGGCGGTTCCAGAGGAGAGGAGCCCGATAACTGAAGGCTTTACCCCCCCATAGTACACTTGGAGACTGTAGGTACCACCAGCAGGCCTGCACTCCGGGACCGCAACGCTCTCGAGGGACAGTACGGCACTAGTAGCTCCTTCAGGTAGGATAGTGCCTGGCCATTTAGCGCTTTGTAGGTGAGAAGAAGGATCTTGAATTCTATTCTAGACTGTATAGGGAGCCAGTGCAGAGAAGCCAGGACAGGAGTGATGTGGTCCCATTTCCTGGTTCTGGTCAGTACACGAGCTGCAGCGTTCTGGACCAGTTGAAGAGTCTTTAGAGATTTGCCAGAGCACCCTGACAAAAGAGAGTTATAATAATCCAGTCTGGAGGTAACAAATGCATGAACTAGTTTTTCTGCATCATTTTGCGACAGGATATTCCTAATATTGGATAAAGCTTAGAGACTTTTTGGTTGGAGCAGGAGGATTTTGAATTCACATCACCTGGCCTGTGTTTTAAATTTGATGTCATTTCACAGTTGAGGAAAATAAACAGTTATAAGTTTTTCAACTTGAAAACGCTATAAAAATTATGATAATAGAAATGACTTAAACGGGTTACAAAGTGCTCTACAACAATAAGATAAAAACAGCTTGGATGTATTGAATTGTAAAAACAAAACAGGAGTAGCAGTAATGAAAAAAAAACCTTACATCTGATTCACCATGTCCACCATGTTCACAAAAGAAAAAGTAGCACTAACATTTTAACATGTAAAATAGGCGCATGCTAGTTTCAGTTTGACAAAGATGAATACTCAAAGTTTAATTTAGATGTAACTATGAAATCAACAAGGAGGTTTTACTGTGAAAACCAAATGTTGATGAAAATCTTGCAAAACTCATACCTTGAAAATCTGCTCCAAATTGACCTTCTGCAAAAAAAGGAGAACAGAAACCATGCAAATTTGAACAGGAATAAAAATAAATGCTTCAATCTTATCTTAAAACTAACAGGCAAGCTTCTGTACATGCAAATTACTGCTTGGCCAAGCATCATTGTGTTTGCCTAAGTAAAGGGAATTTACTGAATTAGTCACTATTGATGCTTCTGCACTTGTAAAAAGAGCCCAAAATAAACATTATCTTGCCTTTGTTCGGATTGAGATGGTCCTGGGCCATTGGAACGTATCCTGAAGATTTCACAGATTAAACAAAACATAAATACAATCACTGATAAAAATGTACTTAATTAACAGTAATCTGCCAATTTTACAATGTGCAAAATGAACCAGAAGCAGAAGGAACACAGGCTTTAAGTGTCATCTCACCTGTGTGACAGCCTGGACAGCCGGTTCCAAACGCTAAATGATTAAGAAGATAAGATTATGAACAAAAGGGGGAAATTACATAACTTGATAAGCTAGAGTGGCAAAATAAATAAAGATTATTTCCAAACATTCTTACTTGCCATCCTGACTTTGAAGTTCTGCAATGCGAGCCCTAAAACAGACAGAAATTATTCAGTGCCATGTGTTTTTTAATGCGAACATCCTTTGGAGTGAATGTCAGAGTATTGCATACTCACTTATATTTTTTCACCATGAAAAGACAAAAGAATGCAAAGCTCACAGCTGTACCAATCCCTACCACTGTGGGAATGATGATGTGGTTATAGTTTTCTCTTCCTGCGAACAGACAGAATTATGGGAACTTCTTTGTGTAATGGAAACATCACATAAAACATCTTAGAAAAAGGACAAATAGGTGTATAAATCAACAGCAACTCACGTTTTACATAGAGTGTCAGTGTTTCAGATGATGTTCTGCCTCCATTAAAAGTGGATGTGCAGGTGACATCACTGTGATCATCCTTGTCTTCAGGAATGAACGTTAGGATGGACTGCATCTCCCAGTTTCCTGCATGGATTTCTCTGTTGACCTCAGCGATTCCATCTGCAGTGCCCCTGCTCCATGTGAGTTTAGGGGCCCGAGAGGGGGCAGGTATGAAGGACTGTACAGGTGAGAACGAAGGGGAGTCCTTGAATGGCAGATTTTAGGTGAGTCAGTTTGGGTTTTGGAGGATCAGCTGTGACTGAAAAAATGCAGATAAAGTTTGAGGCAGATCATTGTGCCAAAAAAACAGCATAAACAAGCCTTACGTTTTTAACAGCACATCATCTTAAAGTCCCTTCCCCCTAAATTATGGGCGGAGTGTTCAAGACACCTACCACAAAGAGGATACAGATACTACTTTCTATGAAGGATTTTGAACCACAGATTCATTTGTAAAAAAGAAACAAGCAAATTCTCATGACGAAACAGCCTTCACAGGCCTAGACTGCACCGGGCTTGGAAGGGGATAGGGGGAGAGATGGGATAAGATGCAGGAAGAGGGATAGGGAGCAAGGGGTGGGGGGAGGCAAGCCGTCCATCAACAATCCGGTGGGGAGGGGGGGGTTGTTCTGGCAGGCCGTCAACCAACGATCTCAAGGAGCCTAAGAGAGCTCAAGAGCTCCCAGGAAAGTAGGTGGTTAGTGACTGCGATTTACAGATAGATACATGCAGTAATATGATGTACTGTATATGTACAGTGAGAGAGAGAGAGAGAGAGAGGAGCTCAAGGTAGTCTAAGCTTATAGCAGCATAACTAGGAGCTGGTCTACACCAGCACCAGCCCTATCTATAAACTTTATCAAAAAGGAAAGTTTTAAGTCTATTCTTAAAAATACAGACTGTGTCTGCCTCCCGGACCCCGGCTGGAAGACGATTCCAGAGGAGAGGAGCCCGATAACTTAAGGCATTACCTCCCATAGTACCCTTAGAGACTGTAGGTAGTGGTACCACTAGCAGGCCGGCATTCTGGGACCGTAATGTTCTCGAGGGGCAGTACGGCACTAGTAGCTCCTTAAGATAAGATGGTGCCTGGCCATTTAGAGCTTTGTAAGTGAGAAGAAGGATCTTGAATTTTATTCTAGACTGTATAGGGAGCTAGTGCAGAGAAGCCAACACAGGAGTGATGTGGTCCCTTTTTCTAGTTCTAGTCAGTACACGAGCTGCAGCGTTCTGGACTAGTTGAAGAGTCTTTAGAGACTTACCATAGCACCCTGACAAAAGAGAATTACAATAATCCAACCTGGAGATACCAAAGTGGGATGGATGCCGTCTCTAGCTAGCAGACCAGGTTTTCCCCAAAAAGACTGCCAGTTATCTATGAAGCCCACATCGTTTGCTGGACACCACCTCGACAGCCAGCGGTTGAGTGATGACATGCGGCTATACATGTCATCACTGGTCTGATTTGGGAGGGGTCCAGAGAACACTACGGAGTCTGACATCGTCTTAGCAAAAGTACACACCGACTCCACATTAACCTTTGTGACTTCCGACTGGCGTAGTCGGGAGTCATTAGTGCCGACATGAATTACGATTGTATCAAATCTACCTTTAGTCTTTGTCAGCAACTTTAAATGAGATGCGATGTTGCCCGCTCTGGCCCGGGTATACACCTAACTATGCCCGCTGACTTCGCTAGCTTCACATTCGGACTATGGAGTCTCCAATAATCAGAGTTTTATTCTCAGCGGGTGTGTCGCTTAGTGGGGAAAATTTGTTTGAAACGTGAAGTGGTTGGTGGGGAACCGTGTGCTTCGATTTTCGACTATGCTTCCTTCTGACAGTAAACGAGCCACTGCCTCCCGGCTGCTCGGGAGCAACCGGGGGGGAAGCCAGGCTATGTCGGTCTGCACCGGCTACAGGTGGCTGACTAACTACTTCTGCATACGATGACTCTGACTCAATGGTGCGGTGCCGTTTCTCTAACTCAGACACCCTCGCCTCCAAAGCTAAAAATAAACTAAATTTTTTACATGTATCATTATCACTGAAGGAGGACGAGGAGTAACTTAACATCTGACACGAAGAGCAGGAGAGAGCAGGAGAGGGAGAGACAGAAAAAGAAGCCATTGTAAATAAAGCTAACTGCTAAGCTAGGCGAAGAGTAGGTAGCAAAAATAAACAAAACTGTTAAGCAGGTTTGTCGCTAGAGAGAAAGAAGGCTTTTCGATAGCTTCTGTTTGTCTGAACGTACAGTGTATTGGAAACAACAGTCGTAAGAAACTAGGCAAAATGAACAATTAAGCTTTTAGCTCGATCAGCACTGAACAACACAGTACAGCGGAGAACAGAACAGGAAATGATGCAATACGCTCACCCGTAGTACGCAGCACGTCACTTGTCATTAACACCACATAGAACATCCTTCTTACAATTGAGAGCATACATATTTCCCTTTATGTCAACAAAGTAGGCTATTTGTTTGTGTTATTTCCAAGTTTAAACGCACATCTCATTGAGGACAGTGGCATTATTGGTCAACCAGAGGAATCCGTCCGAACTGTACTTTAAAGGTTTCACAGCCAGCAGAGAAACCCAAATGTCATTAACGAAGCTCTTAATTTGAAAGTTTGTATAACTTTACTCTAAATTGTTTATAGCCCTATTCAAATAAATACTTTGACATTTAGAACAAAAATAATTGTACTTGCACCTAGAGGCTGAAAAATTATGTTACCAGGCCTAGCTCAGTTTAGTTTTTTTTCAGCTTTTCCCAATTAAGATGTGATTTCTCTTTCTAGGAACAATATGTCCCAGATGTATGTTTAAGCCATTTGTCCATTAACTGAAAATATCCAATGCACCCATATTGTAAATGAATATTTTTAATCTGGATTATATATATGCTAAGAAATACTTTGACATTAGATTACTGATACTGATCTCATGACTGAACAATTAGCTTAGTTTAGCTTAGCATTGAGACTAGAAACTTGATTTAAAAAAAATTATAAAATCTATATCGTCCAGCATTTCTAAAACCTTTGCGCAACATTATAAACACATATTTTAACTATAGTAATGTTTTTTCTCTTTGGTGGCTAAGGTTACTGGCATTAGTGGCATATAATGGTATTAGCTAGCTACATGCATTTAATCTAAACAGAGTTTAGTCCCATGACATATCTAACTCTGCCTCTACATTTGAGTCCCCTACCTTTAGTAATTTGATACTAATTCACTTACAGCTCCTTTGAGAAACTTTTGAATTGTTATGTTTCGTTTAACAGTGAAATCTTTCACTGAATCGAGAGTCTGTATCTCTGTGTGGCTGAGAAAACAGACGTGTTGGCGACAGTATAAGCAGTGTTAAGAAAAAGGAAGAAAGGAGTGGTTCTGTTATTTATGTGCATGACATACAGAATATCTTTTCTACGTTTGCCTGCATGCATATGTTTTAAAATATAAGAGAACTTTGGTGGAAACAGGAAAAAAAAGTGTTAGCATTTTTTTGTATTTATTTAGTGATGCAGGGCAGTACAGGACAAGTGAGAGACATGACAATCTAGTCAAATAGAAAAGAAAAAAATAAGGCTGATTCTGCAGTATGCTGTTTATCACTTACCCCACAATTCATCTAGAGGAAACAACACTAAGTTTAGTGCCAACAAACAGCTTAAAGTCAGATAAGATACTGTGCTGACAGGCAGTGCACAAAAGCAATGCACAGATTGTTTTATTTGTTATCAGTATTAACAACATCAACAGCTTCTCGTGGGTATTCTTAGCGACATCAACATTAAATGTCATCGTCAAAAATAAATAATCTTGTTGCTGATGTTCTCATTTGCTTTATAGCTCATAAAGAGTTATCGATATTGATTCAAATCTTTTTCATAACCAACTAAAAGCTCTTCTCACAGGAGCATTCATTAGTGAGGGGTCAGTTTGAAGGCTTTGCTACCTTTGGCCCAAAGAAAGTTATGCTAAGTGGATAGCATTAACCTTATCTTTAACAAGATAATATGCAAGCATCTTCAATCTGAATATATCTTATATCTTATCTTTTTAACTCTGGATATTAACTGGATAAAAAAAATGGATAAACAACTTTTATTCCAAAAAGGACTTTATTCAATTAAATTCTTGTTCATACTTGTTGGCTTCATTTTTTGCCTTTGGCTTTGATTTTTCCTAACTGATTCTCAGTATGGCACAGTGTGTGCCACGACCTGCGATGATAGCAAGTCTTACCAAACACTAGCTAACCTAAGTGGCATATTTACAGGAGGCAGAAGGCATCATGAATCATTACAGCATTCAAAAATGAAATTGTACAGAAATTATACAAAATACAGACCAATAAATTCCAATTAAAACAATAAAATCATCAGTGACAGTATTCAACATTGATGACCATGCATAATAAAACAGCCATCTTAAAAAGCGTGATTATGAGCATGATGAGAATTGTTTGTGTGTTTTTGATCATTCTTAGGGGGCTATATTTCACAGGTTTCCATAGACGTTGAGATCTTCAGTGTTCATGTAATCGTCACCATCGTCAAAGCCCTGTAAGAGAGTAAGATCAGTGTTATCACAGATGTTGAGTGAAGGCCCTGTGTGGTATTGGCAGTAATTATGGAGATGTTGTTACCTTGTCATTGCACGATTTCCGCTGGCTGAGTTCCATTAGCAACAAGAAGAAGATAGAAAAGAATAAGATTGTGTTCTACAACTTTATTAAATGTATAACATATTATTCACAAGCAAGGTTAAGGAGAAGCACCTTTTGGGGGACGGGAAACGAGGCTTAGAGACTTTTTGGTTGGAGCAGGAGGATTTTGAATTCACATCACCTGGCCTGTGTTTTAAATTTGATGTCATTTCACAGTTGAGGAAAATAAACAGTTATACGTTTTTCAACTTGAAAACGCTATAAAAATTATGATAATAGAAATGACTTAAACAGGTTACAAAGTGCTCTACAACAATAAGATAAAAACAGCTTGGATGTATTGAATTGTAAAAACAAAACAGGAGTAGCAGTAATGAAAAAAAAACCTTACATCTGATTCACCATGTCCACTTGAGGCCTCCTCCTGTTCACAAAAGAAAAAGTAGCACTAACATTTTAATGTGTAAAATAGGCGCATGCTAGTTTCCGTTCTCAAAGTTTAATTTAGATGTAACTGTGAAATCAACAAGGAGGTTTTACTGTGAAAACCAAATGTTGATGAAAATCTTGCAAAACTCATACCTCGAAAATCTGCTCCACATTGACCTTCTGCAAAAAAAGGAGAACAGAAACCATGCAAATTTGAACAGGAATAAAAATAAATGCTTCAATCTTATCTTAAAACTAACAGGCAAGCTTCTGTACATGCAAATTACTGCTTGGCCAAGCATCATTGTGTTTGCCTAAGTAAAGGGAATTTACTGAATTAGTCACTATTGATGCTTCTGCACTTGTAAAAAGAGCCCAAAATAAACATTATCTTGCCTTTGTTCGGATTGAGATGGTCCTGGGCCATTGGAACGTATCCTGAAGATTTCACAGATTAAACAAAACATAAATACAATCACTGATAAAAACGTACTTAATTAACAGTAATCTGCCAATTTTACAATGTGCAAAATGAACCAGAAGCAGAAGGAACACAGGCTTTAAGTGTCATCTCACCTGTGTGACAGCCTGGACAGCCGGTTCCAAACGCTAAATGATTAAGAAGATAAGATTATGAACAAAAGGGGGAAATTACAAAACTTGATAAGCTAGAGTGGCAAAATAAATAAAGGTTATTTCCAAACATTCTTACTTGCCATCCTGACTTTGAAGTTCTGCAATGCGAGCCCTAAAACAGACAGAAATTATTCAGTGCCATGTGTTTTTTAATGCGAACATCCTTTGGAGTGAATGTCAGAGTATTGCATACTCACTTATATTTTTTCACCATGAAAAGACAAAAGAATGCAAAGATCACAGCTGTACCAATCCCTACCACTGTGGGAATGATGATGTGGTTATAGTTTTCTCTTCCTGCGAACAGACAGAATAATGGGAACTTCTTTGTGTAATGGAAACATCACATAAAACATCTTAGAAAAAGGACAAATAGGTGTATAAATTAACAGCAACTCACGTTTTACATAGAGTGTCAGTGTTTCAGATGATGTTCTGCCTCCATTAAAAGTGGATGTGCAGGTGACATCACTGTGATCATCCTCGTCTTCAGGAATGAACGTTAGGATGGACTGCATCTCCCAGTTTCCTGCATGGATTTCTCTGTTGACCTCAGCGATTCCATCTGCAGTGCCCCTGCTCCATGTGAGTTTAGGGGCCCGAGAGGGGCAGGTATGAAGGACTGTACAGGTGAGAACGAAGGGGTGTCCTTGAACGGCAGGTTTTAGGTGAGTCAGTTTGAGTTTTGGAGGATCAGCTGTGAATTAAAAAGTGCAGATAAAGTTTGAGGCAGATCATTGTGACATAAAAAGTTGCTATTGGTTGGTTAAAATCTTGAGAACATACGGAGCATTTTCAGATCGACACATTGCTCGACAAAAGAGAACTTCTCCAGTGTACCAGTCTCTTTTGGTCTAAGTTCAATCCGGAAACAGAAAGGGCCGCTGTCATGATCTTTGATTTCAATTATTTCTAAGGTGCAGTTGCTCTGACCCAGATGTCCCAACAACTTTGTGCGTCCCTTAAAATTGTCTAAAACTAGCGTGTTATCCTCGTGATAGATGCACTGATCTCTTTGGTTTGAAATATGCCAGATCCCTCTGAGTCTGGAGGTAGGCAGGTTTCCTTCAGGATGGGTGAACGAACAGGGAATCACAACACAGGATGAAACCAGAGCATCAAGGCTTCTCACAACACTGGCCCTCCATTCTCCAGCAATCACAGGGCTGACGAAGGCTGAGAGAGAGAAAAAACATCAGTTTTAACAAAAGAGACAACTCATCTGTATGTTGTTATTTTTGTAAATAGGAATGCAGCAGAAAAACTAAAATATTGTTATACCTGCCAAAAGCAGACCCATTAACATCATCTGTGTGTCTATGTCCATAGTCCTCTGAGGTTTGGGTGGTGTGATATGCTGTGGGATATTTGAATTAAATAAAGTAATTAAATCACATAGTTCATGCTAATTAGAAACATTCTGCATTTTAAACTCCACATATCTTGCCACACAATAGGTTGTTAATTGATGCAACAAATACTGGCATTGTTAATGTCCTCATGGAGCTTATATACACATCTGGAACAACACATAATTATCAGACACATTTTTGCCTAAACGAAAAAAAAAACAGTTTTCTGGATGAACTTCCTGCACTCTCTTTTCAAGTCATTATACTATTTCTTTCCAACAAAGGGACACTGCACTTTGAAGTAATACATTACTCATAACTTTGAGGAAAAAACTTTTTGGAGCCAATATCAAACCAAATCACCAATGTGTGGAATTGCTTAAACCTCAACAACATTATTTACTGTTAACTTTCAAAATGAATTATTCAAAGAAAGATAGAAGACACAAGGTGTGCTGCTGAACCACAGTAAAAGTTTGATTCAGTTCTTATGAAGACTTACCTGATGAAGCTACTGTCTGTCTGTCTGTCTGTTCAGAGTTGTTTTTGAAAGAAATCGGTGTCTTCAGAATGACTTTTGGTGAGCTATTCAGCAGTCATGTCATGAAACGCTAACATGAGCTCTAGATGTGAAAAAGGGAACTACAGTTGAAATTAGAAACCATCTTTTAGTATCTCTGTGTGGGTGAGAAAACAGAAGTGTCGGGGACGGTACAAGTAGTGTCAAGGAAAAGGAAGTAAGGAGTGGTTCTCTTCTTTGTGTGTATGACATACAGACATACAGAATATCTTTACTATGTTTGCCTGCATGCATTTTAAATATGAGACTTTTGGTGGAAACAAAAAAAAGTGCAAGCAAAATTAGATTTTTAATTTAGTGATGCAGAACAGTACAGGACAAGTGAGAGACCTGACAAGAGCAGTACTTTGCGGGGATGTCACAAGATGTGTTAACATTTAAGACAGCACAAACACGAGAGAACAGAAGCAAGGAACTAATGACATATTGAAACATTGTTACACTGTATTTTAAGGGTTTGAAGGGCTACGTGTGTTCACAGTTCGCGTGCATGAGTACGCATTTATGTGCTGGGTCCATCAAGAGGAGGGTGGTTTGAAGATAACTTGAAAAAATGAGATAATGTAAATGCATTGTTCATTGTATCATTCATTTTACAGTGAAGTCAGAAACTATTGGTGCATATTTTTTTTGCATTTGTTCTGTTCTACTCTAGCAAATTGGATTTTAAATGAAACTAGGACTTTGGTGGATAGAGTGCTGACTTTTAGCTTACATTTGAGAGAGGAGACACCTCAAAGGTGCAGTGAACTGAACATGTAAAGGTCAGGGGTGAGAAAAATCAATAGGGCACCGTCTGTTTGCCATACGGTAACAGCATCAATGTTTTGCCGTGAAATAGTGCATTGGAACTATTGAACCATTTTTTTAACAAATGTTATTATGTTCCTGAGCAAGATTAGCTGTGTGTATTTAGCAGCTTAGTCATGTTAGGGGGATAGACCCAGCCTCTTAATGAGCAACTGCCTCTAGCAGCTTTTTGAAGACCTTTTGCAGACCTTTTTGCAGAAGCACACTACCTAGCTACAGAGCAAGACATCCTCTATATTATTATAACCAGAAAATAAACAGTCTACACACATTACTCATTATTCCTATTTCTTAAGATGCAATCTTTTACTTGGTTTTGTGTGTTGGTTATGTCAAAAGAAAAAAGTTTCAGTATGAGCTACCTCAAGGTTACATCTCAGACTCTGCTATTGTGATAGCATGTTCAGACTTGAAGTGCAAAGCTCTGAAAATTGTCAAATTGTCCTGTCAGCAGGAGCCTGTCTGTTCATATTCATATTCACGTTCACTTTCACATTTCTCTGATCAAAAAACACTTTGCTGCTACTCTGTTCTTAACCCTTAAACCAACAATGCAAAAAGAAAAAAAGTATGGAGTTTACTGGTTCCAGCCAGGGATGAAAAATCAGGTATAGAATCAAACATGTCATTCGTGTGCTGTTACTCACTTACACTGATGCCCTGCAACAGTGGCTTCTCATTTGCTTTTGTAGTTCATAAAGAGGCATCAGTATTCATTTTACATTCATATCCAGCAAATAACTTTTTTTATAGTATCATTAATGAGGAAATAAGCAGGGGAACCAGCTCTGAGGCTGCTGATGGGCTATAACTTTGGGCAATGTTGAAATGAGATGATGTTGTACTGATATGCATAGGACAATACCTGGATGACTGCCCTAAACCTATTTAAAGTGTGTTGCCTGTATTGCATCACCAGATGAGTGTCTAATAAGGCACAGTTGATAATCAGGGTTATATTCAAAACTGCAAACGTTGCCTGCAGATTTATCAGCCACATAGCCTCACACACAGTGTAAAAAAGTAATCAGTATAAAAAGACAATAGAGGAGTAGGGCACAAAAATGCCAAATCAACTGATAAGTGTTTAGCTAACCTGCCTGAAATGTTTTAAATGATAATTTTTGTTGTGTAAGAATACTTCAATGACTGTAACCCTAACCCCCCCCCAACCCCCTGATCCTTACTTTTCACCTCTTATAATTTAAAAAAAAACTTTTTAATACAAATTTCATTTTATTGCATGTTGCAGTTGTGATAGATAACAGGCTTGAGGCTTTTAACACATTATTTTAACACATTCTTTTAACACATTCATTTGTCACATTTATTGCGAACAGAAATGATTGTATTCTCATGCAGAAAGAGAGAGAGACCACCCAATGCTTTTCACACCATTAGGGTGCGGTCTGGCCCACGCTTAAATGTTCTGTCACTGCCTCAACACGTGACTTTCACACAATACTAAGAAATACTAAGTGTGACTTTGTTTCCTTTTTTGTTTTTTTGGCTTCACTGCCTTCTGTTAACCCCACAGTTCACTTCTTAACAAACTAAACTCAAAGTTATAAACCCACAGCTGTGATCAGCCGCCGGATCAGGTATGATTCTGATTACACTTTTTACACTTTGTATACATTTTGTTTTTGAATTGGTTTGGAGTTTTGGATACTTTGGGTAAATACTGTGTTTTGGTTACTTACTGTACCTTTATTGATTTCAAGCTGACTTTATTTATTTTTTAAATGTGTTTATTTGTCTTGCTTTTAATTAGAATTGACCAAAAAAATTAGTTGTCGGCCTTTATAATGAACAATGTATCTTCTTGATTTGTAATATATTGTGTATGAGTGTATAAGTGTTTTTCATATAAGTACAAGTAAATGTAGATGAACTTTTAAGTGAAATATTGTATTTTTTGAGTGGTCTTGTGTGTCATTTCTTATCACTTCTTGTGTTTTTCCTTTCAATAAACTCCACAGTGTATCACACCAAGGAAACCTCAGAGCACTATGGACAAAGACAGAAAGATGATGATGTTTGGTCTGCTTTTGGCAGGTACCATAAAAAAGTCACCCCTTTTAAATCTAAATCCTATTATACATCTCACACAAGTATCAATGAAAACACCTCCTGAAGGTTACTGATTTTGTTCCTTCTTCCATTATTTCTCTCTCAGCCTTCGTCAGCCCTGTGATTGCTGGAGAATGGAGGGCCAGTGTTGTGAGAAGCCTTGATGCTCTGGTTTCATCCTGTGTTGTGATTCCCTGTTCGTTCACCCATCCTGAAGGAAACCTGCCTACCTCCAGACTCAGAGGGATCTGGCATATTTCAAACCAAAGAGATCAGTGCATCTATCACGAGGATAACACGCTAGTTTTAGACAATTTTAAGGGACGCACAAAGTTGTTGGGACATCTGGGTCAGAGCAACTGCACCTTAGAAATAATTGAAATCAAAGATCATGACAGCGGCCCTTTCTGTTTCCGGATTGAACTTAGACCAAAAGAGACTGGTACACTGGAGAAGTTCTCTTTTGTCGAGCAATGTGTCGATCTGAAAATGCTCCGTATGTTCTCAAGATTTTAACCAACCAATAGCAACTTTTTATGTCACAATGATCTGCCTCAAACTTTATCTGCATTTTTTCATTCACAGCTGATCCTCCAAAACCCAAACTGACTCACCTAAAATCTGCCGTTCAAGGACTCCCCTTCGTTCTCACCTGTACAGTCCTTCATACCTGCCCCTCTCGGGCCCCTAAACTCACATGGAGCAGGGGCACTGCAGATGGGATCACTGAGGTCAACAGAGAAATCCATGCAGGAAACTGGGAGATGCAGTCCATCCTAACGTTCATTCCTGAAGACGAGGATGATCACAGTGATGTCACCTGCACATCCACTTTTAATGGAGGCAGAACATCATCTAAAACACTGACACTCTATGTAAAACGTAAGAACTTTTAGTTCTTCTTACTGCTGCAACCAAACTTTTTGTAAAAGTCATGATGCATTAATTAGAGTGGTACACCATGACCTTAAGATATATTTGAAGGTGTCCTTTTTTTGACTGATACAGACCAGATGTTTAACTTTTCTAATTTGTGACACAAGAAATTCTGTCTTTTTGCAGGTACAGAAAACTACAACCACATTATCATTCCCACTGTGGCTGCAATTGGTACAGCTCTGATCTTTGCGGTGTTCATCATTCTCATTGTGAAAAAGTACAAGTGAGTTAATTAAGGACATCCAGTAAGGAACACAGTTCTTAATGTTTAACTAGGTTATATTCTGTATTATTTTAAGTTTAATGGTGAACATCAGTAACGCAATATTTTTTTTGTCTTCTTGAGGAGCCGCATTGTAGAGCTGCAATCTCAGGAAGGCAGGTGAGTGAAAACGTGTTTCAATGCACAATTGATCCGTAGTGCTAAGCTGATGTTTAATTGAGATTCTTTTAGTTTTATGATAATGATATTTATGTGTTTATTACTCAAATTTAGTATGTGGAACCGGCTCTCCAGACTGTCTCGCAGGTGAGAGAAACTTGTAATTATTTGTAGTTTGGTAGCATGAGAAAGCATAGAAATACTTGTTATTCAAGGTCTTAAACTGTCTGGAATATTTAGAAAAAGTCTGTGAGGAATTACTTATTCATAGAACAAACAGTAGTAATTACTGTAAGCTGTAAGGGAATTGAATTTTACAAATAGATTTATTTTAATTTGTTATATTCAAGTGACCCATGCAGACGTGACAGTTATTTTTGTTGGTGTTTTTGATAAAATCAGGCATGTATTTATGTTCAAACTTTCATTGTGTTTTCATCAGTTCTCCTTTTTCTCCCTCCTTGTTCTTCCTTTGGTCTAATTAGAGTCAGGACTGACGGTGGGAAGTGAGAAAAGGAACCTCAGAAATAAGCTTTGAATTTCCCTCAGGAACAACAAAGTATCTATCTATCTAGCTATCTATCTATCGAAGCACAACAGCTGTTGTCTTACTATTGCATTTAACAATCATTAATCTTTTCAAGTAAATGTAAAACTGCTTTGGCCACAAGGGGGACAAAACTATATATACACAATGTGTGTATGAATAGGCTTAAAGATATCCCTTTGGGCTTGTATGTTACTGCACTAATAGTCCTTCATGTTTGCTTGCTTGTTTTATTGAGAACACCCAAGTGTTTGTTTTTTACATTACAGTTTTTCTCAGTCGCTTTGGTACATTTCTCAGATCAGAATTTAAATTCTCAAAACTACTTGTTCAATCTTCACATCATTGTGTCACTTGTGCACATTAAAAAAAGCAGTTTCTCATTTCTTTGAACAAGTTGCAAATGCTTTGGTACATCCATGCAAATGATTATGTACAATTCTCTGCTGTTTCCTACATTATCAATTGCTTATGTCATGTTGATCAAAATGTATTATAATGGGTCTCTGTTGAATAGTCTCACCCCCCACAACATTTAGGCATTAGTTCATCGCATAAGTCTTTACATGCAAAATAGTTGAACAAGTTGTCATAATATGTCAAGCTTATTTCTATACATTTCCATTAGACTTGTTTTCTAAATCTGTCCTGAATTGGTAAATTGCTCCCAGGTGAATCTTGACTTTCTCTAACGAAGGGAAGTGTGTGAAGCATGTACAGTTTTCCCTAAGGAGATTGTCCTATGTTCACATTTCTACTTTTGTTTTTTTGTTTTTTTCTTTGTGCTATGCAGTGCTGTCTTTTCCTTTCTGTATCGCAATGACATGGTCTGTCAACAAATAACAGTACAAACAGTAAAAGTGTAAATGTGAATCTTGTCCAGGCTCTTGCAATCAATCTCCCACATACACTAAGGTGTAACTTACAATTTACAATAATTGTCATCAGAACTTTAGCCATAGTTTATATCAGAACACCCCTCCAGAGTACACTGTTATATTGACATGACTAAGCAATTTGACTGTCTTACCCGTACACAATGACACAAGGACTTGTCATTCTGATGACACTGACATGTTCATTGACACAGATATTTACTTTTGAGAGATGAACTAAGGATTTTGAGCAAGAGACTGGCTTTTGCAGGTAGTCCATGGTGTTTTGCTATTTGTAAGAATTGTTTTGAGAAATGCACTTACTGTTTTGCAAATGTCGAGGATGATTCGAGAAATGTACCAAAGCGACTGAGAAAAACTGTAACTCCAAATGTACTGACTTGTGATGTCAGAGACATTGTGTTTGGTTTCCTCATTTTATCAATAAAGCCTTCATTGCCACGACTTTCTGTTTTGTGTATTTAATCAGAACTGTTTAAAACCTTTTCACCAATGTGAGAATGTGATAAAATAACTTTGCAATCTAGATTTTGAATACATTTTAAAGAAGGGATCAGAAAAAAAAAGTGTTGAGGATTCATTTTTTTAATTTAATCTTTAATCTTAATAAGTTTCAAGATGTGTGTGTTAGTATTCTTTAAAATATAGTTGTTGTTTTTTTTACTATCTGTGACAATAAGAAGCAGATTTATAACCAAATTTGAAAGAATTCCTTTTTCTAAGATACTTTCAGTTGTAAATGAAAAATTTGAAAATAAAACTCAACGTTTAGCATCCTGGAAATCAACACATATATTGTTGAAAAACACAGTGCTGTTAATTCTACAAAAATGACAGTCGATGGAAATGTGTCAGATTTTCTATAATTGCAATAAACTGACTGGTTGTGTGAATATATTGAGATTGTGTGTCTGAAGGAAACTAGTTGTTTATCATTTATCGTATTTTCAAATGGTTTTCTTATCATGTAAAACAGAGTCATATTGTGGCCTATCAATATCTGTCAATGTTACTAAAACTCCAAGTGTGAAAGCTTCTGAAAATCCAGGGCTTTTTTCATTAAGGAAAACACTTTACATCATTTATCAAGTCAAAGTCATCTTTATTGTCAATTTTTTCATACGTTCTGGACAATAATAATCATACATGAACCAAGAAAATCAATAGAATGAGAATGATGTCTATGTAAAGAATCAATAAAAATGACTAGGTTCTATACCTTCATTTTAAACATCAATTTCTATTAAGAGTTGTTGTTTAGCAGAAGATGATACAGCTTCTTGAATAAACAGAATAACTTTAATGTATCTGATAGTGGCACTTGATATTTACCTTTTTTTGTTAGAATTGAAGCATCATATTAGTCCTCCCCATCCATCTCATCTTCTCTAAACCCCCTAAAGGTAAAAATAAGGAGACAAAGAAGGAAACAGTCACAAAAAGAAACAGCTAGGCAGTTATATATACCTAGAGACAGAAAAGTCAGCACACAAAATATCCTTCAAGTTCCCTTGCATGCGACGCTGATGAAGTGCTGAAACATGTCCATTGTGGTTTTGTACGCTGCTCTTACCCAGATAAAGGAAACTTGAAGGACAGTTAGTGTGTCTACTTTTCGGTCTCTTTTTTAGTCTTGTTGCAGTAGTGCGTGTGTAATATTATTTACTGTTGAGTGTGCTCCTTTTTTGCTGTTTTGGATAATCTACACATCACTACATGAATTTAGATATCAACATAAAAAGTATTGAGTGACCTTTAACCTGAGCAAGGGTTCATTACTATGTTTGTAGAACAACAATAACTGATTTCAGAAATGTAGTATTAAATGAGGCTAGATAGCCTTTGATTTTCTTTTTTATTCTCAATGGATAGATTTAGTCTCAGTGGGTGATTTTCTGCTACAGGATTGGATTAATTGATCATTGAATGATTAATGAGTAAAAACCTTCATCATTGAGGATACTTTGAGAATCGACTAGCATACCAGAAACACTTAAAAATGTCTGTGTTGACCTATGTTGATGATATTTCAGAAACCTTGTTTGGACCATATAGACTTATTGCTGTTGGGTTATGTTCACCACATGGTGGTGCCTTTTGACTTCGCTGAGTGTGAGTGAAACAAGGAGAGGAAACACACTGAGTTTATTGGGTTATACAAAGTTCAAGAAACTCTCGGTTTTCAAAAACAAATAAATAGCTGAAGGCTCAGGTTGTAAAAGGAGCTGACCAAATGTAAAAGTCTGAGCAGTTGTTGGTGCATGACTAAGTTTTCAATAGCAATCACTTCTCAGTATCATCTGATGGAGCCAAAAAAGTAACATGAAACAAAATGTATAAGGATAGATAAACATGAGGATTTAGCTTTAAAGATGACAAAGACATTCAATTTCAGTATAGCTATTTACAATTAACAAAATGAGTAATTCTATTCAAAAACAATCTTCAAACTGGGAGGTTCAAGTAATCAGGAGAACACCAAACTAAAATGGTGTATTAGCGCTGGGATTGCTGATAAGACTGAACACAGATGGATAAGAAAATGATTAATGAGGTTGTGTTGTCTTTGTGCTGAATGTGGCTACTCAAAATGTTGAGGTTAGCTCCTCTCAACAAAATCAAAAAGAGTATAATGCCATCTTTTTTTTTTTCTATTGACACCTGAAACCAAAGACATCAAAATCAAACACTGATGCTTAATAAGTCAGCCTACTTTACACTACCTATGACAACTTTTAACAAGTTGAAATGTAAATGTGGGTAATGACTGTCTTTGTGATTGCAGGAACAGTGCTTGATTGACGGACTGATTGATAAAAACCGAAGTGATTAACTTGTATTGTTCCTGCGATCCTTAATCCCTTCAACAAAGATATTATCAGGTACGTGCTCCTTTGATGACAGATGAGGTCAGACCTCCAGAACTGTCTTTAAAAATGAGAATCCTGCTCACGCCTTATTCAACGTTGGACCTTACCAGCAAACAGAAGAAACTCTCTGACTGCTACAGTTATCAAGTAAAAACTTTTAGCATGCTGTCTACAGTTTGATTTTTCAGTGATTTTCTGATTGCTAACAGTCCTTCTTTTGGTACCTTCCCCTTTTTTTCTAACAGATAGATCCTAATTCAGGCACATTTTCCATCATGGGTAACTCTGCATCCACCGGCTTCACTACGACCACTCCCAGGAGACTTTCCTGGGGTCGCCAGAAAGAGGACAAAGTCAAGCTGGAGGACGTCCTGACACGATGTGACGAGGACATCTGTAAAGTAAAAAGAAAGCAGAGTTTTATGAAGAAGAAGGCCAACATCACCCGCAGCATTCGTTACTTAGATTTGGCTCTTCAAGATGGTGACAGTTGCTATCCAAACATGGGTGGAATGCTGAACCCTGCTTTTGTTGGAGATCAGGGCCCATGAATGGGAAAATGAATTACTGTGTAAAAAATACAAATTAGAAAGAAGATCCTCTCAGTTGTGACGCTCGGAGGGGAAACAACACTCACATGCTGTGATGCTGTTAGAGCCCCTCTGCAAGGCTTATTTTGTCTCTAACCACAACTAGAGGTGTGAATGCATGAACAGGAGGTGAGGCCACATAAGACCCTTTTTTGTGAAATGCGAGAGAAGTTTTTTTTTTTCTTAGTTTCATAAATGGGTATGATCAGCAGTAGCAAAAGAAAAAGCCCCATCTTTTATTATGATGGTTTCAGAAGTAATGTTCAGGAGATAACTTTACAGGCAGACACCACACATGGCCCATGACTGCACGAGGCGTCATTAGTTTCAGGCTTCAATGAGCAAGAACAATATTTTTTCTCTCCAATGTGCAACACAGTGTGCGGCAGAGTAAAGTTCCTTTTCCTGTCAGAAGGTAAACTTAAACAAAACAGAATATCTGATGTGTGCTAGTGATTGGTGTTGTCTGTTTTTGTATTAACAACAACATTTGACCACAGATTATAATAAGGAGCACTTGCTGGTCAGTAAAATGTTTCATTATCTCAAACCCTTGCATTATGTCTTATCGCATTGCTTTAAAGGATTTTCTTTTGCTGATGAAAAAAAGTACAACTCACATGTGACTGAGCCAGCTTATTGGTTACTGCATAAATTCCTCAGGCTGGTACTGTTTTAACCTTTGTGACAGTTGTGTAAAAGTAGGTGATTGTTCACTTGTTTTTTAACTTGTGTGCTCTAAGGTTTGTGACTGCTACTTCCTCTTGTTTTTGTTGAGCAAAAGCACAGACAAAAATACACTCTTTACATGCACATAATAAACTGTAATTTAAAAGCAAAACTCAACACGTTTTTCCTTTGTCGTTAATTTACAAACTGTTTTGAAAATTGAAACCTTTCATGTTTAGAACAGAGTTTCAGTCATTAGAGCTTCATAAAATAACTTCCAAGATTAAAACCTACAACTGGCCCATTAGAAGTTTTCAATAGCAATTCAATTGGGCTATACTGCTTCCCATGGATGGGCATTAAATGAATACTTAAAGGAGCCATTAGGAAGGCCTTTTGTACTTCATATCACAAACTGTGATATGAGGGGTATGAGGTGACGGTTGATGGTGATAAGCTCAAAGAGTCAGGGATTCATGAAGTGGGATAAAATACATTATCAAATTTAAATTGAAGAAGTAATGATTCAGGTAAAAAATTAAATACCTTATTAACATCCAACAAAGGAGATGGAAGCAGCTATTTGGCTAAAAGAGCCAATATGCAAAAAAGATTCAATCAAAACTCAGTTACAAAAATATAGAAAATTATACTTTTTAACATCAGTTTATGGCAATATAACTTGAAATGACATACACGCAAACAAAATTATACATTAAAAATGGAAAATGGAAACTAGACAACCGATTTGTCACTAGAGGAAATGACAGCAACACAGCACAAGCTTATATATAATATCTGTCACTTTAGCTGCGATCAGATCCCAGGAGGATGGCTTCTTCAAAATGCTCTCTACTTTTTGTGTTGCTTTGCTTTCAAGGTATGTTCACTACCCTTTTAAATCCAGCTATACAATATTTCACAGTTCACTTGTAGTTCATTTAACACTCAGATGTTTTTCTTATTATTGAATTATTGTTCAGACAAAGAGATTAATCATTTGTGCAAGAGGGATTGTGCTAGTAGAAGTTTGTTTCTTTTTCTTTTTCTTACAGCTGTTCAAACTGAAGCCTCCTCTTGGACAGCTACGGTCCCTTCCTCAGTTAAAGGTCTCCTTGGATCCTGTGTGGTGATCCCCTGTACATTTGACTACCCAGATCCAGGGAGGACTCTCACTGAATTGACAGGGATGTGGACCAATCAGACACACCATCTCATCAATCACCCGGTTCAGTCTAAAGTCATTGAGCAGTATCGGGCCGAACAGAGCTGCTGGGAGACGTCAGACAAAAGAACTGTTCTCTGAAGATTGACCCCATCCAACAAAGTGACCAGGGACCTTTTCATTTCAGGATTGAAATGGCCGGCTATGAAAAATATTCTTACACAGCCAACTCTGTTTCCATTGCAATGATAAGTAAGTACATCTTGAGTTCTCTTACTGTACAGTAAATGCTTGCAGTTTTTTTTTTTAAATCTCTGTCATGGTTGAAATGGGAGAATACAAAGTCAAAAATCATTATCATGCATACTTTTAAAATCAATCAACTTTTCATCATATATCTCCAAATGACAACAAAATGTATATGATGACCCGTATTTAAAGTGCTGGTCTAGACCACATCCTTTGTTAAATTATTTAGAGGGACCCAACTTCGATCCAACATGAGCAAGAACATGGCCACAGTTGGATGGAAAAACTTCCTTTTAACTTGGGATGGGCTGAGAGAGAGAGAGGGGGAAAGCGAGTGAGAGAGAGAGAGAATCATGTTATCAATTTATTTTTTTCTACAGTAAGCAATGTAATACTTACTTTAACAGTCTACCAAGAGTCCAAAGATATTATATGACACATTTAACCTCACATTGTTAAGGTCAATGGTTTGTCTTCCAGTTCCTTATTTGTGTTGTGGTAACTGGTTGCTCTTCTGTAACCGTAAATAGTTTCTATCTTAACAGTTTAATTTCTCTGGAAAGATGATTGCCACTGAAAGCAAACACAAGCCATTTGAAGTGCGTGTGATTTGATTCGATGGTTTTATTATTAACTAAAACTGAATGAAAGTGATAAATGAGATGGATGAAGTACAAAATGAAAATTTCAGCAGCATAAAGCACCAACATCACATGACTGTATCTCTCTCTCTAAACCTTTACCTAACACTCCTCTAAAACATTAAACCACACTTTTCCCTTTTTTGTATTTGGATAAATAAAAAGGTTTATTATTGAAACAACTGAGGCCAGAACAACCTACAATTCCATCGAACAGCTTTCAATCAATCAATCAAACTTTATTTATATAGCACCTTTCAGACAAATTAAATTGCAGTTCAAAGTGCTTAACAAGAGTGCAGAAAAGTTATTGACAAAAAAGTAGTTTATAAAATCATTGATAAAATCATTGAGAGACTAATGCACACCAATAAGAATTAAAAAATATGTATAAAAATAAAAAAATAAAATATGACACATAAAAGCAACAAGATATTAAAATAAGAGGAACATTTTTAAAATTGTAGTAGGATAAAAAAGACAATACAGTAATGTTAAGATCTGAATTGATATAAAGCACTATATAAAAGCCAGACTGAATAAATTAGTTTTAAGACTGCGTTTAAAAATCTCAATATTCTGGGCTCCTCTTAGACCCTCAGGAAGGTTGTTCCACAGTCTCGGAGCGTAACAGCTGAAAGCAGCATCGCCAAAGATTTATGTCCTGCTCTGTGGAACAACTAAGAGAGAGGAACTGGAGGGTCTGAGGGGCCGTACTGGTTCATAAACTAAAATCATATCTGATAGGTAGTCTGGTGCAAAGCCATGTAATGCTTTATAAACTATTAAAATAATTTTAAAATCAACACGAAAACTAACAGGCAGCCAGTGAAAAGATTTTACATCCAGCTTTACATCCAGTGATTTGTGATTTTTGCTATGACTGCTTGTTCTTACAGGTGAACCAGAGCAAGTCATTTTCTCTGTGAAAAACGAGTTAAAGGAGGGTGAAACTGTGTCTGCGTCCTGCTCTGTGTATCACTCCTGCCCTGCTTCTCCTCCTGTCTTCAACTGGAGTCACTCAGGAGAGAACGTTTTCCAACAGCAGCAGCTCGATGCTGGCCAATGGAAAGCAACTTCTACTCTGACCTTTAACCCTACAGCAACTTCTACTCTGACCTTTAACCCTACACATGTTGATCATGAGAAGAATTTACAATGCTCCGTGAGATACAAGGGAGGGAAGCACCAGACCGAATCCAAGAAGCTCAACGTGAAGTGTAAGTGTTGTTTTTGATGAGTTATTCTGATATTTGTCACAAATGCTTCACTGCTGGAAATATCATTTTTTAAAGTATTTGAATCAATGAGAAAACTGTTAGATACTGTTCATATCACAAACTGTGATATGAGGGGTATGAGGTGACGGTTGATGGCGATAAGCTCAAAGAGTCAGGGATTCATGAAGTGGGATAAAATACATTATCAAATTTAAATTGAAGAAGTAATGATTCGGGTAAAAAATTAAATACCTTATTAACATCCAACAAAGGAGGTGGAAGCAGCTATTTGGCTAAAAGAGCCAATATGCAAAAAAGATTCAATCAAAACTCAGTTACAAAAATATAGAAAATGATACTCTTTTTTCCTCCCTCACTTTTTTACATCAGTTTATGGCGGTATAACTTGAAATGACATACATGGACATATACGGTAGCACATACAATGAAAGAAATGCACAAAATTAAACAATAGATGTGAAATTAAAACCAAACCAGGCTCAGGCCCCAAACTGGAAGGATTCATGGTTGACGGTTTAACCACCACACAGACATTTAAATATAGAAGCTTTCAACGTTCAAATCAGGTTGAGTTGTTAGTTTGGGGATTTACAGTCATTGTGTGTTCATGTGTTGGAAAAAGAGCATCTCACTGTGGACTCAGGACAAAGTATCCTGTGAAGCAGAACCAACTGACACTTTAAACCGAGACATTAAACATTTCACTTATTCGCCTTATTTTGCAGTTTTTCCTCACTTTCACCAACAGGAAGTCAGACAACATGTTTAATGCAGTAAAAAAAAAGAGAAGAATGCAACGTCTCTTTCTAAGGCTCATTTATAAGACGGGTCAATTTTATTTATTCTACCTTATTCTGCTGCTGTTAATTTTCTCTTGGCACTGCATAACCTACTCTACAGCTGTGTAAAGTTATTTTTTGTCCTGACTCTAAAGATGGTTTTGTCTATATATAGTTTTACCACTTTGGTCAAGGCTTCAGTGTGCCATCAGTATTTGTAGAGCTAAAGGCTTGTCATGACTCTCAGAGGATGAATTCTACAACAGAGGTTGCCCCTTGTATTTTCCTCTAGCACTACCATGAAGTTCATTATTGTGACTATCTCAGTCTCATAGCTACTGAAATAATTGTAAAGATTCATGTCCCCTTCAGATAGAACTGTAGCAACTTCGTGGTATGGGCTTCTCCTGTAGCCCAATCATTTGATCTTGTGTTTTCTTCATCCACTACACTGTTTTAGGACTAAATAAATACAAAGATAATGGTATTCCCATCAAGTTAGTTTCTTCATGCTAGTGCCAATGACCTCTGTTTTCAGTGTGCACTGACATCAGCTCAGGTTTGATAGCACGTTGTAGTAAAACACTAAAAATTGTATAAACTTTTTTTTTTCACTATGACTGCCCCAGTAAACATGCATGTTTCCATGCAGATGCCCCGGTGAATGTGAAGGTTGAGTACAAGTCAGAAGTTAAGGAGGGGGAATCTGTTCGGATGGAATGCTCCAGTGATGCTAACCCCCCAGCCAGCTATGAGTGGCATAATGAAACTGGTGATCAGCTGTTTCATGGGAAGGTCTACACGCTGCACAATGCCTCCAGACATACAGGAGCTCTCTACTGTACTGCCATTAATACAATAGCACGAAACAAGTCAAGCCCTGTGCAGCTCAATGTGTTACGTAAGTCAACAGTTGAAGGACACAATGGACAACAAAAATATAACATTTACAATTGTAGCTGCTAATTGAGTTGTTTTTTTCTAATTATAGCTTCTAATTATTACTGATTAAAGAAAAGTTGATCAGATCACTCAAATGTTGGCGTTCCGTCATCTGGATTGATTAACATTTTTGATTTACATCCTCTAAGATCAGCTGATCGGGGGTTTTTGTAGTTGCACCTTTAGAAATCTGAGATGACCTGCCTGCTCAAATCCAGTTTGCTTAATCAGTCAAACTTGAATCAAAAAGCTTTTACCTCTGTCTTCATTTATTTTCAGTGTTTTTTTCTTTTTAAGATATTTTATCCTTTTTTAAATTCCTGATCTCATTTTAAGCTGTTTGTGAAGCACTTTGTAACTTTGTTGAGAAAAGTAATGTACCCTTAAGGTTATTTAAACAAAATAAAAATATGTTTTATTAATTGTGATGTCCCTTATACTGACAGATGCCCCTGAGATTAAGAACATGTCTTCCTGCTACGCAGAGGCAGACGTGGTAAAGTGCGTGTGCATTGCAGAGTCAAGACCTGCGAGCACGGTTCACTTTGTGCTCTCTGACAAAGTCATGCCAAAAGCAAAGGTAGAGAAACACGGCCTTGTTACCATCGGTACTCTACAGGTAGAGTTTGGATCCTCTGGGTTTGTCCGCTGTTTTGCAAACAACACGCAGGGCAGCGCAGACCTCACACTCTATTTCCTGGTTAACAGTAAGCATGTTTTAGGAACATCCATTGTGTTTGATATTCATCTAAAAACGGAATAGTTGAGCATGAAATTCATTTATGTATTTGTTTATTTATTTGGACAGGTAAAATGCAGAATATTTACATTTCTATAGCCATTGGAGCAGGAGGGATTCTGGTGATACTTTTGATAGCAGTGGGGGTGAAAAAATGGTAAGTTATCATATAACATGTTACTGTTATTGAAAGTATACAGGAAAAAATGTTTTATATGTTTATTTATATGTCAGAAATAAAGTAGCAATAAGATGTTTGAAACTATGTTTGTTCTTAACATTGTTAGTTCGGAGTGAAAGTGTGTCTTGTAATAGTCTGAGCTCATCACTTTGCAGTTAACATTGCTGTGGTTGCGTGACAATTGTAAACCATTATTCTGCCAGCAGGGGGAGGTCTGTAGATGCAGCAACAACTGCTTTGAGCACCATGAAGGCGGCTAAAGATGTGGAGCACCCTCAGTATGCTACAACAACTACAAAGAGGTTTGAGTTATTCACCTCAGCTAAAATAATGTTTCCACACAATGCAAAGTGATACAAGGAAGCAAATCTAGCTAAGGTTGTGTGCATTTCTGTTTTGCATTTGGTTGAAATAAATAAGAATTGAATAATTTCATTTCTGTTCTGTCCTCAGAATAGAGAAGACCTATGATGATGACGATTGCCTAGGTGCTGTTTATGCCAATGAACCTGTTTATGGTAACATGGAGGTTTGTAAAGTTTTTTTTCTTTAAGTATTATTTCCAGATTTGAAAGAACAGATCATTTATTTGAGTTTTCTCTATAGACCGACCTGGATGACGCAATATACGCCAATATGTAACAGGAACAAGAACACCGAATTCCCTGGAAGACCAGCTTCAGTTGCAATGTGTGTTTTCTATCTGATGGGGGGTGAAGAAACTTGTCGAGATTGTTGATATACTCCTTTTTGTATAGGTTATCTAATCATTATCATCAGTCTAATTTATAGATGAGAAAATAGTTGTTCATGATGTTCAGTTGTTAATGCACTTGTGTTTTCAATTTTTGCTCCTCTCGAACACAGCTTACATGTCTTGTACGTTTTGTGACAACCATCATTAAATTGTTATAGTTTACTTTAAAATATGCTTGATAACTCTTCATTTTCTTACAATATCTGTCACTTGAGATCAGCACATAGTACACAGGCCACACTACAGAGAGCAACTTTGAGGTGTCAACCTTTTTGTACCCTGTTGTGAAATAATCATGGTATCATGAAGAGTCATTTTGATGCCATTTTTATTGAATTCACAAATTTACAAGTTAAATTAAAAAAGCTATGAACATATGGCAGCAGCACTTTCAGTCCACGCATCCTATAAGCAAATGTGTTCACAACTTCAGCTGTGAAGTGTGTGTGTGTGTGTGTGTGTGTGTGTGTGTGTGTGTGTGCGTGTGTGCGTGTGTGCGTGTGTGCGTGTGTGCGTGTGTGCGTGCGTGCGTGTGTGTGTGTGTGTGCTGACATGATTATAACACCCTAAGTGTGTCATTGGACAGGAAGGCATAGAGGAAGTTGCTTGTCACCCTAGCTGATAGATAAAAACACTTTCAAAGGCAACAAACACTGACCTACTTTACCCTCGACACAAACCCAAATGTTCAAGCACAAATTCACTTTAGGATATAGAGTTGTAGCTGGTTTACAAACCTTACACATTTCATCAAACATGTTATCTCAAAGTTAACTAGTTAAGTTATTTAAGTGAGCATGCTGGCCTGTCTGGAAATGTTTTAAACTGGTTTTCCTCTTATCTTAGTGACAGAATGTTTTTCGTAACCATTAATGACCAGTTCTCCTGACACTATGAGGTAACATGTAGGGTACTTCAAGGATCAATCTGAGGACCATTATTTTTTTATTTGTATATGCTACCCCTGGGCAGTGTTATCAGGAGGTATGGCATCTCTTTCCCCAGCTATGCTGATGACACTCAGCTCTATGTGATCGTATCGCCTGATGACACGGCCGATTGACTCACTTTTTAACTTCATTTTAGATTTTAAAGTCTGGATGTCTCACAACTTTGTACAACTTAACCAGGACAAAACAGAATTACTTGTCATCAGTTCAAAGGCTCAGAGTGAGACACTGGCTTCTACACTAAATGCACTTGGACTTAACCCAATCCAAGAAGCAAGAAATCTAGAAGTTTGATTTAATTTGTACATTGTCTTGTTCTGAGTGTTAAATAGCCTACATAAAGCCATTTTGGTTATCAAAGCATGAAATTCCTTTAAGGATCAACAATCTCATTTAGCATGCTGTACCAAAAGGTATACTAACTGATTTTTTTAGCACTCATATTATAAAGTTAAAAACAACACACAATTTTTCCATATATTTCTATATGAATATATATAGTAGCAAATAATGTATTTATTTTTTAAATATGGTCTGTTCTTTTTTTTTTAACTCCTTGAAAGTTATACCACACAAAGCCCTAACACTTGTGGGCCTATGAAATATTTTATATTATTATGAATCATGAACACTTACAAAATCAGTGTACTTATTTTTTTTAACGATACAATCTGAAGATTTTTAAGTTGTTTAAGAAACACATGTATTGCACATTACCATAGTCCAAAAGCTGAGTGGACAGTGAAAATGACATCACTCAAATACCAAGTTCCTTTTTAATATAGACCAACGCAAAAAAAGGACACACAAAAACAAAGTTACATTTGGATTATTTAATGTTAATCAGACACAATCATATAATATTAAAACAATATTATTAAAGACACAAAAATATCACATCAAAAGAAAAAACTGATCTTCCACAACAGCAAATATGAAGTGATACATTCTAAGATGATCAAGGTGATTTCTGCTCATTCAAATGATGTTAGAGTGAAGTCAAATTCTGAACTGTCTGATTGTGTCTCTTAACTCACTGTGTGGACATATAGTTTGTGTTCAGTAATTTACTTTTGGTCAGAATCTGTGTTATCAAACCAAAGCATGTCATCTGAAAAACACAAACAGAGACATTAAACTATTGGTGTGATATTTTGGTTATACACTGACACTGAGTTCCTGGCCTGCTTCCCTCCTCTGTACTTCACTGTGCATGTTAAATTCTTATTGGAGTCAATGGGCAGAGGCTTAAGAGTCACGGTTGACACAGTCTCCCACTCCCACATATTCAGCTTTTTCAATCGCAGAGTGACGATTCCGGGGTGACTCCAGATGAACTGAGGAGGGTACGAGGGGCAGGAGTGAGACACCGAGCAGGAGGCAGTTATTTTATCTCTCACCTGCACAGACAGAGATGGTACTGGAGGATTCGCTGCAGAGAAGAAATATCATCCCACTATTACCTATTTACATTTTTTCAACAGTGAATTCAATATCATGTTAAAAAACAGTAAGGATATGTGCATTAAATAAACAACACTCACACATAACGTCAATGGTCACATCATTTGTCATTATCCACGTGCTGCTACGCGCTACGTACTACGGGTGAGCGTATTGCATAATTTCCTGTTCTGTTCTCCGCTGTACTGTGTTGTTCAGTGCTGATCGAGCTAAAAGCTTAAATGTTCATTTTGCCTAGTTTCTTACGACTATTGTTTCCAACACACTGTACGTTCAGACAAACTGATGTAATCGAAAAGCCCTCTTTCTCTCTGGCGACAAACCTGCTTAACAGTTTTTTTTATTTTAGCTACCTACTCTTCGCCTAGCTTAGCGGTTAGCTTTATTTACAATGGCTTCTTTTTCTGTCTCTCCCTCTCCTGCTCTCTCCTGCTCCTGCTGTCAGATGTTAAGTTACAAAGACTAAAGGTAGATTTGATACAATCGTAATTCATGTCGGCACTAATGACTCCCGACTACGCCGGTCGGAAGTCACTAAGGTTAATGTGGAATCGGTGTGTACTTTTGCTAAGACGATGTCGGACTCCGTAGTGTTCTCTGGACCCCTCCCAAATCAAACCAGTGATGACATGTATAGCCGCATGTCATCACTCAACCGCTGGCTGTCGAGGTGGTGTCCAGCAAACGATGTGGGCTTCATAGATAACTGGCAGTCTTTTTGGGGAAAACCTGGTCTGCTAGCTAGAGACGGCATCCATCCCACTTTGGACGGTGCAGCTCTGTTATCTAGAAACATAGCAGAGGTTATTAGTCCAAAACCTTGACAACAACACAGAGTTCAGATCAGGAGGCAGAGCTGCAGTCTTACACACTTCTCTGCGCCTCCCTTAGATCTGTCTCCCAGTCACTATAGCTGTAATTATGAATCTAACTGTAGTTATACTATAGGTACTGTGTCTGTCGCCCAGTCCAGACCCATTTTTATAAGTAGAAAAAAAGACGTAAACCGTCAAAATCTCATTAGAATCAAAACTATGAATACGATTTTGCAACAAAATCAGAAAATTCACTGCAGACTTTTGAACATTAGGTCCTTCGCATCCAAATCTCTTTTAGTGAATGATCTGATATCAGATCAGCATATTGATTTACTTTGTTTGACTGAAACCTGGCTGTGTCGAGATGAATATGTTAGTTTAAATGAATCCACTCCTCCCAGTCATTTTAGTACTCATATACCTCGAGACACTGGACAAGGTGGTGGAGTAGCAGCTATTTTTAATTCTGGTCTTCCAGTTAACCCTCGACCAAAGCTGAAATTTTCTTTTTTTGAAAGCCTTGTTCTTAATCTTTCACATCCAGTCTCAAGAACCTTTCAGCCAGTTCTAGTTGTTGATAATGATAGCCTTAGCACAGCTTTCATGTCATTATTAGACTCTATTGGTTTCACCCAGGGTGTAAACGAACCGTTTTAACCACACCCTGGATCTTGTTTTAGCTTATGGCATTGAAATCCAAAACCTTACAGTTTTCCTAGAAAATTCTCTTCTATCAGACCATTTCCTTATTACTTTTGACTTTGTCCTACCAGAATTATCTCTGCTTCATAAAAATGTGCTCTCTAGAAGTTTATCTGATAGTGCTGGAGCTAGATTTAAGGAGGAAGCTATTTCAGCTGCTTTTGATTCAGTGTAGCCAGGCTGACAGAGAGTCATAGCTCCATTGAGCCTTGTATTCCTTTAGCACTCAGCAGTAATGATTTCCTTAGCTTTTTCAACAACAAAATTCTGGACATCAGAGACAATAGTAGTAACCTCCTGCCCTTACCTGGTGCAGATACGTCTGATATGGCAGAGACAGTTCCAGGACCTGATATTAGTCTAGACTGTTTTTCTCCAATCGACCTTTCAGAGCTAAATTCAATTATTTCTGCGTCGAAACCGTCAACCTGTCTTTTAGACCCAATCTCAACCAAGCTGTTTAAGGAAGTCTTTCCCTTAGTTAGCAACTCTATATTAGATATGATCAATATGTCTTTACTGGCAGGCTATGTACCACAGTCATTTAAAGTAGCGGTACTCAAATCTCTACTCAAAAAACCTACTCTAGATTCAGGAACTCTAGCTAACTACAGGCCTATATCCAACCTTCCCTTTATCTCAAATGTCCTGGAGAAAGTGGTAGCTAATCATCTGTGTGACTTTCTCCATGACAACAGTTTATTTGAGGAGTTTCAGCCAGGATTTAGGGCCCACCATAGCACTGAGACTGCACTAGTTAAAGTTACAAACGATCTACTTCTAGCTTCAGACAGGGGACTCTGTGCTCGTCTTGTTAGATCTTAGTGCTGCTTTTGACACTATTGACCACCAGATCCTATTATACAGAGTAGAACAGTTACTTGGAATTACAGGGACTGCTTTAAGTTGGTTTGAATCCTACTTATCAGACCGATCTCAGTTTGTACATGTTAATGATAAGTCCTCTATGCACACCAAAGTTAGCCATGGAGTGCCACAAGGTTCAGTGCTTGGACCAATTCTCTTTACATTATATATGCTTCCTCTGGTAAATATTATGAGGAAACACTCCATACAGTTTCATTGTTATGCAGATGATACTCAGCTTTATGTATCAATGAAACCCGATGGCACCAGTCAGTTATGTAAGCTAGAAACGTGCCTTAAGGACATTAGGACCTGGATGACCAGAAATGTTTTGCAACTTAACTCAGACAAGACTGAAGTTATTGTGCTAGGCCCTAAAAACCTCAGAGATAATTTTTCTAGTGATGTGACTGTCCTTAATGACATCAGCCTGGCATCTAGCACCACTGTTAGGAATCTAGGAGTTCTATTTGATCAAGATATGTCCTTTAGCTCTCACATCAGGAAAATTTCAAGAACAGCCTATTTTCACCTTCGTAATATATCCAAGATCAGGAATATCCTGTCGCAAAATGATGCAGAAAAACTAGTTCATGCATTTGTTACCTCCAGGTTGGATTATTGTAATTCTCTTGTGGGTCTCTAAAGACTCTTCAACTAGTCCAGAACGCTGCAGCTCGTGTACTGACTAGAACTAGGAAAAGGGACCACATTACTCCTGTGTTGGCTTCTCTGCACTAGCTCCCTATACAGTCTAGAATAGAATTCAAGATCCTTCTTCTCACTTACAAAGCTCTAAATGGCCAGGCACCATCTTATCTTAAGGAGCTACTAGTGCCGTACTGCCCCTCGAGAACATTAGGGTCCCAGAATGCTGGCCTGCTAGTGGTACCACTACCTACAGTCTCTAAGGGTACTATGGGAGGTAATGCCTTAAGTTGTCAGGCTCCTCTCCTCTGGAATCGTCTTCCAGCCGGGGTCCGGGAGGCAGACACAGTCTGTATTTTTAAGAATAGACTTAAAACTTTCCTTTTTGATAAATCTTATCGTTAGGGCTGGTGCTGGTGTAGACCAGCTCCTAGTTATGCTGCTATAAGCTTAGACTACCGGGGGAACTGGCACCTTGAGCTCCCCTTTCTCTCTCTCTCTCTCACTGTACATATACAGTACATCATATTACTGCATGTATCTATCTGTAAATCTCAGTCACTAACCACCTACTTTCCTGGGAGCTCCTTGAGCTCTCTTAGGCTCCTCGAGATCGTTGGTTGACGGCCTGCCAGAACAACCCTGTTTCGTCATGAGCCAGGGATCCAGCCGAAGATTTCTGCCTTTTAATAAGGCAGTTTTTTCTTACCACTGTAACTTTTGCTGCTTTGCTAAAGTGCTCATGATGGATAGGCCGGGTCTTTGTAATATAGCAATAAGTAAGGTCTTTTACCTGCTTTTTGTATCATAACAAGGACTAAGGTCTTTTTACCTGCTCTTTTGTAATGTTAAAAGACAAAGAGTAAGGTATTTTACCTGCTTTTTGTAAAGTGTCTCAAGATAACACTTGTTATGAGTTGACGCTATAAAAATTGATTGATTGATTGATTGATTGATCATTGTTTGTGGAGGAGAAGCTTCTTCCATACGGCGGAAATTCAATCCTGCAGTAGAAAGGGCCAGTGTCCGTCCTCCTGAAACTGTCCAGCATCATGGTGCATTCACGTGTTTGCAAATTTCCCCAAAACAGAGTCTGTTTTCTGTACTCAGTAGGCAGTTTCCAATTTGGGAGATTGATAGAGATGATTGTTGCTTTTTTTTCTCCAGAATCCAATCCACCTGTTCAGGATCTCCTTTGAGACTCGATTGGGGTAAGTGTAGGAGCAAGGAATAACCACACAGGAGCCCTGCACGGCGGAGATCTTCGGTGGTACAATGGCCGCCCATTGTCCATGAGAAGACTCGAAATGAAGGATCACTAAAAACGAAGGAAGAAAATCAAATAAATATAAGGTGATGCTGAGGTACTTTACTGGCCAATATTTTTTATTGAGGACTCACCAAGTAAAGACAGACAGGAAATCCACAACTTCAGCTCCATCTCTGATGAGAAAGAAGAATTCTACGACTTAAATCAGCATAAAGACAATGAAAATGTTTGAATCTGTCTTAGGAGCCATTAGGAAGGCCTTTTGTACTTCATATCACAAACTGTGATATGAGGGGTATGAGGTGACGGTTGATGGCGATAAGCTCAAAGAGTCAGGGATTCATGAAGTGGGATAAAATACATTATCAAATTTAAATTGAAGAAGTAATGATTCGGGTAAAAAATTAAATACCTTATTAACATCCAACAAAGGAGGTGGAAGCAGCTATTTGGTTAAAAGAGCCAATATGCAAAAAAGATTCAATCAAAACTCAGTTACAAAAATATAGAAAATGATACTCTTTTTTCCTCCCTCACTTTTTTACATCAGTTTATGGCGGTATAACTTGAAATGACATACATGGAAACAAAATTATACTTCCTAGGCAACAATAGCTTGCAGGGGGGAAATAAAGGAATTTAATGTAGTTCAGGTAGAAAAATGTGAAAGCTGTAGAAGTGTACAGATTCTGTGGTATATGTTCATAACTCTAATACACAAACTGTCCTCAGAGGAAAATTTGGTCCTTGTAACACTGTTTGAAGAAAAAATGCTACATGAGAAGTTATTGTGGTGGGCCCACAACAGTGAAACCGTAACTCTCCTGGTAGCTTTTAAGCTCTTAACAGTGTTTCAGGGACCCATTTTTTCTTCAAGTAAAGTTTTTGTATTCAGTTCAGAAAATATAGAATAGAATTGTTTCACTTCTCCAACATTCAAATTTCACTACCAAATCTACATAGTGCACCTTTAAATCATTAATACAATGAACTTCCACAATATACATGTGATGAGACAAATGTGTTTAGCACACTGGTTCTGTGGTGTGTTAAAAATGGAATGGAAACTAGACAACCGATTTGTCACGAGAGGAAATGACAGCAGCGCAGCACGAGTTTGGAAATATCTGTCACTTTATCTGCGATCAGATCCCAGGAGGATGGCTTCTTTAAAATGCCCTCTACTTTATGTGTTGCTTTGTTTTCAAGGTATGTTCACTACCCTTTTAAATCCAACTATCCAATATTTCACAGTTCACTTGTAGTTCATTTAACACTCAGATTTTTTCTTATTATTTAATGATTGTTCAGACAAAGAGATTAATAATTTGTGCAAGAGGGATTGTGCTAGTAGAAGTTTGTTTCTTTTTCTTTTTCTTACAGCTGTTCAAACTGAAGCCTCCTCTTGGACAGCTACAGTCCCTTCCCCAGTTAAAGGTCTACTTGGATCCTGTGTGGTGATCCCCTGTACATTTGACTACCCAGATCCAGGGAGGACTCTCACTGGATTGACAGGGATGTGGACCGATCAGGCACACCAGCTCATCAATCACCCGGTTCAGTCTAAAGTCATTGAGCAGTATCGGGGCCGAACAGAGCTGCTGGGAGACGTCAGACAAAAGAACTGTTCTCTGAAGATTGACCCCATCCAACAAAGTGATGAGGGACCTTTTCATTTCAGGATTGAAATGGCCGGCTATGAAAAATATTCTTACACAGCCAACTGTTTCCATTGCAATGATAAGTAAGTACATCTTGAGTTCTCTTACTGTACAGTAAATGCTTGCAGTTTTTTTTTTTTAAATCTCTGTCATGGTTGAAATGGGAGAATACAAAGTCAAAAATCATTATCATGCATACTTTTAAAATCAATCAACTTTTCATCATATATCTCCAAATGACAACAAAATGTATATGATGACCCGTATTTAAAGTGCTGGTCTAGACCACATCCTTTGTTAAATTATTTAGAGGGACCCAACTTCGATCCAACATGAGCAAGAACATGGCCACAGTTGGATGGAAAAACTTCCTTTTAACTTGGGATGGGCTGAGAGAGAGAGAGGGGAAAGCGAGTGAGAGAGAGAGAGAATCATGTTATCAATTTATTTTTTTCTACAGTAAGCAATGTAATACTTACTTTAACAGTCTACCAAGAGTCCAAAGATATTATACTGACACATTTAACCTCACATTGTTAAGGTCAATGGTTTGTCTTATCTTTGATAAGTTGACTTTGTAACTGTAGCCTCAAACAAAATCTTCAGATGAAGACTTTTATGCTGTTGACTTTTATGTGATTCCCAGTTCCTTATTTGTGTTGTGGTAACTGGTTGCTCTTCTGTAACCGTAACTAGTTTCTATCTTAACAGTTTCATTTCTCTGGAAAGATGATTGCTATTGAAAGCAAACACAAGCCATTTGAAGTGCGTGTGATTTGATTCGATGGTTTTATTATTAACTAAAATTGAATGAAAGTGATAAATGAGATGGATGAAGTACAAAATGAAAATTTCAGCAGCATAAAGCACCAACATCACATGACTGTATCTCTCTCTCTAAACCTTTACCTAACACTCCTCTAAAACATTAAACCACACTTTTCCCTTTTTTGTATTGGATAAATAAAAAGGTTTATTATTGAAACAACTGAGGCCAGAACAACCTACAATTCCATCGAACAGCTTTCAATCAATCAATCAAACTTTATTTATATAGCACCTTTCAGACAAATTAAATTGCAGTTCAAAGTGCTTAACAAGAGTGCAGAAAAGTTATTGACAAAAAAGTAGTTTATAAAATCATTGATAAAATCATTGAGAGACTAATGCACACCAATAAGAATTAAAAAATATGTATAAAAATAAAAAAATAAAATATGACACATAAAAGCAACAAGATATTAAAATAAATACATAAGAGGAACATTTTTAAAATTGTAGTAGGATAAAAAAGACAATACAGTAATGTTAAGATCTGAATTGATATAAAGCACTATATAAAAGCCAGACTGAATAAATTAGTTTTAAGACTGCATTTAAAAATCTCAATATTCTGGGCTCCTCTTAGACCCTCAGGAAGGTTGTTCCACAGTCTCGGAGCGTAACAGCTGAAAGCAGCATCGCCAAAGATTTTTGTCCTGCTCTGTGGAACAACTAAGAGAGAGGAACTGGAGGGTCTGAGGGGCCGTACTGGTTCATAAACTAAAATCATATCCGATAGGTAGTCTGGTGCAAAGCCATGTAATGCTTTATAAACTATTAAAATAATTTTAAAATCAACACGAAAACTAACAGGCAGCCAGTGTAAAGATTTTACATCCAGCTTTACATCTAGTGATTTGTGATTTTTGCTATGACTGCTTGTTCTTACAGGTGAACCAGAGCAAGTCGTTTCCTTGTGAAAAACAAGTTAAAGGAGGGTGAAACTGTGTTTGCGTCCTGCTCTGTGTCTCACTCCTGCCCTGCTTCTCCTCCTGTCTTCAACTGGAGTCACTCAGGAGAGAACGTTTTCCAACAGAAGCAGCTCAATGCTGGCCAATGGAAAGCAACTTCTACTCTGACTTTAACCCTACACATGTTGATCATGAGAAGAATTTACAATGCTCCGTGAGATACAAGGGAGGGAAGCACCAGACCGAATCCAAGAAGCTCAACGTGAAGTGTAAGTGTTGTTTTTGATGAGTTATTCTGATATTTGTCACAAATGCTTCACTGCTGGAAATATGATTTTTTAAAGTATTTGAATCAATGAGAAAACTGTTAGATACTGTTCATATCACAAACTGTGATATGAGGGGTATGAGGTGACGGTTGATGGCGATAAGCTCAAAGAGTCAGGGATTCATGAAGTGGGATAAAATACATTATCAAATTTAAATTGAAGAAGTAATGATTCGGGTAAAAAATTAAATACCTTATTAACATCCAACAAAGGAGGTGGAAGCAGCTATTTGGCTAAAAGAGCCAATATGCAAAAAAGATTCAATCAAAACTCAGTTACAAAAATATAGAAAATGATACTCTTTTTTCCTCCCTCACTTTTTTACATCAGTTTATGGCGGTATAACTTGAAATGACATACATGGACATATACGGTAGCACATACAATGAAAGAAATGCACAAAATTAAACAATAGATGTGAAATTAAAACCAAACCAGGCTCAGGCCCCAAACTGGAAGGATTCATGGTTGACGGTTTAACCACCACACAGACATTTAAATATAGAAGCTTTCAACGTTCAAATCAGGTTGAGTTGTTAGTTTGGGGATTTACAGTCATTGTGTGTTCATGTGTTGGAAAAAGAGCATCTCACTGCGGACTCAGGACAAAGTATCCTGTGAAGCAGAACCAACTGACACTTTAAACCGAGACATTAAACATTTCACTTATTCGCCTTATTTTGCAGTTTTTCCTCACTTTCACCAACAGGAAGTCAGACAACATGTTTAATGCAGTAAAAAAAAGAGAAGAATGCAACGTCTCTTTCTAAGGCTCATTTATAAGACGGGTCAATTTTATTTATTCTACCTTATTCTGCTGCTGTTAATTTTCTCTTGGCACTGCATAACCTACTCTACAGCTGTGTAAAGTTATTTTTTGTCCTGACTCTAAAGATGGTTTTGTCTATATATAGTTTTACCACTTTGGTCAAGGCTTCAGTGTGCCATCAGTATTTGTAGAGCTAAAGGCTTGTCATGACTCTCAGAGGATGAATTCTACAACAGAGGTTGCCCCTTGTATTTTCCTCTAGCACTACCATGAAGTTCATTATTGTGACTATCTCAGTCTCATAGCTACTGAAATAATTGCAAAGATTCATGTCCCCTTCAGATAGAACTGTAGCAACTTCGTGGTATGGGCTTCTCCTGTAGCCCAATCATTTGATCTTGTGTTTTCTTCATCCACTACACTGTTTTAGGACTAAATAAATACAAAGATAATGGTATTCCCATCAAGTTAGTTTCTTCATGCTAGTGCCAATGACCTCTGTTTTCAGTGTGCACTGACATCAGCTCAGGTTTGATAGCACGTTGTAGTAAAACACTAAAAATTGTATAAACTTTTTTTTTTCACTATGACTGCCCCAGTAAACATGCATGTTTCCATGCAGATGCCCCGGTGAATGTGAAGGTTGAGTACAAGTCAGAAGTTAAGGAGGGGGAATCTGTTCGGATGGAATGCTCCAGTGATGCTAACCCCCCAGCCAGCTATGAGTGGCATAATGAAACTGGTGCTCAGCTGTTTCATGGGAAGGTCTACACGCTGCACAATGCCTCCAGACATACAGGAGCTCTCTACTGTACTGCCATTAATACAATAGCACGAAACAAGTCAAGCCCTGTGCAGCTCAATGTGTTACGTAAGTCAACAGTTGAAGGACACAATGGACAACAAAAATATAACATTTACAATTGTAGCTGCTAATTGAGTTGTTTTTTTTCTAATCATAGCTTCTAATTATTACTGATTAAAGAAAAGTTGATCAGATCACTCAAATGTTGGCGTTCCGTCATCTGGATTGATTAACATTTTTGATTTACATCCTCTAAGATCAGCTGATCGGGGGTTTTTGTAGTTGCACCTTTAGAAATCTGAGATGACCTGCCTGCTCAGATCCAGTTTGCTTAATCAGTCAAACTTGAATCAAAAAGCTTTTACCTCTGTCTTCATTTATTTTCAGTGTTTTTTTCTTTTTAAGATATTTTATCCTTTTTTAAATTCCTGATCTCATTTTAAGCTGTTTGTGAAGCACTTTGTAACTTTGTTGAGAAAAGTAATGTACCCTTAAGGTTATTTAAACAAAATAAAAATATGTTTTATTAATTGTGATGTCCCTTATACTGACAGATGCCCCTGAGATTGAACATATGGCAGCAGCAAAAGCTATGAACATATGGCAGCAGCACTTTCAGTCCACGCATCCTATAAGCAAATGTGTTCACAACTTCAGCTGTGAAGTGTGTGTGTGTGTGTGTGTGTGTGTGTGTGTGTGTGTGCGCGTGTGTGCGTGTGTGCGTGCGTGCGTGCGTGCGTGCGTGTGTGTGCTGACATGATTATAACACCCTAAGTGTGTCATTGGACAGGAAGGCATAGAGGAAGCTGCTTATCACCCTAGCTGATAGATAAAAACACTTTCAAAGGCAACAAACACTGACCTACTTTACCCTCGACACAAACCCAAATGTTCAAGCACAAATTCACTTTAGGATATAGAGTTGTAGCTGGTTTACAAACCTTACACATTTCATCAAACATGTTATCTCAAAGTTAACTAGTTAAGTTATTTAAGTGAGCATGCTGGCCTGTCTGGAAATGTTTTAAACTGGTTTTCCTCTTATCTTAGTGACAGAATGTTTTTCGTAACCATTAATGACCAGTTCTCCTGACACTATGAGGTAACATGTAGGGTACTTCAAGGATCAATCTGAGGACCATTATTTTTTTATTTGTATATGCTACCCCTGGGCAGTGTTATCAGGAGGTATGGCATCTCTTTCCTCAGCTATGCTGATGACACTCAGCTCTATGTGATCGTATCTCCTGATGACACGGCCGATTGACTCACTTTTTAACTTCATTTTAGATTTTAAAGTCTGGATGTCTCACAACTTTGTACAACTTAACCAGGACAAAACAGAATTACTTGTCATCAGTTCAAAGGCTCAGAGAGAGACACTGGCTTCTACACTAAATGCACTTGGACTTAACCCAATCCAAGAAGCAAGAAATCTAGAAGTTTGATTTAATTTGTACATTGTCTTGTTCTGAGTGTTAAATAGCCTACATAAAGCCATTTTGGTTATCAAAGCATGAAATTCCTTTAAGGATCAACAATCTCATTTAGCATGCTGTACCAAAAGGTATACTAACTGATTTTTTTAGCATTCATATTATAAAGTTAAAAACAACACACAACTTTTCCATATATTTCTATATGAATATATATAGTAGCAAATAATGTATTTATTTTTTAAATATGGTCTGTTCTTTTTTTTTTAACTCCTTGAAAGTTATACCACACAAAGCCCTAACACTTGTGGGCCTATGAAATATTTTATATTATTATGAATCATGAACACTTACAAAATCAGTGTACTTATTTTTTTTAACGATACAATCTGAAGATTTTTAAGTTGTTTAAGACACACATGTATTGCACATTACCATAGTCCAAAAGTTGAGTGGACAGTGAAAATGACATCACTCAAATACCAAGTTCCTTTTTAATATAGACCAACGCAAAAAAAAAGGACACACAAAAACAAAGTTACATTTGGATTATTTAATGTTAATCAGACACAATCATATAATATTAAAACAATATTAATCAGACACAACAATATCACATCAAAAGAAAAAACTGATCTTCCACAACAGCAAATATGAAGTGATACATTCTAAGATGATCAAGGTGATTTCTGCTCATTCAAATGATGTTAGAGTGAAGTCAAATTCTGAACTGTCTGATTGTGTCTCTTAACTCACTGTGTGGACATATAGTTTGTGTTCAGTAATTTACTTTTGGTCAGAATCTGTGTTGTCAAACCAAAGCATGTCATCTGAAAAACACAAACAGAGACATTAAACTATTGGTGTGATATTTTGGTTATACACTGACACTGAGTTCCTGGCCTGCTTCCCTCCTCTGTACTTCACTGTGCATGTTAAATTCTTATTGAAGTCAATGGGCAGAGGCTTAAGAGTCACGGTTGACACAGTCTCCCACTCCCACATATTCAGCTTCTTCGATCGCAGAGTGACGATTCCGGGGTGACTCCAGATGAACTGAGGAGGGTACGAGGGGCAGGAGTGAGACACCGAGCAGGAGGCAGTTATTTTATCTCTCACCTGCACAGACAGAGATGGTACTGGAGGATTCGCTGGAGAGAAGAAATATCATCCCACTATTACCTATTTACATTTTTTGAACAGTGAATTTAATATCATGTTAAAAAACAGTAAGGATATGTGCATTAAATAAACAACACTCACACATAACATCAATGGTCACATCATTCTTTGTGTAGGAGTAGCTTCTTCCGTACTGCGGCAATTCAATCCTGAAGTAGAAAGGGCCAGTGTCAGTCCTCCTGACACCGTCCAGCATCATGGTGCAATTATGTGTTTGCAAATTTCCCAAAAACAGAGTCCGTTTTCTGTACTTAGTAGGCAGTTTCCATTTTGGGAGATTGGTAGAGATGATAGTTGCTTTTTTTTTCCAGAATCCAATCCACCTGTTCAGGTTCTCCTTTGAGGCTCGCTTGGGGTAAGTGTAGGAGCAAGGAATAACCACACAGGAGCCCTGCACGGCGGAGATCTTTGGTGGTACAATGGCCGCCCATTGTCCATGAGAGGACTCGAAATGTAGGATCACTAAAAACAAAGGAAGAAAATCAAATAAATATAAGGTGATGCTGAGGTACTTTACTGGACAATATTTTTTACTGAGGACTCACCAAGTAAAGACAGAAAGGAAATCCCCAACTTCAGCTCCATCTCTGATGAGAAAGAAGAATTCTTCGACTTAAATCAGCATAAAGACAATGAAAATGTTTGAGTCTGTCTTTGTATTCATTTGCTTGTATGTAAAGAACCCACTCACCTTCGAATCCTTTCTCACTCTCAGAGCTCCTTAGATTTGATCATTGTCTTTGGGTTTCATATTTATTGTCTGGATTTGCCCTTCAGAATTGAAGGTGTAACCAAATGTTACCTAAAACGTTTAACTCATTGTGTGAGTTGGCATTTATACGGTTACAACAGTAGCCCAGGAGAAAGATATTGTTGCAATTTATGTGATCGCTTTCTCATGGTTTGACCTTTGTTGTAGCTTTGATTTTGTTTTTCTACAACCAAATGAATGAGAGAAAAAATAATTTGCAGCGAGTTCCAGTAAAGTACAGAAGCAACACTTTCTGTTCTCGAGATAAAAAGAAAACACGAGATAAGTAAAAACTTTGAGAAACAAAGGAGTGTTGTGTGGAAGAAATCATCACATGATATCAACACAGACATTTTTAAAAGCCCTCAAGCCTACCAATGAAGGCCAAGCCAGAGAAAACAAGCAGTTTAAAGAGTACCACAAACCCACATTCTATTGAACGTTTCTGTGATTACAACAGTTTCTTACAAGGATGTTGCGACCTAGAAATATTTGAATGCAATTCAATTTGACAGAAGAAAGCACACTATACTATAAGTTAGAAAGTACTGTATATAATATTATTTCACATTTGTTTAATTTGTTAATAAAAAAAACCATACAGGTACTGTAATGTCATGTTAGTTTACACAGAAATTAAAAAATTGTTCATAATTCTTTTAATTTTGGGTTTTGATATATGACGTCATCGGCCTGCGTGCAGAGGTGACGTAGATAGTCGAGGTGGTGGTCAAGAGATAATGCGCATGTATGCCGTTTTTGTTGTGAGGACCCGATGCTTCTTAAGAGAGATAATCATAAAAAAATACAGCACCGGGAAGAATAAAGTTGCCAAACGGAAGACAGAGTCCTGGTCTTTTCATGGGTGCAACAAGGACATAGATTAAATGTTATAGTTTTGCTGTTCAGGCATACACAGCATGCATTTTAGGTCATTTGATGTTCAGTCAAATGAGATCATCATATCACAAAAAATATATTGCTTAATCAGTTTTCTGTTAAAACTGTTTTATTCTTTACTAGTTAGTGTTGGTAGCAACACAATCTGTTTGTCGTTAATAAGGGACATTTGCTTCTTACTTAGTATAGTTTCAAAGAATCATTCTGGTTAAGGAAGACTCATTTACTGTGAAAGATCTATGCCAACATTTCAGCATGGGACTCTAGAAACAGCTGCTTGAGACAAAAGTGTCTCAGCTATGGTGATAGGCCAGTGTCAAGAACACAGGAGACTAAAACAAACCAAGGTCAAGTGTTCCGCCTCCATTGTTTGGTGTTTCTATATTCTTATAAACTCTATAAAGAAAAATTAAATACTTCTCCTAAAGGACAGCTTTTTGTTGGTGTAACTAAAAAATATTTTAAAACTGAGAGAGAAAAAACTTTCCAATTGTTAGATCCATCAGAACATGTGCATGATCAATAAAATATTCTCATTTGATGATTTAGCAGCACATTCAGATATAAACACATGCCACTCCCATGTTCTAGCACTTTCCAAGTTTCAGTAAAAGTGTGACTATATCATCGAAAGCACAAACAGTTTTCAACCGCCCCAAAAGAGACAGAAAACATAAACAGCTTCACTTACTTCCTCTCTCCTTTTTTTAATGCAGGCTTTAACACAGCCAACTAATATTGCTGAGTTTAGTGCGCCGTTAGCGGAGAGCATGCAATAAAAGAAGAGTAGATACAGTCGATCTTTAAGGACAGACAAAAACAAACATATTTAACCCTTTATTATTTTGTACTTTACAGTTCTTAAGTTGTTTGTTTACAAGAAAGACATTATATCAGAAAAAAACAGAAGTCTGAGGAGAAATGAAACAGGAAGTAAAATCTGCATATATATTGAGAAAGATGAGGAAAAATAGAGTGTTATTGCTTGACCTGATATTTATCGAGTCATGGTACACAGAATAACAGAAGTCCAGTAAAGGGATGTTACAAAAAACTTACAAAACTGATGTGCTAAATGTTTCACATCATTTCCTTCCACACTTGGTGGTGAAACACAGCACGTACAATGACAGGTGCATAGTATAAAAAACAATTAGAAGATGTTATACTCTTCAAGGCAAATCTTAAATGAACAAGTTGTGTTATATTTTAATAGGTTTGACATTAATATGTTACCCACCAGCTCAATAGTGACACATTTAAGTTGAGCTATGTGGACACAGATACATGTAAGCATGACTGCCAGCCTGGTTTGCCGAATGAAAAACCAAAATAAAGTAACGAAAAGATGATGGTTATGTCAAATAAACGTTTTTAAGGTGACCTTTAATTGCAGGTCTGTATGAACTCTTGAAGCATATTTCACTTCTGCAATATTTTCTATGCTACTCTGACTGATAGTCTAATGTTAATCTAATATCCATTGATACTTTGGGGAGCAAAAACAACAGATTTTAAAGCATGAAGTATTGCTTTTTTAAGTCTATGTAAGAGGGGACGGCTGTGGTTCAGTGGTTGAGTCTGCATGTGAGCCATGCAGACAACTGAAATACAATCTAATTTCAACCCTGTCTGATTACACATTGTGAACTTTTACTAAATCGTACAGTGCACGCTGAACTGAACAGTGAGAATTTGAGTTCAATATATATGTATATATTTTAATTGCTTATATTAAGAATCTACAACTGGACTATTTGGGCCCCAAAGCAGCTGGGTCCCAGAAAGCTCCCCCCCCCCCCCCGCTTGGGCAGCCCTGCTAGTGAGCAAAATACTATCATAACAACGGCTTTTAATCTATAACAACACTAAAATGTTATATACTCCATACTTAACAAACTATTAATTACAATATCTTGTTCAATTTTAATGACACATAAAGTCGCAATGTTATATCTATCCTGACATACAGCTCTTCTTCTACTGTGAATAATCTACATTTCCATATATGTTGTTAGTGTGATCCACACTTTGATCCACACGATCCAGTGGGTCCTGCAAAGAAAGACATTGTTTTTTTCTATAAGTGGGCATCTTTTCATTTATTTGCATGATGAGATATACAACATGGAAACCTAATAAAAAGCAAACCCTCTGTAAACTGTACCTTCATGTTGACGTAGACAGGCTCCTCAATGTCTTTCAGTTCAGGCAGCTCATCAATTTTCTTGCAAGATATTTCACTGCAAATACAAAACAGAATATGTTTTGAATCTCATATACACAAAATAGATTACAGAAAAGTGTCATTATGTCTGTGATTGAAGATTCACATGCATGGAACATCTGTTTTTATCATTATCAACACCTTCAGTTTTTCTGTGTCTTGTACCAAACTGAAACTCAAAATTGAAAACTACATTGAGCTTCTTGAACATACATATATACAAAATACAAAAATATATATTTATTCTCATTTAATTTAAACATTATAGAGCAAAACAAACCTTTTGGCGTCATTTGATAATGCTCTGCTAAAATTTGCATAATATCCTGATTCCTCCCGAGTAAAGGCCTGTGTCCTGAAGAAATAAAAGGTTGATTGCTATGAAGTGGTAATGAAATGTAATACAAGTTTAAAACAAGGCTCATTATTAAGTATGTTGATTTCTACCTGACATTTATTTATAATAACTTATTGATTTGATTTTTAGATCTGACAACAGGCTTAGAAACTGTATGTGATGTCACAAATTCAGGATTGAATATAGCCTAAATGTTTTAAACTGAGACTTAAGTGGAGCACACATTAAAGGTGCACTATGGAGCTTTGGTAGTGAAATTTGAAAGTTGGAGGAGTGAAACAATTCTATTCTATATTTTAAGTAAATACACAAACTTTATTCAAAGGAAAAAATGGTTCCTTTCCTGAAACACTGTTTAGAGCTTAAAAGCTACCAGGAGAGTTGCAGGTTAACTGTTGCCGGGCCACCACCATAACTTCTCACGTAGCATTTTATCTTCAAACAGTGATCCAGGGACCCAATTTTCCTCTGAGGAAAGTTTGTGTATAGAGTTATGAACTTATACCACAGAATCTGTACACTTCTCCAACTGTCACATTTATCTACCACAGTGCACCTTTAACTGTCTCCCATTAGCAGATGAATTTAAAACAGATTTTTAATATGAAACACTTTAGGGTTTGTGTATGAGACACAAGGCTCCAATACTAAAAGTATAGCTTTGCTGCTCACATGCATTTTTAGGAAAGCTTTAAGTTGAGTTACCTTTTGTGTTTTATGAAACAGAAAACTCCAACGATAATAATGAGGATCACAAGTGCAGCAACGGGCACACAGATGATCATATACATTTGTTGTGAATTACTCTCTTTAGGATCTGCGAATGAGTCAATGAAATAAAGGAACTTCATTACCATTTGTAATATAAAATATGAGCCTGAAACTGCCTGAAAAACAAACTGTGAACAATAAACATACCTGATGTTGTATTAGTGTCTAATAACGTGTTATTCCTATCTGAAAAACAAATACATCTGTGACAGTTTTCTTTAGATGCATTTCACCTTGCGGTACTTTGGTTGATCTAAATACATTTGTATTTTGGAGGATAACATACATCCTGCTTGAAAAGTTAGGCACAGAAACAAATCATATAAATGTGAATGGGATTAAAACTTAAAGATATTCTGCTGTAAGAGAGAATGGCATTATTTTACATTTTTTCAAGCACACAAATACAAATTCCAAATAATAAATGTTTCACTGAATGACTTACCAACCACACGAATAGCGACTTTGTTTTTGTAGAAACTGTATTTCTCAGACCGTGTGATAATTCTCACATAAAGTTCTGAATCATCTTCCGTGACATTTTTGATCTCCAGGGAGCAGTCTCTTTCGCCTTCATTTTTGAGCTCTGTCCTTCCTCTGTATTTCTTCAGCACATATGTATCATTCTTGTGATAAATAAATGCATTTACATCGTTGTCATTGGTTTTGAAGCTGCTCTTCTGATTCTTCTTCCAGTAAACTTGAACTTGGCCATCGCATTTAACAGGTGGACAGCTAAACGTACAATTTATGGTCACACTTGAGCCCCTTACTGCTTCAATGACATCCTGGACGCTTACTGTCCAGTTTCCGGTAACTGTGTCCAAAACAAAACAACATTTCATTTGTTAAAATGTTCACTATGAGGCCAAACAAACACATCAAATAAAATGATGACCCACCTTCTGCATTAGAGATCAGGATCAATAAGAAAGTGAGTTCAATCAGGCCACTTAGCTTCATCTAAAAAAACAACAACAACAACTTAGTTTTATCAACATAATAATTGTTTGTAAATTGTCAGTAATCTATTATCGTACAACAGATTACTGGATGCTGCCTCTTTTCTGACATTTGCTGTGCAAAGTAAATACTCACTGTGAGAGAGATCTAGGCGAGCTTGTAGAGCTTTGTTGTACTTTGCTAATATGTCATAGATCTCAACAATGGTGTGAAGTTTGTGGGTGTGTTTCCTATTATCAGGGACAGTACATTCAAAGAAATAAGGAAGTTAGGACAGAGAAGAGAACACTGACCACATTATGACCTTCTCATTTATATATTTGTATTTTATTATATACATTTTTCAGGCCTACATACATCGAGAATGTTGAGGGAAAACACTGTGACTGACACTTATGCTCTGTATCACATCAGCTGTACAAATACTGTACAAGGGCTATTTTACACCTCTCTCTAGCAACAATAGCTCAGAAGTGTGAACAGAGGAAGTCTTTTTTAGTGAGTTCTGGTGTCACATTAAAGTTGCAGATTATGAGTAAATTTCTGTTGTCTACTCCATGCCAACAAATAATGAAGAGCATGTTAAATATATTGGCATAGAGGCTGTGTTGAAGCAGCCCAGTGGATTGTCAATGTCTGACACTCTGGAGCGCCCTCCTCAGACAACATTGAGGTCACTTCTGTAAAATTGAAGGGTTAGTGTGTCGTGACCTGAGAGTAACTGTCTCTTGTTCAACAAAAGGCTCAAAAAATCCTCAAACTGTGCTTTTTTTGTGCTGCAATTTATTTCAACGATTAAGCCTTAATTTCTTTATTTTTACAGTGAACTCAGTTTGATAGGGAAGAGTGCATGATGTCTGCATTTTGTTGTTCTTAAAGGACATATGTTGGAACTTTTCTTCTAGGATGTTAAAGTTAAACTTTTAATTTTGCGTCAAAATGGGAAAATTCAAAAGTTTTATAAAGATGTATTATAAGTTATACCATCCACGACGTAGTTTAATCAGGCATGTTTTTTTAGGTAACGACTCATTAAATGGACCATCACATATCCTTCCTCCCTTTCAAAGGTATTCATGCATGCAGGAAATTACTAGTAATTATAACTACTAACTGAACAAGCACCACGTTGTAAAAAAATAGTAATCCCTAAAATAAAAGCTACTCTTAAATTGAAATGAAATATTTGTTCATTAATCATCTACCTCAGCAACCTTCATCCCCTTATTGTTTGTTTGCCAGCGTTTAGGCAAATGTAGAATCTGTTGTTCCCCTTGCGATGACAAAAAAAGGCTCTCTGTTACACGGAAGAATTCAAAGGTGGTAAACTACATGAACAAAGTTTTCCAAATACAGACATATCTTATAATACAGCCCAGTTCTGTTCATAGTAGAAAGTATTCGAAAAGTGTTACGACATTAGAGTCCAAAGAAATTTTATCATTTAATGAAAATAATAAAGAAGACTAAAAAACAAGTAGGCCTGCCTCAAACTAATTATCCTTGTTCTTATGGATCTGTTATTGAGACAAATATTGTGTTAAGGTTGGAAATTGGAGAAATTAATTATACAATTGTAAGGTAAGGCTTCTCTGCTTAAAATAAAAGTTTGAAAAGCTAGATTTCTACAGTGGATCATTTTAAGAGTTAAGGGTGGTAGCCTTCAACTACAGAAAGTATCAGCTTTAAATTGAATGTCCACATGGGCGATCATCTATTAATGTGTGTGTGTGTGTGTGTGTGTGTGTGTGTGTGTGTGTGTGTGCGCGCGAGTGAGTGTCTGTGTGTGTGTGTGTGTGTGTGTGTGTGTGTGTGTGTGTTGTAAAATTGAACCACTAGGTGGAGCGAGTCATGCTCCCAAATCCAATAGTGGTGAACTTTAGCACTGAAATCCAGACTCCACCTGGAATGTGGGCCAAACTCGGATCTGAGGGTGCAGTCATATGACTCCCAGATGGCTGAATGAGAGTCAACACGGCTGAAGTTGGTTCACTGAAACGTATTCAACATAGTTTTTCATCTTGGACGATTTGTTGTAAGTAATCGCTCGTGGCTGGTTTGAACTCCAGTCCGCACAGGGAGATGGGAAGCGACGCGTTGTTTTGGCAGCTGTAGTCTGCAGGAGAATGACAGCTTGTTGTTGTCTGTTGAGGATTTGTGGATGCAGCTCTTCTTCACCTGTGGAGGTGATCGCGTACTCTGCAGGTTCAAATGGAAGAACTTAGGGATTGGCGTCCACTGCAGACCGCAGGAGAAGGGACGAGCTCCACAGATCGTCAGCAGTCACATGTCGGCTTCCAGAGACAAGTAGCAGCGGTCAATTCCCCTGCTCTGTCCGCCGCACGACTCACCTTACCTGGAGTCATGGACGCAGAGGGGAGGGTGGACGAGTCAAGACTAAGGATGCATATCTTCAAAAACGGTATCTATCTATCCAACTATCTATCTATCTCTGTCTTCAAGTGATCTATGCCAGCTTTGCACATCAGCAAGTTCAAGTTTTTTCCCCTAAATACAAAGAACAGTAGAATATTTAGATAGCTTGACTTTACATGAGCATCATTGTAAAATTACAACTTGCATTTGTACTTGTTTGTGGCACACTTTTAATGTAATGCAGTAGAAACTGTAGAAACAGTTCCTGAGGTAGAAACAGGCAATCCAGAAATCTTAAATAATCCTATAATGCCCATTCAGAAATATGATCCAGTGAATTCATGTTTGAATGATTGGTATTTCAGCATGGTATGACAAAGAAGTCCTATGTTTTGGGGTTTTTTTTAACACTGAACACTGTTTTGATGAGGCCCTATACTGTAACTGAACTTTTTCACATTTGTTAGAAAATGTGTTTTTCATTTAATCTTTTCAGAAATCTATCCTAGTGGATAAAAGGGATTTAACTTGACTGAAAATGAACATGTACCTCAGGTTTCTAGAAACAGCATGCCCATAGATGCAATACTTTACTTTCTGGTCAATAATTCAACACATATAATATGTTGTGATGCATCAAAGCTATCAATGAATAGAGACCATTCCTACAAGCTAAACAGAAAGTCAAGTGATGCTCTGCTGCAGGACATGAGCAACAGTCAAAACAAGAATGTTTCATTGGGCAGCACAACGCCTTGAGCAAAGAACTCCAGCGTGACTTCTGAGATAAAACAACAGATACTATTTGAGAGTTGTTAAGATTCCTAAGAAGCTGAATACAATCACATGAGATTCATTAGTCAGAAGAGAAAAAAATATTCCATTTCGTGTGCTAAGAAATGAGAATTATCTGACTGTATGCTTCAGAAGTATGTCCTAAAACACAGTCCTCAAAAGATTGTTTATCATGGCCTGGTACTGTAGGCTTTTCTTTATATAGCTGACAATTCTTAAGGTTTTAGCAGTGAACATATACACACAGGGCCTCTCGGGGGTAAAATGTCTCACTAAATTTGACCTTTGACCTGGAAACCAATCGTTAAAGACTCTACAGTACTGCGCAAATACTTACATAAGACATCCCAAATCCTCATCTCAAATTCCAGGAGATGCATTTTTACATAAGATGTCCAGTTTCTCAGCTGCAAAGCTAATTTTTCTTGCATGTGTTCTATTCTATAACAGTTGTTTTTTTTGGTCCTGTAGTGATGGGCATGACTGAAAGATTAAAGCTAAAATAACCTCTTGTCTTGAAACACTGGTAAATCAGATAATTGACTTCTCAATGATCGAAAGGCCTTTAATCTTTTATAGGTGGCGTGTCTCCATCTGAACGTGGCCTTGTGTGGCGTTTCCTGTTTGGGATGTACCCGTGCAGCTCGACAGCCTTAGAGCGCTCACTTCTGCAGGAGCAGCTGGTTGTACGTTACAGTGTCATGAAAAGAAAGTGGCAGCAGCTCCTTCCTGCAGCTGTGCACATTCACCTCAACGGCACTGATGGTAAACTCCAACAACACATGCACAAACTTTTCTCTCTCCTTTTCTTATTACAATTTGTTATTTTATCGATAACAAAATATCAACGACCATATGACCTTTTATACATTCAAGCTGAGTTAGTAGCAGCAGTCCGTTACTTTGACCAGAGGCAGGCACGGGCCCAACAACAGACCCAGGACCAGTCTGAGGAGGTCTGGGAAAGACTGGCTTTCTTGGAACTTCAAGCACAGGTTAGATGAGTTTTGTCTATTAAAGAGAAAAGATTTACTGATTAATGTATGAGCTGTGCAGTATGTTTAGGAAAATTACAACAGGATCTACTTTTGTTAAACAAACTTTTATTTACACATGACATCATTTTACCTGTTTGCACTAGCTCAAGTGTTCAGCACCTCTCTCAGGCAGCCATGTGTACCTAGGAAAACCTGTTTAAATTGTACATTCAGATAGTGAGACTTGACAAGCAGCTTTAACAGAATCATGCTACTAGATTCAAGATTCAAGTTTTTTATTTGTCACATGCTCATACAGATGTGCAGTGAAATATAAAGGCCATGCAATAAACACTCAAAAAATTACTAGTACACATATATACAGTAATGTAGAAATATAATGTACAATGTAGAAAATATAAACAGTGTAAAGTGTCCTGGGTGTCAAAGTGCAATGTGCAGATTGGAATGTGTGGTGTGTGTGCATCATGTAGTCACAGTTCTGTTGTTTTTGTTGTTTTTTTGTACTTAAACTACTCAGGCTAGTTTACATCTTAAACAGTGCTCGTGCAAATTCTGTGAATGAAAAGGATAGAATTCAAATGGATTTACAAATTTAGGGACTCTTCATACCCAGTTAAAAGTTAAACCCCAACAATATTGGTCAAATATCTTTGTCTTTGTCTACATTTTATTCTCCTCACCAGATACTGTTTGAGCGAGCCACATTTGACCAGGAGGAGCTGCGGGAAGCAATACGAATCATTGACAAGGATGTGCCGAGAACTAACAGAGACCTGAGCTATTACCAGTGAGTGACTGGGAGCCATTGTTATGGGTTTATTTTGCTACACTTAGGATATGAGTCAACATATGTGTGTCAACAGATGGAGTGTGGAATTTGATCGGTGATCCATGAAATGAAGTTGGTTCGAGTAAACATCCATACATTTAGCCGTCTTCCCCTCAGCTGACCCAGAAATTGTAACAATAACAAGAGATTGAATTGGATTATTTTACCAAACATCAGAATTCACTGTAGAGCTACATCAACCTTTTAATATTCACAAGAAACAACGTCAATCGCCATATGATTGCTTGATGGTTAGCGTCAATTTCAAGATAGTGTCTTTTTAAAAATAATTTACCATAATCTGTTTAAAGATTATCAGATAGTTATGAACATAAGGAAGTTATTTTATTCAAAGATTACATCTAGGTAGCTGGATTGCTCATTTCGGACAACCTGATTTAGAGTATTGACTTTAAATTTACCTTTAAACTGGACCAGACTAAACTTGATTTGGACCTACCAAGATATTTTTCTCTTGCTGCTCTGGGCTTCAACCTGTTTGAATGCTACTTATTAATAAAGCTATGATGGTACAATATGGAAATAAATCATGTCTATTAAAAAGCAAACAAAGATGAGCTAAAAATTAACATTTTGGTTGGAAACTATGAAATGTCTGCAAATATCTGTTCCTTAAAACAATATATTAATCAACTGAAAGTAGATTACTGAGTCAAAGCCATTTCACTAAAATTACATTACTAATTTAGTGTTTTTAATTAATTAAAATATATAGAATATCTAAATTCATTGTAACCTGCTCTTCGACAAACTGATCATATATGTTCTATAACTGACCAGGCAAATTATCACTTATGGGGTTGCCAACTTGAAAGAGCACACCAACTAAGCTTTTGGACTGACTCTGATCACTTTGTGTTTGCAGGGGCGAAGGTTCAGCCAATCTGCTGGTGTTAAGAGATATCCTCATCACATATGCTGCTTTTCACCCAGGTACTGTGAACAACCAACAATAAGCCTTTTGTGTTCTTATTGACACTGACTTAATCAGAAAAGCATCAGAGGCTGCGTGTGATGGGAGACACTAAATGTTTGTGTGTGCATTACTTATCTTGATTGTTGACCCAGAGGTCAGTTACGCTCAAGGCATGAACGACCTGTGCAGCCGATTCCTTGAGGTTCTTGACTCGGAGGTGGACACTTTCTGGAGTTTTTCCTGCTACATGGAGAAATTCTCCAAGGACTTCAGGGCTGATGGTCTTCACAGAAAAATAGGTACGATTAGCAAACAGAGATGCTACTTGATGTATATGTTTCATAAAGAGGATAACAAATATATATGATGCGACATGACTAATAAGATTGCCAACTATGATGAGAACATCAAATAAGCTTTTGCAGTGTTGAACTCACCCTGCTCACTGATGTGTTTGCGGCGACAAAGTTTCTGCCAATCTTAAATGTAACTTTTAAAAGAGTTAAGAGACATCTAGTGGTAAAACAAGGGTATTGAATTCCTTTTGCAAGCAATCTGGTAGATGCAATCAACTGTAACATTATACATTCAAATGTTGAGAGTATATTTAATTGTTGTGTATTGATCTGATAAGATTACTAAGAAATGTAAGGTGTGTTTTTTTGAATTTCCAATGTGATGAAGTTTGATGCTGGGTAATGAATGAAGACAAAACAATTAAAATAGAAATAATATCACTTTACACTGAACAAAACAAACCAAAACTTCTACACAAGTCACAAGTATATATATTTTTTTATAGAAAATTGTATTTTCTATCTTCCAGAGTTGGAGGCAGCGCTGCTGAAAGAACTGGATCCTCAGCTATATGCTCATTTAGTCACAGACAGTATGGAGAGCTTCACCTTCTGCCACAGGTAAATCTGCACAGATCCTCTACATTTATCCTCTAGACTTCTTTTAGGTCTGTATGTGTTTTAGTCCACATGTAGATTTCATTTGTGTGTATGCATGTGTTGTTCCTCATTTAAGGTGGCTGCTGCTGGGTTTCCAGAGGGAGTTTGAACACAGCGACGCTTTACGTTTGTTTGAGATCCTGAGTTGTGACCACCTCGAGCTCATCTCCCAACAAGTAGACCGAGCCCGTTACCAGGAGAGACTGGCACGAAAATACAGCACAGGTAAAAACAAGAATAAAAAGCCAGAATATGTAGAGATACTATATGTTTACGTTTATGATTTGTTAAATACTGTTTGGCTTGTGGTTTATGCAGAGGAGAATTCAGAGTCAAATCTTCAGGCCATCAACACTGACTTCACCTTTGAGCTCTTCATCTGTGCGGCCATCCTGTTGGAGAACAGAGACGCTCTGCTCAAGTGTCGAGATGATGTACAACTTATCCAGTTTACTAGCAGGTGTGTCTGTATGCTGAGAAAAGATCATCTCAGTACTAATAAGTTGATCCTGTGTGTATCATTCTGTGTGAATGTCTTGGTTCAGCCTTTTGACTTCTTTTTGACAGCCTTCAGGGAACACTGGACCTGAACAGCACGCTGAAGAAAGCAGAGCATCATCTGTACAACTACTGCAAGCGCTGTGCTTGGGACTATATGAACGGGCACTGCAGAACACACAAGAGCAAAGAAGAGGACTTCCTTTGTCAGCTGCGTAGTTTACTTGTTTTAAAGTGATGGTTACTATTTGAATATCTGACATCAAAGACTGCTATGATACTGTAATTTCTAGCGGGACATAAAATCCCTATTTTTTAATTTGATGGAACATATTTTTTATCTTAGTTTTTATTGCTGAGGGAAACACACTACTATAGTGATTGCTGCTGACCTTAAGTTTGATCAGTAACTGCTGGTCATTTCAAATGTACAGTATTTATTATGTGAAAGCCTACAAACACCAACTGTGACAATTTTTGGTTGCTTTGCTGAACTGCAGTGAATTTGAAGGCTGAAGCTTGATAATTTGAGTAGGTCAGAGTCAGCACTTTTAAGGACTTGTTTTCCAAGTTATGAAATATTCAACTTCTTAAAAAACCAACCACTGAATACTGATCTGGTGTCGCAACAGGTGGTGTCTGAAACGAAACACAGTTATATTTAATGCCAGATGGCCTGTGTCAGAGAGGCCTATGTAACAAGAATAGATATGTCCAGTTCTTGGGCTCTGGCAGAGGGACCATGCACTAAGGGGAATGATGACTGCACAACTGTGTCTTCAACAGAGAATGAAATTTCACAATAGTTGTCATGAAAACGATACCTCAATAAAACCACTGACGATTGTTTACTATGTGGTGTATTTTATATCTATATTTGGTTTTTGCGTGTTCCTCGAATGATGTATGAGATCAAAATTAGTCAGGTTATTGGCAAACCGTTGCAAGCAGGTAATCGGATCAACTGGAAAAACATAAAACACTGAATTTGAAATTTAAGATTGCAGAAGAAAAAAGTTCATTTTGAAAAAAGACACCTTAAAAATACACAAAAGTTTACAACATGGTCCATTTGAAGTTGTTTTGTACCCTCAGAAGTTAAATACAGAACATATTCTCTAAAGCCATTAGTGTGGGCAGATTAACTGCTCTATGTCCTGAGCTGAATACATTATGTACATGCCCATGTATTGCAAAAGTCAGTTAATAGAGTAGATTTTTCTATTACGGCTTTAACACTGCAAATGGCAGCCATGACTGGCTTTTCTTTTTAGTTTAACATTTTTTTGGACTAAGTTTACGCTGCTTGCTGATGTGATTATGATTCCTGGAATTTAGAGTATTACAGAGATTTTTTTAAATGGTTAAATACATTTGAATAAATCTAACCTGTATCACTGTGCATTGTTCACTGTCCCAGCCATGTGAACAACATGATCCACATAATCTGGAGAATCTTTTGTTTCATTCATCTTTTGCTCCACTAGCATACTCATACACTGAGGAAACTAAAGCACACTTTCAATGAAGTCCATTCCATGTTTAGACACATGGGCCTAGAACTTTCCTTGATAGAGTCACCTGACACCCTGTTGGCTCTCCCTGCAGGGCTCTATATACTCTCAGGAGTAGAGTCACTCGCCCTCTTAGTCTGCCTGCCAGGAGAGGGTGAGGAGTGTTGTGTGCAAGGCGAAGGCACCGCTAACTCAGTAAACTCTCAAGTCTTGAACATCTGACGGCTCAAGGTAACCCCTTCCATAAGTAGCATTGCACTCAGCCTGGATTCATAAAATGTCTTGATTGCTGCTTTTAAAACCTACTACCAAATGTGAAAAGTATTTCCATATAAGGGAAGCTTGCATGGTTACTGTTGAAAATGGCATGACAAGCAGAAGAGTAGACTGACCCCACAGACAAACACCGTTCAGTGAATGTCTTGCAAATAAAACAATACAAGCAAATTCTTTCCACATTACAACAGTGTCAGGTCGATGGTCTTGCCTCTTAAAGAACAACTTAATAGCATTAACTATTCAGTATGGCTTTGGCGGATTCTGATATAAAAAATCCTCTATGAACCCTGTCATGCTGTTATCAAGTTCAAAGATGTTTTTTCCAAACTTAACATGCTTGCAGGAAAGCTACTAAGGGTGGAGGACAGGCAGTGAAGCAACAGAGCTATGTCAACATGTTCTGCTCAGTGTTACACAACTTGATAAAAACTGAGAAGTAAATCTTCTGCAGTTGAAGCAGTGCTGGGTTGAAAGAAACAAAGTCTTCACTTCCTCTGTAGCCATATAGAAGAAGATCATTTTAGTCTTTAACTTTTAGTCAAAGCAGTGATCTACTCTATGATTTAATGGAACAAGTTACCGTTTTTTCCTCTGACTCTAAAGAAGTTTTATTAACTGCACCACTGTGCTTGTTTTGTCTGCTGCTTACAGTCCAATGCAATAAGAGGCTTTTGCTCAGTTCACTTCTCACATTAGCTTGTTACGACACCTGATACTTTATTTTCTCTGCAGGTTTTTGGTGAATAAGCCTCTTTTAATTTGAAACAGGCAATGCTTGCCCACTGAGCATTGTTTAATGATCACTTAGTTTATAGCCACCTTCTATTCATTGCTATGTAGATACGCTGATTCTTATTATAGTAACTGTAAGCTATTTGAAACCAGCTGTCGGAAAATAGACCCTCCAATCACTACTCCTGGATCAGTACATCATATTTCATCAGCCTGACTGACACACTGTTGACTCATGTTTCCATGGGAGGGAGAGAGAGGCAATGTGCAGAGGAATGAAAGGGGAGTGTGATATAGTACAGTCTTTTGGTCTTTAGTCACTACATCACAAATGGCAACTGCACAAATGGCAGCCACATGTGGCCATGGCCCATGCTTCTGGACCTGGGTAGTCAACAGGTAAAGGCAAACCTTTGTAGAAACACCTGCAGAAGGTGTGTGTGGGACAAAATAGTATGCAGGTGCATGCACATTGTTGAAATGATAATAAGAAACTTTTAAAAAGTATGAGTACAAACATGGCCAACCATGACTATCAGACAGAATATAAATCCTTTATCAAGTGTGAGAAGGCAGTAAACTAGGATTACTTTCCAAAATCAAAAGGAATTTTTCTCATCTGCTCCTTCTTCTTTCGTCTTAGATGTCTAAAGGACCAGCAGTAGGCATTGATCTGGGCACCACATATTCCTGTGTGGGCATCTTTCAGCATGGCAAAGTTGAGATCATTGCCAATGACCAAGGAAACAGGACCACACCCAGCTATGTAGCTTTCACAGACACCGAGAGACTGATTGGAGATGCTGCCAAGAACCAGGTTGCCATGAACCCTGCTAACACTGTATTTGGTAAGGACCACAACACCTAACAGACAACAGGCTTAAAATCAGTCATCCTGTGTTATTATTCTCTCGCATTTCATTTGCAGGAAAGTAAACAAATGTAAACATATTGTTAGCATTGCCCTTACATTTATCCTTAAATCCTTTTCAGATGCTAAGCGTCTCATTGGTCGAAAGTTTGACGACACTGTAGTGCAGTCAGACATGAAGTACTGGCCTTCAGTGTTGTGAATGACTCGAGTAAACCCAAGGTGGAGGTCGAATACAAGGGTGAGAGGAAGACCTTCTATCCTGAAGAGATTTCCTCCATGGTCCTCACCAAGATGAAGGAGATCTCTGAGGCTTATCTTGGCAAGGTAGACGACAAATATTGTACAACACTTCAATTTGCTTTTAAGCAGAAAACATGGCTACAAATAGTACATCAGGGAGCTAGTCTTAACACTTGCTACATCTCTCAAACCCTTATCTTAAATCTAGCACCTCTGAGTTGTAGCAAGCACTGTGCTGTGTGACCTCAAACAACTGTTTATTTTCTTGACAGTGATCTGACAGATTGAGCTTTCTGGCTGCACACTGTACACCAAGGAACTAGTCTTAACGCCTGCAACACTTCTCAAAACCTTATCTTAAATCTAACACCTCAGAGTTGTTGCAAGCACTGTGCTGTGTGACCTCGAACTACTAAACTTATTTTTTTTCATTTTTGCAGCGCTCATAAAGAAATTAAAAGCAGAACTGTTTTAAGTCTGAATTTATTTACAGCCTGTGACCAATGCAGTTATCACGGTTCCTGCTTACTTCAATGATTCCCAGCGTCAAGCCACAAAAGATGCTGGAACCATTGCTGGGCTTAATGTGCTGCGCATCATCAATGAGCCCACGGCTGCAGCCATTGCCTATGGCCTGGACAAAAAGGTTACTGTCTAATAAAATCAAAATCAACCATATGAATCAACCATATGTGTACAAAAAAACAGCTTTTAACTTCCTGTAAGTAATTAACACCATTTCTTTCAGGTTGGTGGTGAACGTAATGTCCTGATCTTTGACCTTGGAGGTGGTACTTTTGATGTGTCAATTCTGACGATTGAAGATGGCATCTTTGAGGTTAAGTCCACAGCTGGGGACACTCACTTGGGTGGAGAAGACTTTGACAACCGAATGGTTAACCATTTCATTGCTGAGTTCAAGCGCAAGTTCAAAAAAGAAATCAACAACAACAAGCGAGCTGTGCGTCGTCTGCGCACAGCCTGTGAACGTGCCAAGCGCACCCTCTCAAGCAGCACACAGGCCAGCATTGAGATTGATTCACTCTATGAGGGCGCAGATTTCTACACTTCCATCACCAGGGCTCGTTTTGAAGAGCTCAATGCAGACCTGTTTCGTGGAACACTTGAGCCTGTTGAGAAAGCCCTGAGAGATGCCAAGATAGATAAGTCCCAGATTCATGACGTTGTCCTGGTGGGTGGCTCCACACGTATCCCCAAGATTCAAAAGTTGTTGCAAGACTTCTTCAATGGCCGTGAACTCAACAAGAGCATCAACCCTGATGAGGCTGTAGCCTATGGTGCAGGTGGGTTTTTCTACTTTAAGTTTATGTCATATTATTGTTTGGAGTATAAAATCACTTCTTTCAAATGGTTCGTATTTGTGCTGCCTTGTTGTCATGGTATTGGTTTCAACAAATGAATCTCTTCACAGCTGTGCAAGCAGCCATCTTGGCTGGTGATAAGTCTGAGAATGTACAGGACCTGCTCCTGTTGGATGTCACGCCCCTCTCCCTGGGAATTGAAACTGCTGGGGGAGTAATGACTGTCCTTATCAAAAGGAACACCACTATCCCAACCAAGCAAACCCAGACTTTTACCACCTATTCAGACAACCAGCCTGGTGTGCTCATTCAGGTACAGAAACCCCTAAAGTAAAGTTTTAGACAAATAGTAGTCCACTTACTATATTGCCAATGTATCAAAATAAGTCCAGAATGAATTTACTATTGTATCAGACAATTATAAGCATTATTGCATTGTCATTTTCAGGTTTATGAAGGTGAGCGAGCCATGACCAAGGACAATAATATCCTGGGCAAGTTCGAGCTGACCGGTATCCCACCCGCTCCAAGAGGGGTTCCTCAGATAGAGGTGACCTTTGACATTGATGCCAACGGCATTCTTAATGTGTCTGCAGCAGACAAAAGCACCGGAAAGGAGAACAAGATCACTATCACCAATGACAAAGGTATATTACTGTATTAAATACTAATCAAATAACAAGCTTTCAAAGGCCATTCAGAGAACCTTTCAACCCCTGTCAGGTGGATTTCACTTTTTGTTTGTCTTGTTTTTATGAGAGCTTGCTTAAATCGTTAAATCATTTTCACAAGGCAAACTGAGCTTTGTATTTTATCCCCTCTAGGACGATTGAGCAAAGAGGACATTGAGCAAATGGTGCAAGAAGCAGAGCAGTTCAGGGCTGAGGATGATGCCCAGAGAGAAAAGGTCACAGCCAAGAACTCCCTTGAGTCTCTTGCCTTCAACATGAAGAGCACTGTGGAAGACGAAAAGCTCCAAGACAAGATAAGCCCAGAGGACAAGAAGACCATCGTGGACAAGTGCAACGATGTAATTTCCTGGCTGGACAGAAACCAGGTAAATATCTATCGCCAAAGGTGCCTGTTAGACTCGTGTTCTGAAATCAGAGTGGTAGCCTTCTGAACATATACAGTGTTTATAATGTGATTCAATTTTCCTTCCTTTCCTGTCAAAAAAACTGCTCTGTTTCTTGTGTTACACAGACAGCAGAGAAGGAAGAGTATGATCACCAGCAGAAGGAACTAGAAAAAGTTTGCAACCCCATCATCTCCAAGCTATACCAAGGTGGTATGCCAGGAGGGATGCCTGGAGGAATGCCGGGAGGAATGCCTGGTGGCTTCCCTGGTGGAGCTGGAGGTGGCTCCTCTTCCGGTCCCACTATTGAAGAAGTTGACTAAAGCTTTCTTCAACAGCATCTTTAGCTCAGACCCCAACATTCACATACTGTCTTTAATTACTTAACCAGAATACATATCCAAGTTACATAAATACACATGTTTATTTAGATTTTAATTCTAGCAATATTGTTTCTGTCAAAATGTGGGGTCTGCAACCTTGGGTAAAACCACAATAGCAAAATTATTTTTAAAGTATATAGAGAATAAAGAAAAAAGTGCCAATGATAGAAATTGTATTTTAAAAACAGACTCCCATACTTTAAGATTTCAATATTTAAAAAATGTGAGAAACAAATGTTTATTCAGTCTAATAAGACTCAATCAAAGCGTTCTTGTTGTCTGTTTAATGTCTTATTATTTATCTTCCCAGGCATTATTTGCGTAAATGATAAAAGGTAATCTTGCTTAATCTGTGTCAAAACATTAAATCAATAAAGCTCACAGATGAGATTCTGATTCTCAAATTGTATGTGTGTTTTTTTTGTGTGGTTATTGTTTAATGCTGCAACAGCAGCTGCAGCTATTGAAACTAGTTCCTGTTTGCACACCTCAAAGGTTTCGATCAATATCATTTCCCCTGCAGTCACAGAAAAAAGGTCTTGTAGTACAAACATGCTAGAAAAGGATACCTAGCTTGACATATTCAATATGCTGCAAATATATCCTCAACATTTGGTCAAAACTTATGGAGGGTTAAAACATTGAAAGTAAATGATCCTTTTTTTCATAACAAGGGGTAGTAATGTTACTGTTTAGAAATGGAATAAATGCCAACAGCCCTGACCCTTGTGCAAAAGAACACGTAACAGGCTAAATGGATTCATTTTCCAGGTATATACAGTAAATCATCTAAGGTGCTTATCAACAGATGGTCTGCTCCCAGATGTATCAAAGCACATTGTGTGTGAACATTGGGAGCACCTGAAATATGGAGTGCTGTACTCAGGGTTGCGTGTGTGACACATATAAAAGCCAGAGTCCAACTCGTTTGAGCCCTCAGGGAAGACTATCATTGTTGAGACCTGACCATGTTCTTGCTTGTCAGTTGTTTTGCTCTTGTGGCCTCCACATTGGGTGAGTGACTGGTGGTTTACCTGAATATGATGCATTTATCAGTTGTAAATCTATCAGTGGTTAAATTTTTTGATATCCTTCTGAATGTTTTAATAAATAAGAAACAAAAAAAAACAAAAAACAAAATATATATATATATATATATATATATATATACACACACAGGAACCTTCCTTAGTGTATAGCCATAACTTAGGTCAAGCAGATTTTCTTATTGCATGATTTGGATGCAGGCTGTGGAGTACCTGCTATCAAGCCCCAAGTAAACGGATACAACAAGATTGTCAATGGGCATAATGCTGTATCTGGGTCCTGGCCCTGGCAGGTGTCACTTCAGGTAGGTTGAGTAATGTACTCTCCACGCCCATTGTAACTTCGATACAATTTTAATGATATTGTGTAATTAAGATTTTAAAATAACTCACGAGGAAGGGTCTCTTAATATTCAAATTCTCACTTGTAGGATGGTAGAGGATTTCACTTCTGTGGAGGATCCCTGATCAGCCAGTACTGGGTTGTCACCGCTGCTCATTGCCGTGTGTCGTAAGTCATTTTTAAACTGTCCCACACCAACCCATGAATAATCTAAACATTTCTATCAAATTATTTCTGTCTGTTTTTATTCACACCAGTCCAAGAAGCCATCGTGTTATCCTTGGAGAGCACGACCGTCAGTACAATAGTGAGCAAATTCAGGTCAAGTCAATTAGCAGGGTAAGTAAGAAACACATTACAGCTTCCAATTGTTTTCCATTAAAATGTTTGTATGCCATTGAAATTCAATTATTGATTTACAAATACAATCACCTCTCTGTCCAGGCCATCACTCACCCCTACTACAACAGCCAGAACTTCAACAATGACATCACCCTCCTGAAGCTGTCCTCCCCAGCACAGATGACATCCCGTATCTCTCCTGTGTGCCTGGCCTCCTCCAGCACCAGCATTCCCTCTGGAACCACATGTGTGACCAGTGGATGGGGCAAAACCGGCCAAACCTGTAAGTGAGAGGGTTTTACAGACCCTCAAAGTTTTATATCTATGAAGGGAGATTATAGATGAAGGATTAAATATCCACCATACCTCAGCAAGAATGACGATGAACGTTTATGTTGCTATCTCCATCTCCAATTTTCTTAAATTTCAGCAAGCCCTCGCTACCTCCAGCAGACTGCCCTGCCTCTGCTCAGCCCTGATCAGTGCAAGCAGTACTGGGGTTATAACAGAATCACTGATGCCATGATCTGCGCTGGTGCTTCTGGAGTGTCTTCTTGTCAGGTAAAGTGTTTCTGATGCTGAATCGTAGGGCGTTTGAAAAAAGTGCCCACCTGTTGCGAGTCAGTATTTCATGATTGTTCATGAGGCACTAATAGTTATGATGTTTACAAACCTCAGTTACAGTTGTTGCAGTATATTTCATAAATGTAGGTAATCTTTTAAGCTTTGGAAAATGATTCACAAATACTTTACAGGATACTTGAATTAAGGTTTGTTGATAACAACTGATGGATGAATAAACTGTTAGAAATAAGTGTTTATAAACAATTTGTAAATAAATACTTTTATTCTTAAATATTTAACACCTATCCTAACTGACAGCTAATTATTTCTTATTCCGAGTATCTCAACAGGTAATGTCTACTGGCTGAGCCATGAAGAATTAAAAAAAAAAAAAAAAGCTACTGACTCAAAACGTAACTGACTAAAGCTCTGTAGATAAAGCTAAAAGCTCGTACTCAAAAATAATCTGCTGCATATCTGGCTTCCTGTTTTTGAGTTTTATGAAACTAATAGCACTCTAGCCAACATCCTTTGTGTAACCTGACTGCATAGCTTTGTGAGCTGCAGTAGCTCTGTCTGTAGGGACTTGGGTTGAGAACCAGAGGGTCTCTCTGGCACATGTCCCGGTGTAGACCAAGTCTTGAACTTGGTCTGGTAGCTGGGGGGGTCGCCAGTTCACTTCCGGAGCACTGCAGAGGTGCCCTTGAGTAAGGGACAGACCCCCACATAACCAGCTGAAAAGCCCTCACTCGGACATCTCTCCATTAATGCATGTCCAAAGGATCCTGTTTGTGTGCATGTGTGTATATTTCAGTCTATGTGTGTGTAGCATGTTTAACAACAGAGTGTAAAATTTCCCCTTGCAGGTATAATAAAGTATATCATTATTGAAATCAGTATTCAATTAAAATCAATTTCTGTCAACTATAATGTCATATTTTACTCATTTCAGGGTGACTCTGGTGGCCCTCTGGTCTGTGAGAAGAGTGGAGTGTGGTCCCTCGTGGGTATTGTGTCTTGGGGAACCTCTAACTGCAACGTGCGCACCCCTGCTGTGTACGCCCGTGTGTCCTACCTGCGCGGATGGATCGACCAGACTGTTGCTTCAAACTAACATGCAGACACACTGATCCTGATTCCGACTTTGATCATTGAGTGATGCATGCATAGTCAACATCAGTGAACACCAAGATGTTACCATTTCTGTTGACTCTGTACAGCAGCAAAAGCTCGCTGTACTTTGTTTGGTGCGTTCGTGAGAAATCATGCATAAAATATAAACTCTTCAAACCTCAAATGTTGGTTGTCACATGTTACATTATTTTCAGACGAGACTGTGTGTGGTGTGTATGTGCAGGAGAAGGACGTGTGATTACAATGAGTGGGATGATGAGTGTATTTTTGCAAATGAAACAAAAAAGCATTTCATTCTGTGTAGAATTAGAGGAAACGTTTAGGTAACAGAGGCTTTTAGAAAAATACTAATAAAGTCAGATTTAAATCACAAGACTAGCAAACACACTGCGATAAATACTGCACTAGTGAAACTGTGTTTTCTGATGACTGTATGAGTAATTTTGATGCAGATATTTGAAGATTACTCAGGACAGTGTGATTGCGTTTTTTTCTATTGTGATTTTTGTTCACTCCCTGTGAATGTCTGAAAATGAAAAGCAGTAGCAGAAGTAGTGTCTCACTGGTAACTAATAGGAGGAGTAACAGAGTGATACAATGAGTGAAGGCAGGATCAGATAGAGACAGATGAGCTAAGACATCACATCGGAAACATGGGGACTGGTAAGACACCTAAAATACATTCTCCATCCCTTTTATATTAAATGTAATGTAAGGTGTTCTACTTTCTTTTCAAGCTAATCTTAAAATACATTAAAAATGTGAAAATAATGTTTCCTCTGTGTATAATGAAGATGGTATTAGTAACTAATCTCTAACATTTTTTTTTAATTAGCTTCCAATTCTACTGGTGGTCAACCATCCATGGATGAAATTTTGAAAATAGCCACCCTTGTCATCTACAGCATCATATTCATAGTGGGGGTTTTGGGCAATAGCCTGGTCATCTATGTGACTGGCTTCAGGATGAAGAGAACAGTCAACTCCGTTTGGTTTCTCAACTTGGCCCTTGCTGACTTCCTCTTTCTGGCCTTCCTGGTTGTCTCTATCATCTCTGCTTCTAACAATAATGAATGGCAATTTGGAAGGTTCATGTGCAAGCTCAACAACTTTGTTAGTGTTGTCAACATGTTTGCCAGCATCTTTCTTCTGACAGTCATAAGTCTGGATCGTTGCTTGTCAATCTGGGTGGTGGTGTGGGCACAAAACAAACGCACAGTCTGCAAGGCTCAGGTCACATGTGTTGTCATCTGGGTGACAGCTGTGGTCTGCAGTATACCTTATGCCACTTTTCGTGATCTTCGGGAGGTGATGGGGAAGACATACTGCAGTTATACAATATCTTTCACAAAGGACAGACATTATAAACTCATGATTTTCCGCTTTGCTATGGGCTTTCTCATCCCATTCCTTGTAATATTTGTCTCCTATGTGGCCATTGGTGTTAGGGCAGGGCGTCTACAGAGGACAAGGAGAAAGAAATCCTGCAAAATCATTTTCTCCATCATTCTTGCATTCTTCATCTGCTGGTTGCCGTTCCATGTTATGCAGTTTTTGCAGTCCAGTGATACCCAAGTTCACAAGATTGTTGTAAAAATTGGAGGACAACTGTCAGTGTGTCTGGCTTATCTCAACAGCTGCCTGAACCCCATTCTCTATGTGTTCATGTGTGAGGAATTCCAGAAGAAGCTCCATCGCTCCGTATGCTTTGTCCTAGAGAGTGCCCTGGCAGAGGACCATTTGTCGTTCATGTCCTCTCGCTCACTGTCATCACAACTTTCTCGGATTAGCCGGAAGTCTGATGCTGCTGCACCTTTGGGGGAGAAAGCTGTAGCCACTAGCTTGAAATACACAGAGGGCACCGTGTTCAGCACTGAAGACAGAGAGTCTGAGCAAGGACAATTATGTGCTTAATTGGTTTGTAAATGTGTTCATATTATAATAAATATTTGATTGAAGGGTTTAGTTTTTTAAGTTCGATTGTATTTTATTTTTATTGATGACTGAACATTCCCTTGTAACAACCATTGCTTGTTTTAACCTGTTATTCTAAAAAAATTATTGTGTGTCGTTTAATCACTCCTGATATGTTCTGTGATTAGCAATAATTCATAAAACAAACTGTTTGCTGATTATCAACAAATGTTTTGCATTTAACATTTAACCTAAAATGTAATTAAAAGACAAGTTAAATAATTGAATCTGATCTGAATTTTCTTTCTTTCTGACATCAATGATTGATTGTTGTTCTATGCTAATGTCTCAATTTTTGAGAAAAACTTCAAGTTGGGTTAAACATGAAATATCCACTTTTTTGTAACATTTCTAAAGCTGCATACAGAAAGTGCCACCTTGACTACTTGAATAAGCATCTTAATAGTGAAGGGCTCAGGTTGCATTAGAATAAGTGCAATCTGTCATGTTTGCACAAATGTCCATTAGAGGATAATGCTGCTTGTTACCCAATATGATTTTGCATTCTAAGCATCTAAAAAGCTTTTGATCCATTTAAAACTATTCACTGCCCAAGTCTGTCTTACGTCAGCAAAACTGATCTGCCAGTAACTAATGCCTACACACAAGGATGAGCCATAGCCACACAGTAATGACTTGAAAATATAAACCTTAGGATAGACATAGATGCATTCTTACCCAGTTCATCATTTGTATAGTTTGACAGATGAGTTATCCATTTAATGATTATTTGAGTCTTGATTTAATACAATCTAAATATTATATAACTATAAATATAATGCCTGTTTGAACCATTGCTAACTGTTTTTCTTTAGTTTACTTTATTTTAGCAAGACCAACCACTTTCTAGTCAACAATTACATTTTTAACTTGACTTTAAATTTTAAGTGTAACTCAAGTTGTTTCAGACAATATTTGTGTCGGACGTTCGGTGAGTAAACAAGTAAAAAAACATGAGGTTTTAATCCCTCACACTAAGGATGAAAGGTTCATGATGTGTTGAAAAAATACAACTAATGAGATGAATCACTTTAATACAAGAAAATCATTTACAAATCCCAGTAGGTTTGCCAATGCAAAATACATTGAAGCAAACCCAAACATCCTTCAATATGAATTGTATCTACAATGGATAGAACATGTGATTTTGCTTAAGGCTCAAGGTTCTGTTAATGCTTTCCTATGAGACTTATTATGAATATGGCAGTTGTTTCAGACTTTGACTTGTTTGCCATGGCAGCTTTCCAAGTCCATTCTGTGGTAGAGAAGAGCTGTGAGCCAGTCAGTGATCATAAAGCTCCTTCATCTCCTTAAGGATCTTAATACTCTCGCTGTATCTCAACTGGTTCTTGTTAGAGCACTCCTTCCATCTGAAAGAAAAAAGACCAATATGGGTCACCTCAACTTATTTCAAACTAAAAGATGTTTCAGTGACTGAAGATGTTTTTTTTTTTTTAAAAAGCTTACAAATCAACTCGTGCTGAAACCACTTCCCTCACGTTCTTACTCAATATGCGTATGTTCCTATCTGTCTATCTGAGACACAAAAACAAACATGGTCTACAAGGTGGGTTAAGTGCAACCTTATCTTGCAAGAGAAAACTTACTTCTGTCTTATCTTTTTCCATCGTTCCATGTGGTCAAATATGAGAGAACCTGGTACAGGAACTGGCTCTGTTAACTGTGCAAAGAAAATATTAAAGTTGAGCTACGATTATATTAATCAGCTTTAATTAATTCATAGATTTTTCAAATTAAATGCATAATAAATCATAACAACATACAAGTATGAATAGTAAAAAAAGTGTTATAAACACATAACAAAGAACCTTTGTAACAGTGGGTTTTTCTGTCTGTGGGATCCTGAGATTGATGAGTTCACCAGTTGGGCTTAATGGACAGGAGGTTGGCGGAGGGAGTCTGAACACATTCTGATCTTTACCATTGATCAAGTCTGTAACCTGGCAAAGAAAAAAAAAAGGAAGTTATAAATAACATGTTGGACAACAGATGCTACATTTATAAACAGTAAGGGTGTGATCCTAACAGCAGATAGAAAGTAGCAGTAAAGATTTAAGACAAGGGTCGGCAACCTCTTATTATCAAAAGAGCTATTTTTGTCATCTGTCAACAGCTCTCTCACTCCTCTGTGCAAACAGGTATGGCTATGGTTACCCCTCTATGTTTGTCAATTTTTTTCTGACACCTTTACTAAAAAAGAAAAAGAAAATCAAGATTCCAAAAAAAACTTAAATATGGTAACTTCTTCACCACATGACCATGTGAAAGAAATTTGTATATTCAAAACTAAAAGGAAAACTGAAGTAAATCCAAGATTTCATATAAAACTGCATATGGAGTATAAGGGTACTTTTATACAGCTCAGTGCAGAAACACAACAACTATAAATGTCAATATGTTTTTAAAAGTATAAAAATGGATGGATTAATCATTGATGTGAAAATAATCCTGAATAACTTTAAATCCTGAATTCAAAAGACTTGATCATGATAATAATTTGCATGCACATTTTAAGTGAAATTTAAACATGTTATACATTTTTGTACATAATCGTCTTCAGTAGGCACTGGGACAACAACACATATCCCTTCCTGTCTTAATGGAATGTCTCATTTTTCTTAGCCCCATGGGAGCACCTTTATGTCATAGAGACACTTTTCTTTTAAAATGTTATCTATCCAATTCCCAGACAATTGTGCTGAGCGTCTAACAAAGACCATGTCCATATTTTTGTGGTACTGGTAATATTGCCGAGCCTAAAATAGTTGCAGTCTACTATTTACTGTTTGTTCGGTTCGATACATTTTAATTACAAATCAGTACAAAGTTGCTTCCCTGCAAAGTATGATTCCAATTCAGGTTGACACTCTTATCCATAATATTTTACACCACAGTAAGGGTGGCTGTACTACTTAGCAAACGAACAAAAAATAAGATTTTTAAAGTCACTATTGTAGTCTACAAGGGAAAGTATATTATTTTTGGAGATTCATTATTATTGTTTTAAGTGTGGATACTTAAAATAAAATGTAAGTTATTTAACAGAACTGTGTAGCCTCTTACCTCTTCCTCTATCATGCTGTGTGGGGGACTCGGAGAAGAAAGTGGCTCTCGAACAGAAGGATTGTTTCTCATCCAGGCACGGCAGATAGGATACAGAGGGGTGCTGGTGTTAAATTGAGCCAGATCAACACTGCGATCAAACAACTTAATAATGTAAGAGTCTAGAAAAATGGAAAATACAGACAAAAGCAAGAAGGCATTAGGTGAGAGGGAAAGTGATCACACAAAATGTCAAGGAAAGTACCATGATGTTATTAGTTATAGTTATCTAGCTGAAATATTATAAAATATTAGCATTTAGTTTACTTTGTTTATGCAGGTTGGTTTCTGGTATGCCCTCATCCATCTCTTTCCGTTTCTTCCTCCGATGCTGTGGGAAACGAGCTGATGGCCTGGAAAAAAATCAGATCAAGGACAGGGACTTTATAGCATACTGAGAAAATTCACCAAAGTTATTGCATTTCATTTCTGTTATAGTGTTCAGACATCAAACAAGTCAATGTGTAATTTTTTATTTAATGACATGGCAAGCCTTATGTGAGGCTTTTTCCAGCCATTATGGTATGAAAAACACAATATATGGAATTGTTTATTGTTGGCATCTGGTGGAAAAAAAAGAGACACTTGCCTTTTTCCAGCAGATGATGGAGACAAATCCCTACAGAAAACAAGTAGTACATGGAATATGAAACACGCTTTTACAGTATATAATGGTTGCTGAAATTAACCAGCAGGTTTTAAATAACGTCACCGCACGATTATATCGCACAATTTCCAAATTATGTAGAGATACATACTTGTTTAAAGAGTCAGTTGAGATTTTTCCAGTGTCGCTCTCGTTTTGCTCCCTGCTCAATATACAATGATATTAGTATGACCGGAGAGTGACCATATTTACATAGGTTTGAAAAACATTTTAATTTCACAAACCTCTCATTTTCAGTCCTTTCAACCAGTCCCTTCAAAACAGCATCCAATCTACTACGTGCACCAGCCCCTTCCATATCTGCAGTGGTCACAACAGAAAATAAATAAATGGGTGTTGTGTTGAAAGAATAATTAATGACAAACTTAGAATAGAATAGAATGTCTTTATTGTCTTTATACAATTGTACAACTAAATTATTTGGCTTCACCTTAAAGTGCACACACATACAAGCATCCACAGCTAAAAACAACAAAAGAAGAAAAAAAAAAAAAGAACTCTCTTTCATAAGATGGGCAATGTATGGTAGGAGTTATTTACAGGTAGAAGAATAACAGAATATAAATAGATATTGCAGAAATATAAAATAAATATTGCACAGTATAAAATGTAAAATATTGCAGAAATATAAAATAAATATTGCACAGTATGAAAAACTAGTCTATAGTACGGAGTTCATTAAAGGCAGATTATATTTTCATAATGTGTTAATGAATTTGAGATGCGCTGTGTTAATATTCTATAAATCATAGTGTAAGACTTTAAGGTACTTTAAGGTTAAATCATCTTACCTGGTCTTTCCGTCTTGATTTTGACCTGGTGCATTATCTCCACTTTTTTTTAATGTTTATGTAACGGGGAAAAAACACCAAGTCGTTCAACTATACGCTCACCGTCGAAGAAACAGACCGAGAACCGACGTCGTGTGTTTGATATGGAGAGCTGACTGAAGTGTAACACGACCGGGCTGGTAGCTAAACGTTAGCTTGCTAACTGTGGCAAGCTATGCGTTTAATAACGTTAATACTACTTTATGCGAACAACCTAATTGGTCTATTTGCCGACTAAGAACTCAACCTAATGTTTTTCGAAAATGGATAGGAGAACAGCTCTCTAGACTGAGCGTTAAAATATTGTTAAGCTTTAGTTACGGTTGCTTAGCTAGCTTATTTTGACCATCGGTCTTTCCTCTTCCGCGCGCTGACGCGTCACTATAATCTGATTGGCTCTTGTGTAGGGAGGTCCTTCGACGTGATTGGGTTCAACATATGTCAATCATATTTTACTTGCTCCCTATTGGCTGCATGTGTTGGTGTAAATAACGATCGCCGCCCGAAATAGTTTGTGGCTTGCTTCTGGTTTAGTCGATAATGGTGTATTTATCAAAAAAAAAGAGCAAGGTAATTATGTTTCATTGACTACATTGAAATGTCGAGTAAGTAGAGCCATAAAATCCCCACCGTAGGAGCTTAATTAGCTTTTTCAAAGACAGATTATGCCGAATTGGCGTTCAGTACCATAGTAACTTTGTTTTGTTGACATGCCAAGTCAAACTCACTAAATCAACCTCTGCTGCGTATCCTGTCTTTTGTATAAACCACATGTGGTGTTCTAAAGCTGTAATGAAATCCAGGTAAGATCGTATGGACAACATTTTGATAGCACCCTTAAAAAAATGTACGGCTGGTGAAAATGTATTGTTTTTACAGTGTTCCCGTCTTCACAAGGCAGAATCCCTTTGAACAAGCATCCAAAGTGGTGAAGACACACTACCACCCAGCATCCAACAAGTCCCTGTCACAGAAAGAGAAGCAAACTGTAAGTACACTCCACATCAGGGATGGGCAACTTTGGTCACAGCAAGGGGCCACATTAATTCTCACTGCCAGAGGGCCAAATTGTAGTAGCCTATACAAAAACTATTACAGTCAATTTTGTCTCCAATTTAACTCAACATGTGCCAGTGAGCAAATATTATTATGGACATACTTCTGGTTTTCATGATTTCATGGTAGATTTTGTCATGTTTTCTTCATGTTCCCGATTAATTGATATGTAAAAATTGACCTGAGGGCCACGTTGAGGGTTGATGTGGCCCCCGGGCCGCCAGTTGCCCACCCCTGCTCTACATATACTATAAGACATGTTTCACTATGCATTTCTAAGTCCGTGCAAACACTTTGTCATTCGTTTTACAGACTTTCAGTCCAGAACGTTTTAGCAAGCGATCCAGTGCACAGTTTAACACTCTGAGGCCAGAGGACCAAGGGCTTACTGAGAAACAAGACAGCTGTTTTACTGCCACGGAGGGACATCCTGTTTTTGAAGAGTCATGGCCATCCTCTGACTGTGGATCATCTCCTGCCAGTATTTTAACCTCATCTAACATGGTGTCACCCAAACAGTCTGCAAGAGCAGGAAAACACTCAACTTCCTTAGAACCAGGAGTTCAGCAGGATTCAGTGCTATCAAAGTAGGTTGAAATTTAATTTGGTTTAGACCAAACCCTCTAACGTTATAGCTATGCCTTGCAGCTGGTATCCCAGTTAATTAGAGCGGTAACATATTCTCACTTAAACAAAATGATCAATATGTGAAGGAGTCACTAAACATAACAATAGTGATTCTGCTTAGAAGCCTCAAAGATAGAGAAGCAGGTCAGTGTTTTTGTGTCCTTGATATTGGAATCACTAGTCATAGGAAACGCCAACCTTTTTTGTCACAGGTATATAGAGCGCTTTCGCCATGGCCGACCGCAAAGTCGTGAGGAGCGCCAGCAGATGGCTTCTTCCGTTAGAGAGAAATCAGTGCCTTTTTGGTGGATAACATCCTCAACTTTTCCCCCCAGCTCAACACCAACTAAAACAACAGACAAAGGTACTTATGGTCACTTATTGCAGACTTACTGACTTTTGATATAGGATCCTACATTTCAATGAAGAAAGCATGCCTTTTTTGTGTGAAATGTAACAGTGAAATCCTTTGCATTAAACAGATGTTACCCAGCCTCTAAAAGATGCCCATGGAGCTTTCTTTTACAGTCCTGTACAGTATCAGCGTGACAGATCCCTCTCCCCATGTAGAAGATCCCTAAGTGTGAGTGCATTCATGAGTTTATGAAAACCACCAGATACTACTCCAGTTTGATGTTTTTGCATGTGTTTATAATGGGTTGTTGGGGTTGCAACCTGCTGCGGTTTATGCCAGGTTTCTCTGACCGCAGGAGAGAAATCATCCAACTAAGTACCGTAAAATATTAACACTTCATCAAAACACCACATGTCTGTTTAAAAACCTCTAGTCTGTTTACTAAGTGCCAAGTAAGCTTTGGTTTGGCAGCCATGTTTAGAAATATGGCTGGCTCTGCCTTTTGTCAAATGAGTTGCCCTAATTAAAGTATGGAAAAACTTCAGTACATTTTAAGCAATATAAGACTCAAATGCAGCAATTTTTTTCTTTTAGTTTTATTCATTCACACCACATTGTGAGTGTTGTACCCTTTTGATCTTCTACCTGTCCATTTTTTTGTTTCAGATTTTGTCAGACACATCCCAGGGGGAATATGACGACACTGAGATACTCCAACTTCAAGATCGGGCCAACAGACTTCTGCTGAGAGAGTATGAAAACCATCAAAGTGACATGAATGATAAATGAAAAAGAAATACTCCAGTTGAAAGTGAACTTTTTCTTTGTAACAGTGAAACTCTGAATGATGGATCTATCCATGTCAGCTCCGAGGGTCTCGGATGCTCAGATTTCTCTTCTCCATGCAGCATAGAGGAGCCAGTGAGAAGACCTGTGATTCCTGGAGTAACAATGTCTGCTGCTGGTAATGCAACAGCATGGACTTCTGTAGAATTTTGTTGATGTTTTTTTAAAATTTAAACTTGCTTTATCATTTTCCTGTAAATGCAACATGTCAAAGAAGGTTCTTCTTTTTTATGCTTGTGAAAACTTTTGTTTGTCTCAAAATGGACAGAAATGGCCAGCTCAGACTCAATTCAAGCCCATCTCTCCCAAAACCCCTCTGTCGTTCCTTCACTGGAGCCCCCCACTAGACCGGAAGATGACATCTTGTTCCAGTGGCGTTTAAGGAGAAAGATTGAGCAGGCCAGGGAGTGGCCCCAGAAACACTCAGGTTTTTATGGTCCAACCACTAACCACCAGAGTTTAAGCCAGACCTCAGCTAGTGGACAGGCCTATGAGGTTGGTATAATAATAGTGTATGTATATCACAATTTATTTTTATTTTTCCAAAATCCCCAGGATAATTATTATGTCCTCTTTCTTGCAACAGGGACGTGTTCAACCTCCAGAATTCTCAGAAAAAGTGATAACTCCTGAGATTGCTGGTGCCAGGCTAGAACCCAAAGTAAATCCTGGATCATTTAGCCCATCTTCAGGTCCAGCTCCGTTACCTGCCTTTGTTGTCTCTGGTTCTTCAGTTTCTCAACCCCATGTTCCTGCCCACATGCATTTTCTTTGTGATGTCTTGCCATGTCCCAGCCAGACATTTCATGCTAGTACACATGACAACATTTTCCAAAGTAGGGATGAGTCTCGGACTAAAATAGTTTTTGAAAAGGCACAAGCTGAGAACAAGATGAAAACAGCCCCAGATGATCCTTTTCTCGAACATATTCCAACCCCATCAAATGCTTCATCTGGAGCTACAAAAGGGGAAAGGCCATCCAACCACAAAAGATCAGAGAGGAACAAGAGGGAGAAAGCTCAGACAAAAGAGTCAGAGAACAACAAGAAGGAGACAGTGATGTCTTTCAGAAAGCAGAAGAAATCAACAAGGTCAAGTATTGAAAAATGCTCATTGTATGGAAGACCATTCAACAAATTCTAAGTATACATATTGACTTATTTTTGCAGGCATACTATGGAAAAGGAACACAGTGATGGCCCTGGCTCTACAAATAGGAGTTCTTCACATCAAAGGTATCCTGAAAGGATCTTGCCATTGGCCAAGGAGCAGCAGCAACAAGAGGGACGTTTTTCCAGCCAGAGCTCTACTGATGCTCATGCACCACCACATTCTCCAATACACAGTGCCTTAGGACAGGTCAGCATTTACACAAGCTGTACAGTGTTTTTATATTCTCAACCGTTCCCTTGTTATTTTCTTAACTCTTTCTCACTTTATGAAGTTGGTTAAAGCAGGCAACCAATGAAGCCAGTGAAGCTGTTTGCATATTATTCACAATGTTATTCTTGATGTTATATTTTGATAGCCTGCAGGTAGCATAACCTACAAAACAAGCCATGATCCTTCCAAATGATAAGGTGATTGGAGTTTATGTCAGATGTTGTTGTATAAGAACATTGGTGTTTGACAGGCTTTAGTTTCTAAACATGGTGGCATGAGATGGAAAAATATTGAAATGTAAAAAACATATATATTGACATTCCACCCCACCGCCTAATTTTTATTGATATTTTTGAGCCCAAAAAAGTTCTTCATGGTATCAAAATGGCTCAAGTAGGTCTGCACAATGAATCACCGTTTAACTGTTATCGCAACATGAGAATTTGAGATAAACACAAAATTCTAAATTTATTGCACTAAGTAAGAGAACTTATTTGATGTGCTTTCTCACTCGTCACTATGACATTTGACCTTAAGGATGGAGGCTTGGGTATATTTGCCGTGCATCCACACACTTTTGATACATTCAGGCGAAGCTCAAGGTAGTGATCTGCTACCATCAGGTTAATTGGTGCCAACTTAGTGGTTAAAATGCATTTTAGGATATATTTAGAATTGAAAAGGGACATGTTACAAACACAGGTAAAAACTGTTAGCTATAGCTTATTACGCCCTCTAATATTTGTATATAAATTTCTCTTTATATCGTTATCACACATCCCACAATTTTCTCATATCCTGCAGGCCTAGTGGTTGGTATTAAAAATATACACTTTAACGTTTATAAAAGATATTAAGTCAGGAATGCAACAATGTATTCAAAATCACAAATTACTAAATGAACCCTGAACCCACTTTTGTCAATTGATTGTGCATTGTAACTTTTTTTGTTCAAATCTATTTTGTTTTTTTAATTACAAACAGCATAATCTGATGTTAAGCTTAGATGTCATTATGGGGATAAAAAGCGTAATTATCCAGCAAAGTGTTGTTGTTTGACGTTGACAGGTAGTTTCCGAGGTCTTGTTCCCTATGACGGAATCGTCTCCTGCTCCGAGGATGCCGGTCTCCTCCTCTCCCTCCTGCACTTCTGCAGCTCGGACACAATCCTCAGTTCTTCCCTGTGATGAACAGAACTCTGTTGAGGTCATATCACAGCTGCTGCAAGAGGCTGAAGGTGAGTGTACGGCAGCAAAGAGCACCAACCTTTACCCTGTAGTTAATTGTGGAAAATCTATTTCTTTGAATAGCTTTCACTCCCAGCATTCCAAAACCTTTTAGGTATTTCTTTCTGTGAGCTTGCTGTTAGTTTGTTAAGCTGGTATAATTTGTAATGCATGAGGAATTTGTTGTGCAAACCATTTGAGTCCCATAACCTGAATAATTTAGGTTTATTCTTTTTCAGATTCAGATGAGAAAGAGTTTGAAGATGATGCTTTATTAAAAGTCCTTCGCAAACAGAGAAAATGGGTAAAGGAACAGATCAGGTAAAATAATAAGCTATGACTTAAATTGCTCAATGTAAGCCACATTGATTATAAAAAATGATATACATGTTCATGTAAGGCTCTTAATCTTCAAATCCAATTAAATGTAGCACTTGTTATAAATCATTGAATGATGTTAAGATATGTGAATCAAATCTAAGAACAGTCTTCGACTGTGATTTTCTTTTTTCAGTGAAGTTGACTTTTTGTTGAATGGCTTTCTGGACGAGCAACATGCTACCTGAAAATGAAGAAGAAGAGACACTTGCCTCAGTAGTTTTTATTTTTTATGAAGAAATAAAGTTTATTTGTTCTCTTTTTGAAGAAATATTTTCCACATTAAAGAGCTTAGAGATATGTTAGTGTGCATCATTAATCACAAACATTACACAGTGCATTTTACAAAAGTTGCACAAAAAAGTCAGCACATTGAGCTGTCATCGCAGAATATTTACAAAGAATGATTCTGTGAAACATTACTGTATGTAAGAATGATGAGTTACAGTCAGAGCAGTATTTACAAACCTCAGAGAGCAGGGAATATTAAACAGTGCCAGGAACTAAACAAACCAATGTTTTGGCACATGCTGAATGTTGCTATGACTGGATGGGGAAAAAGTTTTTTCCTTGTGCGTGCATAAAAGTTTCTGTTGTATTTGTTATAGTTCAAAGTGAGGATAACAGAAATTGAGTGTTGGATATTGAATCCATTAGTTAAGGATTCTGGTTTGCACAATTGGTGCAGCTATGATAAGAATGCCATCTGGAGAGACCGCTGACTCCAAAGCCATGGTGTCTACCCCCTTTGGGATTCGGTAGCGACGGTTAAACTGCCGTGTGGTCAATCCTGGACCATTCTTCTACAAAAACAAAGATATAAGTACAAGTTTAGAGGATGACAGAGATCACAACTTTTGAATATAACCTAAAGAATACTGCTAGTTTCTGTTATAAAACCAACCTTTTTCTCTTCATGCTTTCCTTGAACTTCTACAAAGTCTCCGATCACTTTCACCATTAGGTCCCGTGGGCTGAAGTCCTTTACATCTACTTGAACTGTGAAACCCCTGTCATCACAGTTGACCTGCCGTAATCAAACAAAACTACATTATTTCATAGAAACAACAATCACTGCAAAAAGCTCACCAAAAAGTATATGACAGCATGCTCTTAATACGATACATATCATTTGTAATATTTGCTAGTTAAAACACACTCCTGACTTTTGAAATAGTACTTAGGTTTAAAAAATGTTGTCTTTTTTTTCAGCTTTCAAATGCATCTTTATTTGCTGAACAAGAATCAGATGTTGGCTTCTGGGTTGACCTTGAATTACATCAAATACTTAAGGGGAAAACTTTTATTCTGTAGATTCCCAGCTATCTAACAAGTTTCTATTCTGTTAACCTGCATTTTCACAGAGCCAAAACAAAAGCAAATCATCAATTTAGTTTTTTCAAAACCTGGTTACAATAACTCAAAACGACCTACCTCAGCAGAGCTGGTATTATCAGACTCTGGAATAAGTAATTTAGGAGACCAATTATATTGTCCATAAGTCCCATTCAGGCGAGGAATAAGAGGTTGCAAAAGTTTCTCCCATTGGAGATCCCCAGCTGGCAGAGTGGGTGGCAGGATGAAGTCCATCTATTAACAGGAGAAATAAAGAAAACAAATTAATATTATAAGAACTGGAGTCAGAGCAGTTGAGGCTACAATATACTAGACCACCAAACATAAAACGCAAGTCACTACTTACCTCTTCCCAAATTCCTTGACCAAATAAGTGTGTGAAAGGGAAGAGAGTTGAACAGCTTGTTTGAGGTCCTGAAAGAGGCACAGGGAGTACCTATGATTTACTGGTACACCGGCCTGACTCACTGACTGAGTCTCAAGTGGCTGCCTGACACGAGTGACTGTGTGTGTGTGTGTTTTATAGGCTTCTGGGGTTGCATAATGAGTTGGGGAATTCACTGTGGGGCACCTTGCTTCTGTTATGATCCGGACTAATGCGTATACCCTTGAGTGTTCAGGCAGCGCCATATAGGATAAGAGTGTATTGTTATTGGAGTGACGCAGCTGTCTCGGGATTGTGACAATAACGTGTCAATTAGCCATTACCAATACATAGTTGATCCCTTGTATTGATGGCGCCGATACAAAGAGACTGGTTACTAATAAGAGTCGTTTTTAAGTAACACTTAAAGGCTGTTGTCAGGGAAGGTCCGTCCAAAAATAAGTTCAAAAGACGATGTTGACCCTCGTGGGCTGATGCCGAACAGACGGTGACAGCAGGGACGTCCTAAACACATGCCAGAGCACGTGCACTGCCAACAAGCCTCAACTGTCAGAGAGGAACACACTACTCAGATCAATTATCAAAGTCACAGATGCAGTACACCTTCATGTTAAAATAAACCATTAGGTTACAAGTAAACTCCTGATATTAGTACAGAACAAATTAATAGACTATTATCGTCCTCAGACAAATTGTGGTCCCAGGTTGTTATATTATGTTTTTTCTTTGTGAAGTCTTAATTGTAATGCATTGGTAATACATGTATATTTTTTGCCTGAGAGGTCTAGCTAGAGCTAATAAATGTATGTTGGTTTTGTATACAACAATAGGCATATAGCCTATATTTTTGTAGTTGGTTTAAGTTTTTACTATTATTTTATAAAGTCTTTATTAGTAGTTACATGCTGACATATAACTTGAGAAGTAGCCTATACCGTATTGTATTTGCCATTTAAATGTAGCAAAATATAAAGTACTATGAATGAAGGACCCTTTTTAAAGTAGCCTACTTGTACAAGAGTAAATGCATCATGCCCTTTCCAACACACTCTAAATACAAATGTAAAATACTTCACACTTCTAAACAAGGTGCAATGTCCATAAAAGGACTCCTTGTATTCACTCCCAATAAATCTGATTTATTAAGTGACCCTGTGTTGTTCACAGTACAGATTGTGCTGATACTTTTGGCATGTTCTTGGCACACTATGGTGAAGTCAGCAGTTAATACAGGGTGCACATGTTCTCCCCGTTAGTTATGTGAATCCTGTCACTTAAGCTTTAACTGGTGTGACTAAAAATGGCTCTGATTATGTTATGACTCATATAGGAGACAGGGAAGTTGGGACATTGGTGGGATTAAGCTATTGGGTTTCATTACAGGCGCCAGTCAATGTCCAGCCTTTAGGGGACTACTATAACAATGCCAAATATTGGTAGTATGTAGAGAGAAAATAGTTCAGGGATGGGTCACCAAACTAAAAGCCCACACAGACTTATAAACATTGGATGAATAATGATGTTCCAACACAAACATAAAATGTTGACTCACGTACAGTACATGGAGTAACAAGTGTCAGAAGGTAGCTTTGTGACTTTTTTTATTCATCATATACAAGTACAAAATTCTTTTTGGGTGCACAATCATACAGAATTGAGATTTTTTAGTCAGGAAAAAAAGGTTGCCTGGAATATTGTTCAGTGAACTAACCTGAATGCACATTGATAGATAACATTGTCAGCAGGGTTGATTAGCTTACACTTCAACCAAAGGATATTCTCAAATTCCTTGAAAGCAGGAATTTCTAAAGCATGCATCTTTGAAGAACATGGCTTTTGATTTCTATGTTTACTGTATTTACCTTGTCTTACACTGTAGTTAAAAAAAGGAACATTTATTTTTCCTTATTAGTATATCATTGTTTTCAAAAGATCTGCTGTCAAAAAATGTCTCAAGGAATGCCCAGTGGAATCGTAAAAGAGAGGTAATCTCCCACCTCCCCCCACTCTGCTCTGAAATGCTGGAAAATAGTAATCCAAGTTGTGAGAACTGCCGTCCAAAGCAGTAACCCCAATGCTGACCGCTTCACATCTGGAATTTAAGACAAATACAAACAATGGTCATTAAATATTTTGTTTTTTCACACAGAAATAATGAGGTAAAATAACATGGTAGTGGAAAATGTCTGTTACTTTCAACTGGCCTGACAGATGCAATAAATATTATGATATCTGGATATATACAGTGGATATAAAAAGTCTACACACCCATGTTAAATTGTTAGTTTTTGTGACGTAGAAAAAATTACACCAAGAAAGATAATTTCAAAATGTTTCCACCTTTAGTCTGACATATTACCTGTGCAATTCCATTGAAAAAAATCTTTATGGTAAAAAATAATCAATGAAAACTAAAATAATGTGGTTGCACAAGTATACACACCCTTGAACTAACACTTTGATAAGATAAGATAAACCTTTATTCATCTCAAAATGGAGAAATTTACAGTGTTACAGCAGCAAAGCAGGATAGTAAACACAAGAAAAAGCACACAGTGCACGATTAAATTAAAGATAGAATAATATATAAAAATAAAAATAAATAGATTAAAAAAAGTTAAAGAGCCAGCAACAGGGCTGCACAAGTAGTTCCATATATTTTCAAGCACCTTTTAATTTTATCACAGCATTTAGTCTTTTGGGGTATGAGTCTATCAGCAAGCACATCTTGACTTGGAAATATTTGCACACTCTTCCTTGTAAAAGAGCTCCAAATCTGTCACATTGTGAAGGCATTTCCTGTTCACAGCCCTCTTCAGGTCACCCCAAAGATTTTCAAGAGGATCCAGATCTGAGCTCTGGCTGAGCTATTCTAAAATGTTCATTTTCTTCTGGTGAAGCCACCATTCTTTTGTTGATTGGTTCGTTGTCATGCTGAAAGGTGAAATTCATCTTCATCCTTCGAGCAGATGCCTGAAGGTTTTGTGTCAAAATAGATAGGTATTTTGAACTGTAATTAATTCCCTTTAACTTAATTAAAGCCAGTTTTACTTGTCGTCTTTCCATCAATTTTTGAGGGACGTCCTGTTCTTGGTAGTGTCACTGTTGTGCCATATTTTCTTCACTTGCAGGTGACTGTTTTCAATATATTCCATGATAAAAACTAATGCTTTGGAAACATCTGTTTACCCTGGTTCTGATCAGAACAGCTTCATCTTATTTGCAGTTAATAAATTAATTGAATTGATGGTAGGTGTGTACTGACTATTATTTAACATGAATTTTAATGTGATTGGTTAAATCTGAATGCAGCCTCATCCCCAATAGTTAGAGGGTGTGCATACTTACGCAACTACATTTTTTTTAGTTTTCATTAATTATTTTTCCCGGTAAAAGATTTATTTCTTTTTTTTTTTTAAATGGAATTGCACAGGTAATAGGTCACACTAAAGGTGGAAACATTTTGAAATGATCTTTCTTGGTCTTATTTTTCTACATCACAAAAACTGACATTTTAACAAGGGTGCGTAGACGTTTTATATCCACTGTTTATTAATAGTACATCATTATGTGAAAAATATTTTCTCCAGTATTCCAAATCACAAATTGGGTCAAAATTTCAAATGCTGTCCTCATGTTAGAGGAATTATATTTACACAGTTAATCTAGAAAAGGTAAAGTAGATCATTTTCAATCAATAAATTGAGTCCTACAGGCTAGAACCATAGCACTGGTTGAAATTCACACACATATTTTTAACGTATGTTTATGAATAAATATCTTATAACTCGTTTTTTTAAGTGCAAAAATGTTTTGTAAAATCCCTGGTATTAAAATACCACTTTGACACTTACAGGTCTTAATCTGGAGCTGTTCGTTGTAGACTGGCTTTACAAAAGCCTCACGGAAAAACCAAACGACATTGACGAGCCACAGAAATGGGAGAAATGCAAAACCACCTGAGACACAAGACAGAAAAACATAATCAATGACAATTTATTTAAATTAATATTAAAGGCTGACCCACTCAAGATAGGAAAAAAATGAATTTCTTTTCTCGTACTAAACTGATAAGCAGCTTTACTGCTCATGAGACATGACAATTTGACTAAACCATTTCAAAGTCAAAGTCAACTTTAGTGTCAATTTCAAAATATGCCAAACATACAGTGGAATCGAAATTACGTTTATCTCCGTCCCACAGTGCAGTACAACCAAAATAAGATAAAATAGATAAAATAAAATGAGGTAAAAATAAGATAAATAATATTTACAGTAATAAATTCTAAATTTGAATTTAATTTGAATACATATGATATATTGAATACATTTAATGACGTGTCCAGTGTTTACAACGAAAACACAGGGAAGTATGATTGAAGAGGTTTGTCCCATGAATACTTGCAACTCTCACCTAAATAATATTTCCTGCATAGGCTGAGCTTCTCCTCATTCGGAAGCCGTTCGAGGTTCATCTTGACCCTGGATCCAGATACTGAAACAAACAAAAAGACTTTAAACACGACTTAAGACTGTCTTCAAACTCTCTCTTCAAACCTTATAAGATGTTACAAATGTCGATTGCTTAGTCCTGCTTTAAGATACCATCGTCTACTGGCCGGGACATACCTTTATTTTAATACAAATATGTCAGATTCTGTAACCCAAGTAATCTTCAGTAGCTTGGTGATGTTGTCTATTGTCATATGACTCTGGACTCCTCAGGCTAATTGTAGCATTTCGTTAGCTTGGCAGTGTAACGTGATGTCGTTCAAACTACTATGACAAGCCGTAGTGATGAGTTACATCAATTAATATCTCATGCGAGGGGTTTATTTTAAGTAAAATGTATGAAAGCCTGGAACATTAAGTATTATACAATTCAAATTTACCTGATATTTAAGTTCTAATCGTCGCTAGTTAGCAAACTAGGAAATGGTTGAACAACAAAACACTTCCCTCTTCGGATTTCTTCTTCGTCTCCTTTGGTCTTTCTCTCTTTGTTATTTGAGGCAAGAACGTTGACTATCATGCTCCGTATCGCCGCCTACCGAGCCGGAGTATATGTCTTCCTGATTTTTTAAAGACAGACTGATCCTGAAAAGTTGGTGGTATTTTGTCTCAAATAGACATATATTAATTAATTCGAAATTTTTGAAGGGGTCTTCCATAAAATATGTTGTTAATGCCACCAGTTACTTTAACAGAGGTCGAAACTAAACAATAACGCCTCATCCCCCCCCAGGTGTAAAACAGAGCGCTTCAGGCGCTCCTTTGTGCCCACTGCCATCAGACTGTACAACAGCAGCCTATGACAACAATAACAGTCCGTCCTTGACACTAAACTTCACCCCCATAAAACACTACCCACATGACCTGCTTCATTATTATCATTACTAACATTGTATTATTATTATTATTTAGCATCAATATATATATACATATATACTGTACATTCTTTATATTTTTATTATATTAGTCTATATTATATTATATAACATTTCATTATATTACACTATATTGTTCATATTGCACTATATTATATTATATTATATTATACTACATTATATAACTGCACTCTGCATTACTGTGGTACAATACTGCCTCTCTTCTCTGCTGTTTACATGACTTGCTGCTATTTATCATATCAAGTCACTTTAATCATCACTTGTCACTTTATCTTGTCATTCTCTGCAAATACTGTCTCAATTCCCTGCATAGTTAACTTCATCATTCATTTTGTACTTGTATATATCCCTTGTTTTTATTTTTATTTATCTTATCTATTCTGTTTAATGTGTATTTTGAGCTTTCTTGTCTGTGCTGCTGCAACGCCCGAATTTCCCCTCTGGGGATCAATAAAGTTTTATCCTATCCTATCTTATAATAATCCTACTCCTCCTACACTCAAAGTAAATTATAGTGTAGGCTTTTGCTAAGCATTTCTGCTTCTTCTGAGGAAACCAACATTACGTTTTACAGCAAATAATATTTTAGAGGAATATTGATAAACTTGAAATACGATTTATTATGTGTTTGTTTGATGTGATTGTTCTGTTGTAGTAGCCTGGTGTGTTTCCAAATCATCATCGAGGGCGTATTAAAGCCTAGGCGCCCCCTAGCGTGTAAAGACGTGAGGCACCACTATGGGTCACAAGCGCTTAGTAGATATTCTTTTATATGCTTTGCATTAGCCCCAAATATCGACATCGCCTTATAGAAGTCAAGAAGTAGGCTACACCATGTTACTTCCTAACTGTTTCCCATGTACAACCGGTGTCCAAAAGTGTAGGCTAGTTGTTTTCTGCGAACATCCAAATTAAATTACCTGTTATTGCAGGTTTTATTTATTTTAAATGGTAGTTTTCTGTACCCTCGTTGGTTATAAACTATTACAAGATCAGGTTTTTTTTTTTAATCTATAATTGTAATACCAAAAGTAAAAGCTAGTTAAGCTTGTTGTGTTATCAACTTTGGCTCTAAAACGTTTAAAAGAAGAAAAATCTAATTTCACAATGTGCCTTATGGAAAAAAAACGCATTTTTTGTACCTTCTATTGTGTTTGAATCTGAAAAGGTATGGTGTTTTAATGCACTTTAAACAAAGAGTTTTTAATAAAATCATACATTCGATATAATACCTGGCTATTGACCTAACATATGGGGTTAGTGTTTGGTATTTTGCTTTTCAAACAGCAGATAATAAAATCAATCTCCATCACATAGATGCAAAGCTATTCTGCTTCGGTTGTTAACTTAATTAAAGCTGACTCTGTGATCCCTCATCAGACATCTTTTTTTGAGTCATTTATGGGGGGAGTTTTATTCTTATGTTTAAGTCAGTGGGTTAAAGTCATGATGTAGTGTCTATTTACGGGGAAGTATTTTACTGTTACGTTAGGTTAGGCCTACTTACTGACAGCCTTGACATTTTGACATGATAGATTTAAAGGTGAAAAAACAATAACTTTGAGGAGGTTCATTTAATTAGTATTGCTATCTGTCTGGAATTGGATGTAACATTTCTTGAATGGAGTTGTGAAGTAACCTACTATCACCACAAGAGGTCAAACGACCCGCTTTCCACCATTGACTGTTTCCCCTACTGAGGGCTTCACCGAGAAAAAAAAACAAAACTCAGTTTCCCTTGAGGCATTGCGGCTCCCCCCCTTCCCATCTCGCGCCTTCCCTCTTGTTTCTCCTCAAACTGCTAGCCGTCGGAGTGTGTTGTTGTTGAAGCAATGATGGCGGCAGCGGGATGCGGATCAGCAACCGCGGCTGCCGTAGGAGGCCAAGGTGGAACCGCGACGGCCAGAGGTCGTTTCCCCGGTCGTCCTTGGTCGTCACGCAGTCGATTGCGCTCCGAGAAGCGGTGGCAACTCGGACGATCAGGCTCAGAAGCTGATGATGTGACTAACGGAGGGCCAAGGCCCGCAAACCTGGTCCTATCGTTAAACGAAGACCAGTCTCACTTGCGCTTACTCGGACTAGAGGCGAGCCACAGGATCCTCGGTCAGTCTGGATACAGCTCTAGTGGGAGTGAAGAGGTGAGGTCCCAAACCGACCCAGGAGTTAGTATCTTTATTTCATTTTTTTCCCTCATTTGTGTGTCCATTAAATGTGCGAGAATGAGTGCTGTTCACAGCAGTGTGACTGGTTAGTGACTTGGAGAAATGTCAACATCCCTTCGTTACGCTAACGATAACTAGCTCGGTAAGCTAACATTACATGCTAACCCTATGTTAGCACTGTGCAGCTTTCCTTGACATGTAATGGACAGTCGCAACACGAATACCGCTTCAAAACATTAGCAGTGCACTTCATTTAACTCCACACTGTGCCCTATTTGTAAACAAGTAGTTTAAACTATTATAATACAAGTAAATGATAGTATAAAGGTTCAGTGAATGAGTATGCTTATTTGTTATCAGGTAGTTATGTTATTCATGGCCCGCTCTGTAACAGGCCAGAGGAGCAGCCAACTTATAGTATCCAACACAAAGAACGGGAAGGCTAGCACCTCCTTAGCCTACACATGCTAATGTCTGTTTTCATACGGTGTCCAGATGCGGGCTGAGCTGTCCTGCTAGCTGCTTAAATAAGACAGCAAACTCAAATCTTGCAGGAGCCTACTTGTAGTTATACTGCAATATAAACACTCGTATCTTATACTGGGTTAGGCTAAATAGCAGAAGTGGGCTAACTCCTCTAGAGAGGAGGGGATGGCTAATTGCTAGCTTGTGTTACAAAGCACGACAGGTTTAAATGGTGGTGCAGTGTGCCAAAGCCAGTGGCACCCTTGTTGGTAGACCTAGAAAGCTCATTAGTAATAACGTAAACCACACACCTGCAGGCTCGTATGTCTTACCGTGTTATAATATAGCCGAGCTGTTTGTAAATGAGAAAGATGTGCAATAACCTTACTTGAGGGAAGAGAATTACTGCTGTTTTAAATTCAGTGTAGGTGTTCAGCCAACAGTCCAAGTATGATTCAAGCAAAGACTGTAGATTTTATGAGATGGTGAATCATCCACACATGTAAAAACTGTAAACATTTAAAGTTTAGTAGGGTTTCCCAATCGTCTAATGCCAGTTGTATTCATTAAAACTGAAAATATCTGGTTTGAATGTGGATAAATGAAAGCAATTGTCCATTGTCTGTCATTGTTATTTTTGTGCCTAAACCTAAACATTTTTTTGCTGGTTTTGTTTTATTAAACAGATATAGATCATATGCGCTAATATTATCATGCATTGCTATTATAAGTGTTTTGGAAAATCATCATAATGCTGGACATGTTTCTATTCCTTAAATTAATTTTAAGAGACAATATTCATTGCTATTCAAAAAATTGATTTAGTGCATATAACGTAACATGGATTGAACCTCAACATGAGTGCTTTACCAACTAAAATAGCATTTTAGTTATTGTCTTGCTGATGTTGTTACAGACTCCAGCAGAATTGTGTTCAGATGCTTCAGGTGTTAATTGCTTCTTCTTTTTTCAAGGGTGATGACTTTAGAGGATTTGAAGCTGAGAGAAAAAGCTCAAAAGGACCTGTGAGGTCACGACAAAACCCTTCCAAAGGTATACAACTGGCCATTATTGACTACATTACATAGTTGGTGTAATTTATAAACACAACTTACGTTTTACTCTGAATTAAGCATGTTACAACATAAAAAAAGGAGGAATGTTTTCTATCACAGATTTGCACTTAACTGGCGATCAATGGATTTCTTTTTTTTTCTTTCTTTTTTTTTTTTAAAGGTGATGCTCTCAACACGAAATCCAAACGACACAGTGAGAAGCTACCACTTAAAACACCAGCAATGGAAGCAGCTATCACCCCTCCTGACCCTTTCAATGATGTTAAACCTTTGGACGAAACACAAGGCTTATCTTCAGAAGTAGAGCCCGCACAGGATTGCAGGAAAGGTCCAAAAGGAAAAAACACCATGGTTCGTCAGTCTTCTAAAAGTGGAGCTTCATCAGCGTCACCAAGGATTACTATAAAGTTGGTGGCCAAAAAGAAGATGAAAACTTTGAAGGAGTCCCATGTAAAATCTTCAAGGAAATCAAAGAAAAAGGGAATTCAGGATCAGTCTAATGCCAAGGACATTCAGGGTGACCAGATTTCAAGTGCTCGCGTCAAATTAAAAACTGAACCACTTGAGGATAAAGCTGGCAACGAGGATAAGAGAGGAGGGACTGTACCTGCTAGAAGGCGTGGAAGATCTGCTTTAAAGACTGAGCCTGTTTGCCAGTCAAACGCCAAAGTTTTGGTGGATGAACAAAGAGAGTCAAAAGAGAGAAAATCAGCGGATCAAATCGAACCCGTTAAAGACAGCGAGGCTGTCGAGCCAAAAAGGAATGCAAAGATGTTAAAGCAGAAGGACATTGTGACAGAGCAAGATCCTGATGTAAATCAACCAGCGATTCGTAGGAGCCGTAGAGTCAGTCAACCACTCTCTGAAAAGATCTCAGACTGTGCAGCTGAGCCACAAAGTCTGAGTAAAAGTGATAACATTTTGACTGAGTCAATGGCAGAAGTTTCTAATGCAGTTGAGGCCAAACCACCTGCAAAAAGTGAAAGACGAAGGCAAAGCAAGAGGCTGAATAAGGATGTTACAGCGCCAGAGAACCAAGGTTCATCATCCACAGAGACCGATAATGTAACCAGTGATGGTTTGCCTTTAAAGAAAGAGGAAATGATGGTCCCAAGTTTAAAGTTGATGAAGATCAGAAACCCAAAATATGATGTGCAGGCCAGTGGGAAGAACTCGACTCGGAAGAAAAAGCGGAGAAAATTTATATGGACTCTAACATTAGTCAAGGGGAAAAGTCAAAGACAAGATGCTAAAATCACTGTTAAAGGAAAGGACAAACCTGTCTGTGAAGTGGATGAGTTGACATCATGTGACATCGGTATCAACAGGAATTTAAAGGGGGTGGATAAAAGATCTAAACTGGATAACACTGCCCTACAAGAGTGTAAAAGCATGGACAATAAGGAGAAAGATTTCCAAAACAAGGCTGATGGGTCATTTGAGGAAAAGTTATCTTCACAGGTGGAAAATGAAGTGCAACACATGAATGAAACACCTCCACAAGAAATGTCAAAAACTGATTGCGAGAAAGTTCCACCACTGCAGATCAAAAAGGTCTCCTCTCCTGGTAAACATAAAAGCTCAAAGCCATCCTTTTTGATTCAGCAGGTCAGTCCTGTGACTGAAAAGAAGGAGGATTTTCTGAAAGATCCCAGTGAAGATAATGAGGAACCAACATTAACTCCTGATATTGAGGTCACACCGACTAGGAGATTAAGAAGGAGGACACCAAGCTTGGATTCGCCACAGAAAAAATCAGTAATTCAAAAATCAGAGACCACTCCGAAACGGAGGCTTAGAAAGAGTCCACTGGATGAAGTGGCTCCACAGGTGCATGCTGAAGATCCTTCTCAGGCTATAACCGAAGATATCTGCTCACATGGTCTTCCTGAAAACTCTGGTCAGCTTTTGGCTGAGGACCCTTTACTGGTGACAAGCTTGACCTCCTCTAAAGTTCCTGATAAGGACTCCTCTGAGATCGCTGAGGAGGCCTCACATGTGCCTGTTGAAGTGTCTCCACAGAAAGTGGAGAATGAGGTTGAACCGCAGATCAAAGAGGCTAAAACATTGCCTGTACCATCCAAACCTAGAAGATGTAGAAATAATAAATTAGGTAAAAAGAGGTCTGTTCAAAGGAAGAAGCATGTTGTCTCTCCTAAAACTGCTGTAGACACAGAGTTGCCAACAATTGAAACTACTCTTACTGAATCTGTGCTAAAGGAAGATACTTTTCCTTTAGATACTCTTCCTTTAGAAGATACTCTTCCTTTCGTAACAGAGGGGAGTCAGTCTCTAACACCAGATTGCACACAGCCTGAAGAAAAACAGGACACTGTGTCAGTGGAAGAAGAGCAGATACAGCCACCAGTTAAAGAGGAAACAGATATCCAGTTGATAGATAGTCAGCCATTGGTGTGTCCAACAGAGTGTCCAACAAGTGATCCAAAAACATTGTGCATACAAAAGAAATCTCACAAGAAAGTAAAAAAGAGGCGTAAAAGTTTGATTGGGCAGCGGCAGAAACACAAACACAGGGCAAGAGATGGAAAGTTTGCTCCACTCAAAGAATCTGAAAACAGTCCAAAAATTGTTGAAGGGGATGGTGACATTTCTACTCCATTGGCAGCTAACCCACAGACCCAAAGCTCCAAACTGATTGGAATACAGAAAATATATAAAAAGAGACAGACAGGTCTTCATTTTATTGGGTCTAAAAGGCCCAAACCACAAGCAAAAATTATTTCTAAGCTGTTAGAAATTGGGCTGGACAAAGAAAGTTTCAAGGAAGAGGAAACGGACACATTAGTGGACATTGGACGACCAGATGTTGTAGAAGCCCATCCTGTTAAATCAAGCAAGTTTGTAAAAAACATCAAACACTTCATCATGCCTGTTGTAAGTGCCAGATCCTCGCGGGTGATCAAGACCCCTCAAAGGTTTATGGATGATGCTGGGATGTCTGTCTTGCCTCGAAGAAACTCCCCGAAGAAGGGTTTACAGCTCGGCTTGCAAATGCGTCCTGGAAAGAGGCGAGAAGATGGGACGTGCAGATCAATATCTCCTATCCTACCTGTTGATGAGGAGGACCTATTGAGTGAAGCTCAATTGGATGTGGATTTGTTTTCAGCTCAGGATCTGGATGATGACATCGATTTAGCTGACGGCCTTCTATCTGAGAGAAAGAGCAGCAATGTTGAAAAGAAGAAGCCTTTCCTGAAGAACTCCAGTTTCAGTTGGCACGTGCCTGAAGAGTCTAGTGATGAAATGTTTTCACTTGACCAAACTCTAGATAGTGAATGTGACGATCTGTTTTTATCCACACCAGTTGATAAGCCCACAGAACTACCTGCTGACCCCTTGGATCCCCAGAAAAAGAAAAGCACCCCTAAGATGAATAAACAAATGGCCCACCTTAAGATCTATCAAAGGCTGAATAAGAACCACACGGGACTTCCCAAAAGCAAAACCCCAACAGAGACCGATTGTGTTAGCAAACCTGCTCAAGCTCCCGTAGATTTGGCTGAAGGGCTTGATGATGAGGCCATGAGCATCAGCCTGAGGCAGAGGAATACAAACACAGAGAGGAGCAAATCCAAGCTCAAGATAGAAGACCTTGATTCCCCTGGAGTGGTGAGAAAGGTTTCTGTGAGTGTAAGAGCAACTAAGTCCAAGTCCATTACCATTCAGCAAAGTAAAGAGGAGGATGTAGCAGGAAAAGACACTGACCAACTTCATTCAGGTAAGAAAATCTTTCAAAGAATACTTTAATCTTAAATACCAAGCAACACAGGCCTTTAATGACATATTTGGGAATATATATATATATATATATAAATATGTTTATTACATGATTTGTATTTGTGACTATATCAACAGAAGAGCTGCAGTCATTACAGATCTCTGGTGCAGGAGAAGCTGATTATTTTGGATCCATGGAGAAGGGAGCATCACAAAGAGCGCGCCTCACTGGTGCTAATAAAAGAATGTTTAATCTGCTCAAGAAAGCCAAGGTCCAGCTCATTAAGATTGACCAGCAGAAACAGCTCAAGTCATCGGGGGTAAGATCATCATTACAAGTACATCCTCTCAATTGTTATTATATCATTTTGATTCTTCGTGTGAAGATCTGTCATAACTGAGAAAATCCTTGTTTGAACACGTAATTACAAAAAAAAGTATTTTGACCAATCCAGGGTGTTTGTAGCATCCTATCACCGTGTCGCAAGCGTTAGATACGGCGTTGCAACGCGCATGATTGCATGCTGGCTGCCCACACTGCATCTGTTAAATATTTCATTCTTGGCTCTGTGAATTTCAGTATGATATTTAGTGCTTTTGTTTAGAATGTGGACAAACGGCTGTGTGGTGCTTTGTGACTACAAGCTGTTGACTCAAATCACAGCACTCAAAGGCTCTTCAATAAAGAAAAAACGTTTTTTCTCCGGTGTTGACACAAGTCAAAGCTCAACATTTCCATCACAGATGTAGTTATTATTAATCTACCACTATCTCCACTCCTCTGTAAAACAAGCTAACACGCTCTGTTAAGTGAGAAAAGTGAGTGCCAGCCCCCTCCTTCCTTGTTTCTCACATGTCTACGTGATCGACAGAGAGGAAAGTAGAAATGGGACGCCAGGGTAAAAACGGCGCATTGGATCACGCTGCGCATCTCGTTGGCAGTTAGGACACTCCGATAGGAAACAATAGAATCAAGCTGATTTTGTCGCTGACACTCGCATGCTGTTGGGACAAGTTGTAAGGTTTATATTCATGCCATGATTTTGCCTTTTGATCCTGCAGCTGTTATCTGGCCCAAGTGGTGCCAGGTCCCGGGATGTAAGCTCTAAGAGACAAAGGAGGAAGCAGAGGGTTCCACTTGATGCTAATGTTCCTGTGAAGACTGAGCCGCCTCAGGGACCAGTGAGTGTAAAAACCTATGGGTCCAACATGCAAATCAGTTAAAATAACATGTTAAAGTTTTTACTATTGTTTACTATTTTTAATATTTAATCATGTGCTTAAAGCAAAACTTAGCAGAAGGGAAATCTCTGTTCAGACTGTTTATTTCGTCTTTTTTACATCGGTGGCTCTATCTTGATATTTCTTTTTTAAAATCCTTCTTTCTACAGCAGGTCATCTCTCCCCTCTGCCAAGAGTTCCGTAGAGCAGGAGGTCCACGCATCAAGCACGTGTGTCGTGCTGCATCTGTGGTGCTGGGGCAGCCTCGAGCCTTAGTACCAGATGACATTCCCAGGCTTAGCGCCTTGCCTCTGCATGAAAGAACTGGCATTTCCCCCTCAGATGTTGCTAAAGGTAAGTTTATGCTGATCAGTGGACTCATCGGGAGTTGCTGTCTTTAGATAAACTTATTAAATTTATTGATTTGAATGCAGTAATTTTGATCACTTTATTTGTAGAATGCAAATATATTGACTCCACAGTAAATAGCGTCTGATAATCAGTCCTCTTTACAATGATTGTTTATTAAACAGCTAAAAGATTGAATTTACATTTAGCTTAATGCCAAAACTGATTTCCTATAAATCCTGATATTCCACAAATTTGAGTTATTGTAAACGTCTGTGATTCTTTTTTAACGTGTATAATCTTAAGGCGAGACACGGCAGGCTAAAACATCCATTTTAATGTACTGGTCAATTTTGAGATTTTGGGCTAGATCACTCCCTGAACATGTAATCTTTCAAACTACCATAAAGAGAATATCCAAATTATACATTTATGTGTATATTTTAATACATTTTGTCTGATCGCGGCTTTAGATTGCTCGTAAATTTTCCCGAAAGTTATCATTCTAATGTGACGTGCAGTATAACGGCTGTTCTCTGCTGCCCGTCATGACTGATATCTCTGTAAAGCTCTCTCTCTCCTGCACAACGCTATGTAACCCAAATAAGGATATTACAAGGATAATAAGGATATCATCTTCTTACTGCTGATGCTGTGCTGAACTCTTAAAAATAACGGAATATCGAGTGGAACTTTTCAAAACGGGAGGGGTCGTTGTTGTGTTTATGTCTGTGCGGGTTCGCAGTTAAATTAAGTAGATTGAAGTTGTTTGTTGAAAAAACTAAATTAATTTAGAGGGGATAACACATTTGATATAAATACATAACTAATACTAAAATATACCCTAAAATAAGAGTTAAAAAAAAAAGACATTTTGTCTGTAAATAGTCATTTCCTATAAGAATTTATAGAATTTTACAATACAAATCTTTAATGTCTGTTTTCTCAAAATGAGTTTTTTCTCATACTCTGAGACAGAAATCTCCACTTCAGTAGCACTTGAATACACCAAACTTTCCAGTTTTATTCCTATCTGTATTCTGAAGGTATTTACAGAGGGGTTTGTTAATATATCATTCATAGCCTGATTTATATAACAGTTTGCTCATAAAAACATGGCGAAAATCGATTTTTCAAGTCTGTTGATAGTATTTTCTGATTTATGGAGTGATAAAAAGAGATATCCAAAATCCCCTCTGTAAATACCTGTGTCTTTAATATGTCAACAAAATGAAAAAATAATCTTGAACCTGGGTTTAGCCAATGTTCAGATTTCTCAGCTGGAAATGTATGCAAATTAACGCATATTTAATTAGATAATGCCTTATTTGCATATTTAAACATAACATTTCAGAAAACTTGTAATATTAAAAATATTTGCCTTGATATAAGTAATAAACTGGAGAAGTTTCATGTTGATATCTGTGAGTTAATTTTTTTACCCTATTCACCTGTAGTGTCTCGCCTTAAGAACATTTTAGAAGTATTGTTTACTCAATGGTCACACTAGACAAGTGCTTCCCAAAAACTAACTGTGTCTTAAGCTGCATCTTGATTTCTGATCAAACCATTTGAACTGACTGACGGACGAATGTCTCTTGTTGCAGATGTTGGGTCCCCCTCTGAGTCGGATAGTCCCGGACTGTCTGATGCAAAGGTCACCAAGGTCAAGAAGCCGTCAAATTTTGTGAAGCGCAAAGGACTCGGGCCGTTTGGGTATCGCTCACGCAGGTGCGGAATTTGCAAAGGCTGCAACCACGAGGACGATTGCGGCAGGTGCATGAACTGCCTTGACAAGCCCAAGTTTGGTGGTCCCAATACCAAGCGGCAATGTTGTGTGTAAGTTTACCCACTCTTAATCCTTTGTATTATTTGAGTACATCACTGATTCAAAAATAATAAAGTACCCTTTTTCTAAACTCAAGGTACAAGAGATGCGACCAAATTGAAGAGAGAAAAGCTCGAAGACTGAGTGGAAGAACAGCGCCCAAAGGTCATTTTTCATTGAAGCATGCCAGTGTCATTTTCCTGTGTTACTTTCTTAAAATTAAGCCCGTCAGCTACTTACCTCTTGTTTGTTTTTTTAGGCTCCTCTAAGCGACGGCGATCCTCTCCAAGTGGGGGTCATTCAAGTAATGACGAAGGGAACGATGGTGCTGTGGACTCACCATCTGGTCTCCATGGCGATGGCAGCAGTCCATCAGTGCGTAAACAGCCAAAGCGTGTTGTGAAGCCCCGCGTCTACTTTGACTTGGTGGACTACGACTCTGATCTAGACGACAAAGCTGTCCCAAACTCTGCCTCACCAGCCAGGAAAAGAGGTGCAGGGCCCCGCTTAAGTCAAGGTAGATTATCATTTGACGAACCAGATAAAATTGTTGTTACATTTACAAATTGCTCTAGTATTATAACACCACAAATATAGGTATCTGTTTACATATGATTATAAACACATTTTTATATGGATTTAAATATTTAGTATATGTATATAGTATCTATCACTTGAGGCATCTGTATATACTGTATGTATATATAATATTGTTTTTCCTGTCTTCCTTAGACTTTGTGTCATTAGATGGATTCCTTGGAGACATTTCAGATGAGGATATCAGGCAAAGAAAGTCCAGCTCACACCGTGTACCATCTGGCCGACGTAAACCTGAGAAGGTGGTTAATTCAATTTTTTTTTTACCCACGCTAACAACCTCATTCACCTACACATATTTCATTTGTGTCAGTATGCTACACTTCATGTGCTCCATCACACTGTGAATGCTAAGGCTTTGTAAAAGTTTCAAAAAGGTCTGTTGGTGAGCATTTGCACAGCGTTTGTTTAACCCAATTAATGACATATTCTCACCAACCGGAAACACAAATCTGCCAGTTTTGTCTTGGGCGACATCCCAACTGTAGCTTTGTTTATATGCTGCCAACCGAGGTTTTGGCATGGTGTAGCTTACAAGCTACCTCATTCCTTCAATTTCTTTTGCAAAGGTTTGGACACGAGGTCAATTACTGTTACAGTATTTATCCAAAATAACAGTCTGCTTCCTGGAAGCCAGTCCTTTCAGTTCTTCTTTAGGCTCTGTTTAACTAAGGTGTGTAATACTGTGGTGGCCTCCCTATAACTGAGACATATCTAAAGTCTGATGCACACTGGGAAATTGTGTTGTTTCAACATTTATGTGATGGATGTCTCTCAGGGTCCTTTGGAGCAGACTCCCCCCAGTGTCCTGGCTGCCTTGGCCCATGGATTTGAGCAAAGAGAAGTTGAGTCTTCTAAACCTACTCACAAAATCAGGGTTGACTTCAAGGTATGTCACTCAGCAAAGAACATGAAACATATTGTGATATTAACACACTTATCATGAGATAATGCTCATTCATTGAAAAAAATCTCTTTGGTGAAACACTTTCTATAAATGATTACATTGTTGTGATGTAATAGGGGTTCAGAACTATAACATATTTAAATTCTTGTTACTGTTGGAAAAATGATGATACAAGGACACACATGTTCGTTAAGGCTGTAGTTCATTAGTTGTATGTTTTATCCACTAGAGGTCCCTGTTATTCTTTTAAACATCAATGTACTTGTACGTGTGGATGGGTTAATGAGGAATGTAACTCAACAAATCTCCTCTGTGATGTATGACCACAACTTTGACATGAAGTGAACTTGAGTTAAACTCTAAATCCTTTGTTCGTTTGTTTTTCATATCTTCTCAGCAGTTAAGGCATTATGATGGTAACCTCAGTAAGAATTCTCAGTTGTTAATTGTGTAAACGGTCTTTTTGTTTTCAGGAGGACTGTTCTTTGGAGAATGTCTGGAATATGGGTGGTTTAAGTATATTGACCTCTGCGCCGCTGATGCCCCCCTATGTCTGCCTTCTTTGTGCCAGTAAAGGGCAACATGAGGTAACTACATCATTACTGTTTCTCTTCTTTTAATACTTATGCTGTATCTGATTCCTTAGGTTACCTAACTCTTCAACAGTTCTTTTTTGAAGGTCCTTACATGTGTGTTGTACTAAGACATATTACTTAATGATCCAGATAAAAAAATGTTGAATGTTTATTATTTCACTACATTTTAGATTTGGTGAACCCTTTTTCATTATCATAAATTTCCTTTTGCAGATGCTATATTGTCAAGTGTGCTGTGAGCCCTTCCACCAGTTTTGCCTGGAACCAGCAGAGCGTCCCTCAGAGGAGAATAAGGAAAACTGGTGCTGTCGTCGCTGCAAATTTTGCCATGTGTGTGGTCGAAAAAACAAGCAATTAAAGGTACAACCTGCTTATTTGTTTTGCTTGTGCTTATATGTTTTGCTGTATTTTATTTCTCTGTGCTGTGGTTCAATTTACAAGTTTTACTTGTTTCATGTCTCTCAGCCATTGTTAGAGTGTGAGAGATGCCAGAACTGTTATCACACCTCCTGTCTGGGACCAAACTATCCAAAACAAAACAAGAAGAGGAAAGCTTGGGTTGGTTCAGATTTCTTAAAAAACTTCAAGTGTGCCAATATTGCATTTCATGGATTGCTGGTCCTAACTCGAGAATTTCTGTGCAGGTTTGTATGACGTGCATCAGGTGTAAAAGTTGTGGTGTCACACCAGGGAAGAGTTGGGACACTGACTGGAACCACGACAAAGCACTCTGTCCTGACTGTTCAAAGCTCTATGAACTGGGTAAGAATACAGCCTTTGATACATTTCATGTCCTTTGTCATCTACCAGTATTGTCGGTCTATTCTCAACCCCTCCTTCTTTTATTAGGTAACTACTGCCCAATCTGCTTCAAGTGCTACGAGGACAATGACTATGACAGTCAGATGATGCAGTGTGGCACCTGTAACCATTGGGTACACGCCAAGTGCGAGGACCTAACAGGTGATTTTCATATTTGATTCTTAGAGGATAGAAGTACCTAGAGAGAAAGCCCCACCCCTTCACTCATCAACACTATAAAACCATGCCCAACTTGCTTGCATCTTGAAATGGTATCTTCTCAAGTTGTTGTTTGTTTGAGTTCGTATTAAATAGCTAAATAACTGAGGGAGATCTAATAATTTATTACACGTTATTTTCTTTGCATTAAGCTCTTCGTAAAGCATACAGGAATCAGTAAGATCTTGTAAAGATACTTTCTTTGTGGCTTCTTTCAACAAAGTAATGCTGTAGTCACTTGTATGCATGTTGGTTTAGAGTCTATTTCACTGCTAAATTCCTGTCTCCTGTTTAATCCTTCCAGATGAGCTGTATGAGATCTTGTCCAGCTTGCCTGAGAGCGTGGTATATTCATGTCGGCCCTGTAGTGTGACCCAGCCCAGTGCCTGGAGAGAGCTGCTCTATATAGAGCTCAGGTCTGGGGTGGAAAAGGTGCTCGCTTGCTTGCTTTCCTCCACTCTCACCCAGCACCTTGTTACCTGCTCACAGGTAATGACAATCAAAGTGTTAGGTGTTTATTCCAGCCATCTGCAGAATTATATTTGTTAGATACAATTACTTGACGCTGGAATTTATGTTTGGTTTGTACTCGTATTGATTGCAGTTTTTCAAATGTGTTTTGGTTTCTGCTCCAGTGTGAAAAGTTGGCTGATCCTGAAGGTGGAATGGAAGGACAGCCAGCCTGTGACCTCCGAGCTGTTGGCAAGAAGTTTGACAAAGGCCTTTATACTACTTTGGTAAGTTTACAACCTCAGATTTACTGTCTAAAAACGACATAATGTATGTCCACCAAGTTGTGTAAAAAACTGAGTCTGTACAAAATCCAATCATTGCTTGAAACAAATCAGTTTTCCCATTGCTAAACGTCACGTCTTAAAATTGCTTATTTTGCAAAACAAACAGGACAGACTTTTTTTAAACCACAAATGACACTAAGCATACAATCCTTCCTTCAAACTGGCTTGAATCTGCACATGTTTGACCAGTTTGCTTGCTTATTGATTATCAAAGTAATTGTCAAATCATTCTCTTTAAAATATCTCTTAAAGTTCCGCAACTTTTTGTTGTTTGTCATTGCATCGTAAGGGAAACTTCACAAATGAAATCTGAACGGATGCTGAGAAAAGTTTGTTTTCATACAGAAAATGTTCCATGAAGATGTGGTTCAGGTGGTACGAAAGAGGCTTGAGCAAGAGGAGGATCTACCAGAGGAGCAGAGACCCACTGCTCTTGCACGCTCTTACTACTTAAAGGTGCTGTATGAATGAGAAGAGTTACAGTATCTTAAGTCATATGTTGCTAATGGGAATTTGAGTTACTACCAAATAAAGCTTTGAAAACATTTTTAAATGCAGGTGAGCTATAAATCTATAATAGACTGATGTGATTTTCCTCTTTAGCTCCTGGAGGAGGTATTTAATTGGTTTAGCAGCCAAGACCCAAAGGTGTGGAACTCTTGTACCAAAGACTTGCCCATGTAAGTGATTTTTATTGACTTCTTTACAAGTAAACATTATTTTGAAATAACCTTTAGCATGCATGTCTAAAATTAATAATAATTCTTGAATGCATCTTTCTTAAATAGGGGGATGCTCTCTAATGCCATTGAACCTCCTACGACGGAGCACATTTACGCACAGTGGCAGGAGAGGGAGGAGCTCACATCGATGGCTCCACTAGGGCTCCTTCAGGAGGACAACGGTCAAAGCTTAGATGTCAAGGAAGAAGAAGCGGTTTCTCCAATGTCTGGGGAGCCAATAAGCCGCACCCACTTCAATACCAGCAGGGCTGTGAGGCTCAAGTTCAAAGGTAATGTTCTCAACTGAAGGGGGGGGGGGTGAAAAAATTAACATTTTCTTTTTTTTTGTTGATCTTGTGCAAAATTTTGGCCCCTTAAGTCTTGACTTTGTACGTTTTATATAGGGAGACGAGGCCGTCTTTCAAAAGCTGATCTAGACACTGGATGGTCTAAGGATGATGAGAGGCAGTGCTCGTTGTGCCAGAAATATGGAGACCTTAAACCAAACGTAAGTTCACAATGTAGATTCTGAATTCTCAAACTACAAGGTGAACTTCAAGTAAATCATATACAAACATCATTAATTGAATTCTTTTGAGGTTAACAAAATACTTTGTTTTTGCTTTACAGGAAGCTGGCAGATTGCTCTTTTTGGGCCAGAACGAATGGGCTCATGTCAACTGCTGTCTGTGGTCAGCTGAGGTGTTTGAAGAGGACAACGGGTCTCTACTACATGTACACAGTGCTGTCACAAGAGGCCGCTTAATGGTTGGTCATTAATCTTCCATATATATTAATTAACCTGTTAGTTCCTAACGACAAGGCATCTGAGTTTTATTAACGTAAAACCTCCATAAAAATATTTATATTATATATATTTGATAACAGGAGATCAGTCAGCTCTGCTCTCATTTAAATATTTGTTCTCATAGTTTTCTGTCTTGTTTCTTGATTGCCCCTGACACTTTGAATCCAAACTCTCTGCAGCGATGTGAACGCTGCAACCACACAGGTGCCACAGTGGGCTGCTGCCTGACATCTTGTCAGAGCAACTACCACTTCATGTGTGCCCGCTCCCGTCACTGTGTGTTCCAGGATGATAAGAAAGTTTACTGCTACAAACACCGGCATCTCATCAGCGGCAGGGTAAATTCTACTCTTCTACATGTGTCTTATTTGAGTGGCTTAAAGGTTAGTCATTCTGGATGGTAATATCGCCCTTTTTCCTTTATCCTCCAGATGATTACTGGTCAAGAATTTGAAGTAAACCGTAGGGTGTACGTGGACTTTGAGGGGATCAGCCTCCGCAGAAAGTTCTTGACTGGACTTGAACCAGAACTAATCAATGTGATGATCGGTAAGCGCCTTTTTTGTAGCTGGTTTTCTACTCACTGCTCAACTGTAACTCACCTGAACCTTTCATGTGTAATCAAAAAGTGGAATCCACATTGTCTCTACGTAGGTTCCCTTCAGATTGACAAACTGGGAATGCTGACTGAACTTTCTGCATTTAAAGGAAGACTGTGTCCTGTGGGCTTTCAGTAAGTTGTAATCTATCTTTAAACTATATAGATAGATTATCAGTGTGAAACCATCACTTTAAAATCCTTGTTTATCTCCTAAGGTGTTCTCGTTGGTACTGGAGTACAGTTAATCCATTGCGTCGATGCAAATATACATGCACTGTCCGAGAGGTCCAGCCAGTTGTCCCTGAGAAGCCTGTCGAGGAGATGCCTGACCGAGGAGACAATCACACCATCGCTCACAGCCCCTGTCCAGTGCTTGGTGTGTATACAAGACAAAAAACTGTAGTAGATTAGGATATGATTTACTTTAAATAGATAGACAAAGGTAGAAGCCGTTCTATATAAATATGTTTTATGACTCTGCAGAATCTGAAGCCCAAGAGACTGATGTAATAGAGTCCCAAACCCTGACGGAGGAAACCTTTGTGCCAGGACCTCCAGCCAAATCAGATCATGGTGCAAGGCCAAAGATCCCCAGCTATCCCCAAACCAGGAGACCAGCTGGGGGAATGTCCCGACCACTGCCATCCCCAGGTAGAATATCATTTAAGTTCATATTTTAGAATTATCTAAATTCTCTAATAAAAAAATGTGATCCAATCAAAAGGGCTCAAGTGTTAATCTATTTTTATTGTTTTGATTTCTTCTTAGGACTAAACCAGGCAAAACCCCATCACATTTTAACCATAAGTGATCTGGAGGAGACTCGAAGGGTTCTTCGCCCACACTCTCAGACCACAGGCCCCCGCAGTCACATGTCCCCCCCTCATCTAGGTCCCCTGAGTGGACCAATCACCCTCCGAGCTGGAAAATCCTCCCTGCCGACCTCCCCACTGTTCCCACTTAATGCTGCAGACAACGTGATAAATCCTCCATCGACCCGCCAAGTTGCAGGCAGAAGTGCTTCCTCGGTCCGATCCTCTGGAAATGCAATGACCTCGTCGTTCTTCTCTCAGTCAGGTTGGCAGGACAGTGCAGGAGGCATTTCCGCTCCAAGTCTGTCTTTCTCCTCATCCGTACACCTACCCAGAAACCGCCTGTCATTTGATCTCAGCCAGCCAGACTCAGTGGAGGTGCCGCACAACTTCTTAGCTTCCCCAGAACCTGAAGACGTCTCTCCAGCAAATGGGACATCACCCCAAGAGGACTTGAACCAACAAAAAGGTGACAAAGACTTCCCTTATGGTTTGTTCCACAAGGATCCCAGCATCAGCCTAGGGCAGGAGATGCGGACAGAACTTGAGATTGAAGAGACTCTTCTCAATGAAGGTGTGGCAATGAACTGTGGCGGGCAGATTGTGCTGGAAGGGGATGATCAAGAGGAATTTTGGCCGAAACCCCCAGAGGTACACAAGAGGAAGAGCCTTGTTGCAAACTTGCCACGCTCTGCAGCATCAGCCAGGGATGACTTGGGCAACTCCTCCGATGATGATATGGAGCACTATTTTGACTTCTCAAGGACCATAGTCACCTGTCCCAGTTCAAAAGATCGCTCCAAGTCTCCCTCCTCCCCCCCGTCCCGACCTTTGGCTCAGCTGGACGGCATAGATGATGGCACCGAGAGCGATGCAAGTATGGTCACCAATGATGATGCTCAGAAAGTTGAGGGTTCTGGTCAAGCTCAGATACAAGCCAAGAGCCTGAAAAACAAAAATGTCCCTGAGTTGGAAACACTAAATGGCAAACAGGCAGTTCCGAGTCTATCCCCCGAGGCATCATCAAATGATAAAATCTCAGCTGCAAGCAAAAAACCTACAGATAGTTCACCTCAAGACCCTCCTAAGTCCATAAATTCTCCACTTCTAGAGGAAAGACTCAACCATCCTGTGGTGAATCAGGAAAATGTGCTTCCTACTCCAGTTCATTTACTCACAAAGGTGCCTGAGAAATCATTGTCAGAGGAGCTATTCCAAGAATCCAGTTTAGGATTCACTTCTGGAACATCTCTTGTTCTTGAGAGTTGTGAGTCTGGTTCACATGTGACAGAGATGGTTTCTTTGTTAGAGGGAACGCCTCTTGAGCCCCAACAGTCTGTTGGTAAACCTCTGAATTTAGAGCCCAGCAGTAGCAACTTTGTGTCATCAACTGAGGGGTCTACTATAATGAACCATGTAACGGCTAATGCAGAGATGCCCTCATTAGCAGACTCTGCTGAAAACTGTCAGGGCTCCCTCCTGGATCTTCTTCAGCCTTCCCCTTCAGTGTCTACAGATGGACAAAACCCCTCTCAAGGCAATGGAGACTCGCTGCAGATGTTTTCTTGTATACCAGGAATAAGTCAGCCTCCATATAAGTCAGGTATAACACTTCAGCCTGTAACATCCTCAGATGACTCGACAACCTTCCCATCCACAGGGTCTCTGTCTGCTAAACTAACCACCCTCAGACCAGTTGGAGAGCTGACACAAACGTTGCTAAATTCCGCCCCATCAAACGATCCAGTGTTATCAGCTACGCCAGGCACGTGTTCCCCTGCAGGGGTTTGTCGAACCGTCTCTTTACCTATCCTCTCCACACAAACACAGCCATTGGGTCCTACAGGTGTCACCATTGTGTCTTCATCTGCATCAATATCCTCTCTCTCTGGACTCTCAACACAGTTTTCAACAGCTCAAACACCCCTCCAAACCACCTCAGCCCCTGTGATCCTGAATGGTTTCAACTCTTCATCGGTGGCTTCTTCTGGACACACTATCTCCATCAACTTTTCCACCCCTAGACCCGCTTTAGAACCACAGCAGCCAGTTGTTCACCCGGGTTTGCCTGGACATGCTATCCTTACTGTGAAGGAGGTGGGAGGACCAAATGTTGATCCTACGCCTCATGTCCTGCTTGTGAACCGTCTTGGACAGATCTTTGTGAAGAACCCAGAGAGCAACACCTTCCAGCTGCCCACTCCCAACTCTCCTTCCTACAACTGTGTCACTCAGATCGCCAACTTGTTGCAAAGCAACGCACTGTCTGCCACACTAGCGGCAGCTGGTAATATGAGCGCTCCACTCCCCGGGCCCAATGTGGCAGCAGCGGGTCCTCAGTCAGTTACACCTGCAGTTCAGAATCCACTCACGATAACACAGCTGCTTTCTAACAACAGCAACGATGCGGTGGCTTCAGTTAATGCGAAGAAGCAGAGAAAAAACTCTAATAAAACACCAAAAGATGGAACTGTTCCAGAGGTGAAAAAGACAAAGAAAAAGAAAGAGCCCAGTACATCCAAAAAATCCAAGACCTCAGGACAGCCTGCTCCATCTGCTGAGAATCCTCCCACCACTCCAGCTCAAAGTGCTCAAGCAATTATCAATCAAGCAATGGCAAGTAACTACACACCCAAGTGGAGCGGGCTTCAAACACTAAGTCCTTCCTCACTGGTTCTGCCACCGGGCCTGTTGATTGAACCAGAGCCCCCAGTGTTGCCTCGATGTCCTTCACCGACACCAGCACAGGCTCCAGCTTCTCGCCCTCGCACCCACGTCCGTATGAAGAGAGTGTCTTCGCTTTCAGACCGCATTGTCACAAAGAAGTCTAAGGTTGACTTCCTCAAACCAGAGCCCATCAGTGAGGATGAAGAACGTCGTAGACCAACCTTTCCAAGCATCTCCAGCAGGGCTTCAGGAGTCCGCATCAAGACCCCGACAGTGAAAGGTGTGCTGAACCTAGACGAGTTAAAGAAGGAGCACATAAGCGATTCTGAGAGCTCAGGGTAAGATTTGTCTCATCTATATTTTATGGTTGTTTCATTACTGATTCATTGACGGATACGAGCAATAAATCTTAACATTCAAGATGCTGGAATCAGCTGATTGTTGGCATTTTAATTTGAAGGGTTTGAAGGGAAATAAATAAATTATTGGCGATAATAATAAGAGCACATTGGTTAGAGTCGTTAAAGTGAGGTTAACTTGTCTATATACAAGTTTTTGTTAGTATTTTCACAATTGTGTTACAAAAGTTTTGATTGAAAACCTTGAATTCCCTTTTCTTCCTCAGGTCAGAGCCTTGGGATTTCATGTCTCAGGGTGAACAGGGCAATCAGCAAGCGTGGGAAACAGTGGGGCACAGTGCTCTCTCTGACTGGAAGAAATACTCAGGTAGTTGTAACTGCATATTCTAAACGATTTCTTTATCTTAAAACATAACCACAAGGTCTGCCACATACTGTATAACACTTCTGAATAGTTGTATTGTATTGTAAAAATCGTGCCTTTTCAGGTGCTGCTTCTACATCTGATGATGAACCACTGTCCCCTGATGAAGATGAGGAATATCAAACTAATAAAGACCTGCCACACTTGAGATTTGAGATAACCAGCGATGATGGTTTCAGTGTAGAGGCAGACAGTATTGAGGGTAAGCTTTTTTTTTAAAATGTTCAAGAAAGCCTCAAATTATCTAACATGTTCTTAATTAATAGTCAGACTTTCTTTAAAGGTATTGGTGTAGTATTGTATCTTCATTCTTTTTCCTCCTTTCAGTGGCCTGGAAAGCAGTGATAGAGGGAGTGCAGGAGGCACGAGCTATTGCCCGGTTAAGACCACTGACCTTTCAGAGGATCACTGGAGGCCGCATGTTCGGTCTGGTCCATGATGCAGTGGTGTTTTTGCTGGAGCAACTTCAGGGAGCCCATCGTTGTCAACGACATACTTTCCGTTTCTTCAAACAGTTCAGCCAGGAGGACGACCTCCCTGTCAATCCCAGCGGGTGTGCACGCTCTGAGCTCTACCTTAGGTATGTGCACCAATTTGACTTCAAAGTGTACAAGCTTAACAGTTTACTCTCGCCAATATCTTTATTGCTGGTGGTAATCCATAGGAGAGGATTTAACCGCAATGTCATTCTTAATGACCTCATAAAACAGACACCAGTCACTGAAATAATCTTTACTCATCAGTTCTGCATTTTAATGAATGCTCTTTTTTCCATACATATTCATAAAAGGACTAGAAAATAATCAATATTGAATTAGTATTTCACTTTGTGAGTGTGTGAATTGGTGCACTTCTATACATCATAACCTATTTTCATTTTCTCCTTCTCTCTACAGGAAATCCACCTTTGACATATTTAACTTCCTAGCTTCTCAGCATAGACAGCTTCCTGATGACATTGGGCCTTATGATGATGAGGAAGATGAGGTTCTTTTGAAGTCGACAAGGTGAGGCTTCACCCATATAGTTAAATGTTTTTTTTCGGGTTAAAATATAGTCAACACTTTCAAAGCACATTGCTGTAAACAAACTGAATACATATTTAAACCATTCTGGCCTTTTTCTTATACAATATAGCTAAATATTTGTTGCTCGATGTTTTTGTGAACTATCATGTGCTCTTCATCTTAGACGGGCTACTAGTTTGGAGTTACCCATGGCTATGCGCTTCAGACATCTGGAAAGAACCTCCAAGGAGGCTGTGGGCGTGTACAGGTAAGCACAGAACTACACTTGCACTTTGTATGTTATGCATGCAGAGATTTCAGTTGCATCTTTATCTTTAGGTGGAAACATTAGGGGATTCAAACTTTATTTTACTTTTACTTTACTTACAACTGTAAAGATTTGTGATAATTTATGGAAGCACTGCAACAAAAAAAGATATAGCCAACATTTGTTTTCATCAGTACATCAATACATTAAATGGATTAAATATGTCCTTAAATTTTCTCAAACATTCCTGTTATAGCAACGGCCTCCACACTTGGAGATGTCGCTGTTTGGCTTGTTGCCTGGCTCCTTGATCCAAAAACGGCTGCTAGTAAGAGAGAGCAGCAGTGATCAAGTAGCATAGAGATAAAGTGAAGCGAGCAAACGGCTTATATAATCTATATATGATAAAGTGGTAAAAGAAAGGAAAAAATAAGTAATTTTAGAATATTCACATCACCGCACAAAAGGAGTGTTTTGCATGCAGATCTTTTCAGCACGAGCCTCCTTAAGGATAAATACCAACATTTATCTGACATTTCAATGTATAGAATAGGTATTTAAGTTTATTAAGATCACAGAACAATTCATGTGAGCATGAAAACAACAGAGAAAATGCAGGACCGGCAATCCTTTGGTTCGGAATTGACAGAAAGTCGAAGGCATAATACAAGATAAATCTGAATCCAGTTTATCAAATGTAGAGTAAAAACAAATTAAAGTTGTGTAGGCTGTGTGGTGATCTAGTCAGCATGTGAACTCTATCAACAACAACGACACAAACAAGATATAGCTAATGCAGCGCAGTTAATCTGATAATCTCAGAGAAGCCTCTGGTATGTCTGGAGAAACCACAGACTTCTATCATATTTGCAGGGAAATATATTTAGAGCGCCATATTTTTAACATCAGGCAGTACTGTGATATTTTGTCAATATTTTGTCCCAACCCTACGGAGAAACATGCTCAAGTGAAAAATGACATCATGCTCCCAATTAAACCTCGTAACAAGTTGGTATCTGGAAGGTAAAACTTCAACTGTAGTAATCATTGTAGCTTAGCATGCTTAAAACGCTGATCTATTCAGCACTGAAAAAGAACAAGTAGAGCTGTGGCTGACGGAAATGTCAATAGCTTAGCAGGTGTTTGATAGTAATGATAATGATGGGCAAATGAAAGAGTTTTTCTCCTTGACAAGTTAAAACCAACCTAAAACAACGTATACTACTACTAAAACATCAATATTGGATTTGTTGATGTTCTAGCCCACTTTTTTAATTGACTGAAATATATCTATTAGTCTAATAATTAGCCCTCTTATACTTTCCCCTGTCACTAATTCAAATGACTCCAGTTGATACTCGTCTTTCAGCCCATTTAAATTCTGTAGCAGAGAGGAAATACATGAAAATCACATCCACAAAGTGCCCCAAGTCTACATCTCATTATGACACCAGCAAAAGAACAAGTGCAGAGCTGACCTGTGTGTGTTGTGTGTGTCAGGTCTGCTATCCATGGGCGCGGCCTGTTCTGTAAGAGGAACATTGAGGCAGGGGAGATGGTGATTGAATACGCTGGCATCGTCATCCGAGCAGTGCTCACTGACAAAAGAGAGAAGTACTACGATGGCAAGGTCTGTCTGGTTTCTTTTTTAAAAATCTCTTTCATTCTCATCTAATCCTGTTTATTGCTGTATGTAAAAGTTGTGCTGGGTCAGATGATGTATCAATAGGGTGTTCTTTTTTTCCGCCTCCTCAGGGCATTGGCTGCTACATGTTTCGTATTGATGACTTTGATGTGGTGGATGCGACCATGCACGGCAATGCGGCAAGATTCATCAACCACTCCTGTGAACCTAACTGCTACTCCCGAGTGATCAACGTGGAGGGTCGAAAGCACATCGTCATCTTCGCCCTGAGGAAGATCTACAGAGGGGAGGAGCTCACCTATGATTACAAGTTCCCCATTGAGGACGCCAGCAACAAACTCAATTGCAACTGTGGGGCCCGACGCTGTCGCCGTTTCCTAAACTGAGACATCTCTTTCTTTTTTTTAAGAAAAAGGAGCAACGTGTTTACTAGTAAGCCTTAAATCAAGGTGGCACTGGATTGGGCTTGGGGAGGCAGTGTGCAGTTGTACAGAAGGGGGAAAAGCCACTATGTGACCAGTCAGGAATATTTGCTGGTGAAAAAATTGATATGTGGACATTTTTTGGAATTTGAAACAGAAGAAGAGGAGGATGACAACCTGCAGAGATCATGCATTAACTGTTGAGATAGTGTCTTATCTGGTATATGTGTTCACAAGGTACTTCTAGAGAATTCAGATGTGCAGCTGGCCCAGCATCGCCACCACGACAGAGGAAGTGGTTTTGATGTTCATGAGAACAAGACATTTAAAACCACTATTTAAAATTGAAGGGGCACCAATATGGACGATTCCAACAGAATTTATTTGATTAACACGTCAAGCCTTATCTGTTCAAATCATTGCTGAAAACCTATAGCTGGACTTCAAGAGATTCCTAAGATGTTTAATTCATTTCTGGGGAGGGGATCTCTGTCTGTAACGATGATTGCTCCATCCTCCAGTCCATAACGTAACAGCCCCCCTACGTGCGGTTCAGAGGTCAGTTCTTGAGCCATACATTCATCTAAATCTTCATTTGTGTTTCCTCTTACATCTTACATTTCTCATGTTGTAGATATTTTTTTTCTTTGTAGAGTTTTATATCTCGTGAATAACGAATTAACCATGGTGCTAAGCTTTGAAAACATCTTTAAAGTCATAAGTAAATCAGGAATTATTTAGCTGTTAATTCACCTTAATGAGGCCATTTCTCTTAAATTCATGCACGCAAGCAGTACTCTAATCATCAGATCATAAAGCGTCTTCTTAGTTTCACATCATGATATGCTATTCATACCTATGCTCTTCCTGTTGAGGTTTAAGGGAGAATTCACACCTCTGCTCTTCCTGTTTAGATGTTAAGGGAGTTTTGAAAAGTAACCGTTTAAGTCGATAACAGTGTGTCATATTTATAAAGACAGAGACATGTCTTTAACACGTGTTTGTTTCTTGATGTACAGTGTATGTAGCAAACACTACCTAAGCCAAAAGTAAAGAGTTGTGGTGAATATCAGTTTTTAAAATATATATTTTATAACTGTCATGGCCGATGCTGATTACCTATTGCAATAAGACTTTGCTAACCTACACTTGCACATAAATCACTATCAGACATTGAAATTATTTCCATCTTTGTGAAACCTTCAGTTTATCTTAATCAGGGAAAGCACTGGTAAAAAAAAAAGCATCGCCACTGTGTGGGTGTTCAGCTCCGGCTGCAGTCACATTTCTCCAGATGTTGCTGTTCAGTCTAAAAACGGGGGCTGAGAGATGTACTCAGCACCTTAAAAATGATCTTTCGTGTTGTTCTTAGTTGATGTTCAGTGCTGTCGTTGATGAGGCTAATCTAATCCACACTGTTCAAATTGGTAGTTCTATTTATTCATGTTTTGATTTATTTTTAATGGTTAAAGGTTGTGCTCTGTATAAAAGGTGGGGGTCCAGTGTATTACGTGATCTCCCCCAAATGTATCCTTTTTTTTATTATTTTAATTTTTTCACTTTTTTTATTTTAATGATGTCCTTTGTTTCACCACCTTACTTGAATTTTCTGTTGGGCAGTCTTGTCATGCATTAAGCCTTAATGACAAATTGTTCTAAAGCAGGTATTTTTAAAGAATCCGTTTTATTCATTTTTCGTTGTTATGGCGTAATATTGACGGTCTTAGAATCAGCCACAGGAGTTAAGTGAGCACTGTTTGCCTCTCCAAGCCCATGATCATCTTTTTTTCCTTCTTTTTTTTTTTCTTTTCAAACCCATTGTAACAATGTTCATCATGTTGAGTTTTCATCTTAATCCTCTTTCCTTCTTGCATGTCCAATCACTGGGATGGAGCCCAGATTAACTTGTGTCAATCACCCAGCTGACAACAAGAGCAGAGTCACTCCCAACTCCTTGCAAGGATTCTACCTCAGCTGTTTACACAGATGTTTGGGAATACTGATGCAAAAAGAGAGGATGATAATTTAAGAGTAGTTTGGTTTTACAGTCCTGCAGAACTAGTGTGTGTGTGTGAGAGTGTGTGAGTGAGTGAGTGAGTGAGCGAGTGTGAGTGAGCGAGTGTGAGTGAGTGAGCGGGTGTGTGAGTGAGTGTGTGAGCGAGTGAGTGAGCGAGTACATGTGCGTGTGTGTTTTTGGGTGCATCTGTTGGTCATTTTGTGTGTTTGCAATGAAGGATGCAAAGCACTAGTCAAAACCTTAAGTTATCATGACCATCTCTCCCAGAATCTGTTAAAAAAGCTGTATGTTATATAACACATATATATAAATAAATATATATATATATATAAAGTAGGGTTATTTTAAAGTAAGTGTATAAAAGACATAAAAATGAGAAAATATGTGATCTTTAAATTTACGTCTTTGTTACAATGTACAAATAAACATTGCGTTTGTAAATATTTGTATACATATTTCTAAACCTGTTTAATTTTTCTATGCACTTTTTTTATTTATAATGTTATTTGCTTAATAAAGATGTTAAGATGTTTGAACAATTTCATTTTTTTATTTGAAAAAGTTTGCATGTTAAATGGCTTTTTTTTTACATTTCAACTTTTTTAAAAACAGTAATTGTTCTTCATGTTCATTTGTTGTAAAAAAAAAAGCGGGTACAAATGATACACAAATATATAGTTCTAAAAGCAGTTGTGAATTTTCAATGCAACCAAAGTAAAAAAAAAAAAAAAGAGGTTTAATACAGCGGTGATACATTTCTTCATCTGTTTATGTGTAAAATCATTTGAAAGCCTGAAGGATCCGTGTGCTTTTGTTCTTTCAGTCATGTAAGTATAAACCTCTAAAGCTACTCAAAGAATGGACTGACCTTACTTCTAGTCTCTTGTATTTGATGGGTTCCAAAAACACTGAATCCTACACTTCCCATAAGGCAACTTGAAAGACTCTTTCATTAATACCTGCTTTGAAGTTGTGTCTGGAGTCACAACCTACTCACTAAATAGAAGAATTAGTTGCCCTCGTGAGTTCACAAATGTGTTAAGACTCTTTGGCTATTAACAGCTACCGTTAGCATCAAACTAACCCCTACCTAACCTTTCTGCTGACGTGCTCACATTAACATTAGCTCTGTTATGTTTTGTAACTGTCACTTGGTATTTTTAGGTATACAGTGTGTGGTTGAAAGTTGTTAACAACTGAAGGATTATCAAACATGTTTTGCCTTGAATATATCATGATGTCCCTCCTTATTTTCACTAAGAAGTGGGCTAATGATCAGTTGTTAGCTTAGGTTTATATGATTTTCAAACTTGAATCAAAGCAGTTTATCATTAGTTTGTGAGCTTCCCACCATGAGCATCATATTGGAAGAATTTGGCCCCCTTTGTGTCTGAACGAGGGAGGGATTTTCAGTCTTGGCTTTTTAAATGTAAGTTGTTTTTTCATAAGCTTTCTGTTGAAAATATGGAGCCAAGCCAGAGTTAACTGCACCACTTTGAGTGGAAGTTATAGCTGTCCTAACTTTGGCAAGCTAATCCAGAGCCACATCATTATGTAGTTTCTTTTTTTTTTAACTCTTTCTTCATCAAACCAGGACCCCATCATTTGTCCTTTGAATTACTTCTGATGTTTTCAGGAAGTGCACATGTATATGTGATTTGGTAAACATCGACTGTTTTAAATCTAACAGAACTGATCAGAGAAAATAAAACGTGCAAGCAAAGTCTTTACAGGTGGAAACATTGCTACACGTCCATCTCACTCAGTCTGATTTTGGCGAGGACAGCGATGGCATCGTTGCGCTCCATCTGTCTGAGCAGCTTGGCGAGGTGCCCCACAGTCCAGTCAGGGTGCCTGCTGGTGACCCCCTCCAACACAGCTTTCAGAGGGCTCTTACTGTCCTTCATTGAGTAGGTGTAAGTGATCCAGGTGGAGGTGAAGGAGCAATGAGAAGCCAGATGTTTGGTGTTTTTCACTCCATGGCTTTCTGGATCCAACAAAATCACCAGATCTTCCAAAACATCCAGGTTGTCCAGGACCGTCTGTAACGGTGCTGACATGACATTAGGACCTACGAGAGAAAGATGTGAGTGGTTAAAAAGCATCTGTCAGTTTAAGAAAGTCTTCTTTAAATGTTGCTATAATATATATATATATATATATATATATATGCACAGATTTTGGTAAGAAGACATCTATTATTACATAGTAAGACTTTTATTGTTGACTTAACCGTCACTGTTAAATGGTGTGTAGATTTCACTCCACTCACATTTCCCTGCTTATTTAAATATTGTTACTGAACATTAAGAAACATATTTTCTATAAAGTTCTGCTCCTTTTAATAGCAAATGCTATGTTTAACTCCCTATATTTACATAATTGTGTGACGGTTTAAAAAATAAAACTTAAGACACCGCCCATTCCAAACCCTTTTTCTTGGCCACACCCACTCAACACGCCTTAAAACCCCTACCTGTCTAACATGTTTCTTCACTTTGTTTTGTTTATTTTCATAAACAAAACCATTGAACCTCAACTAAGGACAGGAAAGGGCACAAGCCCTGTGGTATCCCACCAGGCTCATGAGATGTTTCTTCACTCTGGAGACGAGGTCCCCTGTTTACATCACAGCGTTGTGAAAAAGCTGCGAGGAGGACGCCAACAAGTATCCTGCTACTGGCATTAGCATTAGACTTGGTGTTTGACACAGTGAGTTGTTATTTACTACTTTATTTTATATTCTGCAGGTAGCATTGGCCCATTTAGTTTACACTAATCTGTGTGAATAGTTTCCCCTTCTGGCCTGGCTGGACTGTGTCTAAATACTCACTAGATGGCAGAAGAGTGTTGTTTCTTCATTGACGGCTCCATTGTTGTGAGTATAAGCTGTTTTGTTTCACGTTCTTTGTTTTTCTCTCTTTTCATATTAAAGCATTTTATAATAAGAAAAACAATCTTATAAATATGTAGTGCGTTATTCTATATCATTTACTGACACCAAACATGTCAGCTTGTTTACTCTTAACTTCCTGAAGCCAAACACACATTTCAAAGCTCCTACTATTTCTTTTTTCATTTCTATAACTTTAGTGCTTCTCTTAATTCTCTTTTCAACATGTCATGATGTGGGTTTTGTGACACAGCCCTGCAGTCTCATTTCGTTTTATGGGCGTTGGAGGCATGTTTACTTGTACTGTCTACTTCTTTGGAACAGTTTGAACAGCTTAGCACACTAATGACATTGAAACTCACCAACAGATGCAAACAATTTTGTGGTTTTACAGCACATCATGAATCTGACTGAGCAACCTTTTCAAGGACAAACGTAAAAAATAAAAAATGTAGGAAGTGAAACCAAATGTGATAAGATTTACTTCCAGATAACTACCAAATGTAACAGAAAAAGGTCCTTGAAGTCACAGGGAGTTTTCATGGGAAACTGCTCTCATCTGTTACCAATATCTCTGATAAAAAGTTAAGATTTAGTTCATATGAAGAGACATTTCTCATTTCCACTCACTCAGAACATCCTTCAGATCATTGTTTAAGGCTTCGGCAGAAAGTGGAGTGAAGCCTGCTTTAATGTATGATGATCTTCTGCTGTAATTCATGACTGTGTTCTGACCTGTGATGAACCCAAACACAAGAGACACACATATCTTGACATAATTACAAGTTACAGTAAACCCACCCATGCCCTACTCTAGTATTACATTACAGAAAAATAACATGTTTGCAGTGGTCAGCCTGTATGCAGTTTCTCAGTCTAGGAGCTCCGCATAAAATACTTTTCCCACTGTTTCATGTTTTAGCGGTTACTTTAAAAGAACTGCTTGTGTTTTTTTCCCATGCTGTGTTATTGTCATGATTTGTCCATGTTGCGTTATGTTCTATGTGTTTGTTATTGTCTTTGGCTGCTATCGTGGCCAGGTCTCTCTCGTAAAGGTCAATTTAATCTCAATGGGACAAAATAAAGTTAAAAAACATACTTACCCTTTTTCCGTTTCATGTAAAAGATGTAAGCAGAAAACACTACAACCATAACAAGGATAGCCAATGGGACTGTCCCTGCAAATGGAAAATGTCAGGGTTAGATGAAGATAATGAAAATACACGTCTTATTCCATAAACAATTGTTTATTTTGCTTACACAATGCACTATGAAAAGATGTTGCATTTGGTGATGAAGTGGGTCCTTGACTTGTCTGATTCTGAAATGGAAAAAGAGTGAACTTCTTGTGACAGTAGGTTACATGCTGTTATGGTGTTTCTGTTTCATTGTATGCTCTCAACTGTCACCAAAAAACATGTAGTCTACATAGGCTAATATATGTGTGCTATTTGGTATTTTTACCAGAAGCTATCCTTTGAAAAAAAAAAAAGTTTCAGTGACAGAATAAATAAATGAAAAAGCTTCCACATTGAAAATACGGATTTTATGTGTTGAAGAAATGACTAAGACTTGACTCCACACAATAAGACTCAGCTGTGTCAGATGGCTTACATTGATGAAAGTTTATACAGCAGATGAATCCTCCGGAGGAGACATAATTCAACATCACACTTCTGTACTCGTGTCTTGCTCAATCACATCTGCCGAACTTCTTGAAAGGCATCGCATATATCCAAAAAGACATTATCATTATCAGACCTAGACTAAACTGTGATGTCAATAACACTGGAGCAGACAACAAGTCTACCAAACATCCTTGCAGATATCAGGAAAAACAGTTGAAACTCTCTAAGCTGTACTTGGTGTATTAATAACAACTGAACTCTGTCAGGTCTGACTGACACTAAAAAACAGTGAATAAACATAATGACATCTGTACATTATAATCTAAATAACTACAGAAATTCCACCACATTATGAAGTGCTAAAAAAAAGGGGTCTAGCCTATTTTGATGATGATATTGTGATATTTTGATTGATCGATATTTAAATATACCTACATGTTGATAATAGCTCAGATATTTCTAACATTTCTATTTTAAAAAAAAAGGCTATAAAAAAACACTCGATGACTCAAACTGGGAACTTTTTATTTAGTGTTGGTGTATTTCCTTTTACTTGTTGCCTAAATAAGCCCTGACGTCATAGTTCATCTTAGTCATTATTGGTCATTTACGTAGCCTAAATAATGACTTTAACATTGAAGCGCTGCTGAAAAATGTCGGGGGCTGAGACGGTTTAGATTCCTAAAGAGATGCTATAGACCTAAACAAGTTTCCAATCTCCATATTTAGCCAACGCATTCTGGTACAAAGACTTATCTACTTGACAAATCCCGAAGCGTTTCCACATACTAGACTACTCACATTGACTGGAACTTCGGTCCCCGGGTGTCTGTAGAAAATCAGAAAACACCCAACGCGTTTGACTTTATAACACAAAATTAAACAAAAACAACTCGACACTGATGATGTTTACAGATCGACCTCCGCCTTCCTGTCTTGTCAAGGACATGGCAATTCTTTTACATTCTTACCTTGTTTCTTCGCACTTGGTGTCGATAGTTGAGTTGCATGGGCTTGAAATAATAAAACCATGGGGGCACAAGGCACAAGGTTTACAGTACGCACTGCTGTCATCATTAAACGTATCGGGTTTGCACGGTGTGATAGGGGGAGCGTGTCTCCCTCCGTAATCATCAAAGCCACAGTTAGGGTTGACTTCATGTCCTGTAATGTAATATAAGTCACTTTAGTCATTATAATAACGATAATAATATATAAAGTAGCCTATAGGCTGATATAATATTATATAGGCTAACAAATATAATATAATGTAATATAATATAATATAGGCTAATATAATCCTACCTGGCTTCCGAGGACATGGCACACACACCTCCAAAATCCTGTCCCATCGTGTTTTCAGATCGGGGCATTTATCAGAGAGCCCCATCGTCTCTAAATTGCGGAAGATGGAACAAGTAGACTATTGATATTGGAAGACAAAGCAACACAACACGTACCGAGGAAAACTGCGGTCAAGCCAGCCGCTCCTCGCTTTTACATGGTGAAGTGAGCCGCCCCTAAAGTTGAAGTGCTCACGTATTCTGATCTTTATGGTAAATGCTCCGGACTGCAGAGCGAGCAGGAGTAACAGACAGGAAGAGTGAGTCTGTTATTAATCTCCTTTTCCAGGCAAAAGTGATGAATGCCGAAGTCTTACCATAAAACTGGCTATGAGATACACGTGTATGAAACGGGAGCAAACAAAATAATGTTCAGGGAACAGCTTCGGAGGTCGGTGAAATTAGTTTGAGAATAATACTGCGAGTCTGCGGTAACTTCCGTTTTTCAAAGTAAGGTGTTTTCCTGGGAAAAAAATATAAAAATATATGTTCTTCCATAAGTAGACAATGATTCTGATATGGTTGGACTTAGTACTTCCTAGACTACATGCACCTGGACTATGAAGTACTTTTACTTTGTACTTTTTGAGAAATCCATTGTCAAAGTCCCTTATAAATCACTTTTTCAGTAAAATCACTTCAGTCTTTTTGATGACTTTGATGTCTTGTAAAAAGAAATTCGTCCATAAGTAGAAGATTATTCTGATATGGTTGGACTTAGTACTTGTTAGACTACATGCACAGTTACTATGCAGTAACTATTACTGCACTTTTTGTGAACTCCACTTTCAAAGTCCATTATATGTCATATTGTTGAGTCTTATTTTTCTGACTTTGATGTCATATAAAAACAAAATCTTCCATAAGTACATTTAGGTACTTTTACTGTGTACTTTCTGAGATAATACAGCACAATAATGAGCCTGTTATTTTCTCAAACCCTGAGGCCCTTTTCAAAAAACTGTTAATTCATCAAAAATTGTTTTACACATTTATATAGGCCTACCTTTAACTTCATAAATACATTTGCCATCATAACCCACAACATTACAATGTGTATTAATTATAATGATTTTATATTTTAACAATAATTAAACTTATAAATAGACATCAGTTTTACCCTATATGTTCTGTTTAGCTTTTGAGTGTGTGGGCTTGTTTTTACACTTATTTTACCTTGACCCTTATTTTTACCTTGACAATCAGAAAGCGTTGAAGTCATAAACTCTTCCTCTCCTTGTGGACGCGTTGAGGAGGTGATTTGAGTTGAGGAGGTGATTTGAGTTGAGGAGGTGATTTGAGTTGAGGAGGTGATTTGAGTTGAGGACTTGACGGACAGAGAGGACTTCGTGTGCGCAATTGGGTGGAGAGTTATTTTCTCAACAAGTTTGTAGAATATTTGCGTATAGGCTACCAGGTTTTTTCAAAGACCAATGTGGAATCGATGATGACAAATCGTCAAGGGTAGGTTTATTCTAAATAGTTGATGTTAATGTTCAACAGAGTAGCAGATGACAGTTATATGCTACCGCTTTTTTCACACAATGCTGACATATTTCTTGTCTTTTTGTATCCTATAGAGGCAACATAACATATTAATGAAATGTTTCCAGTATACTACATATCTTTGAAAGATATGTTACAATGTATTTAGCTAAGTGTGAAGATAGGGCCCCCATTGCGGGTGCTAAGGCGAACGCCATTTTAACGCAAAGGCTTGCTCCGAAAATTTAGGGAAGCCATTGCATTCATCAAAGGAAAATAATCATGAGACACAAATGATCATGAGACACATGATCAGGGGAAACTATCTTGGTCATCGAATGCATGCTGTGTCTGTCTTTATTGTCCTACACGTAAAACCAGCAGGACATTTTGAAGTTGTCATCTGCGGTTAATATGCCTGCCTCCCTTGTGAGTCAACAAAGATGTAACAAAAAAAAAATCCAATCCAATAAATGTTTATTTAAGCTTTATGGCATTGAACTTTTTCAACAAAGTTCTCATGCACTGCTGTGCATTCCTGCAACAAGTCCAGTGAGCTGTCACATTACTCACTGACCCAATGATAAGCCCATAATAATCTTTTGTAGCCTATTGTTATTTGAACTTTTACTCGACTTGCGGGAATTCTATTTGGCCAGTGCATGCACTAAAGTGTCAGCTATGGATGAGTTTGATTTGAATCATGTCAAAGATGATGGTCTCAATCCTAGCTCACCCTAGCTGTTTATTATTAGACCCTTTATGAATATATACCTTCTAGGTTTATGATTCTTTGTGTAGGTACATGTCTGACTCTTTAAGTCGGCTTTATCTGTGTTTAAGTGGATGAAGGTTTCTTGGCCTATCAGTATCACAATTTCACTAATCATTTCTGGACCATGTTGTTAATACTTTGACTATTTTCGGCCAACTGAAGAATATTGCATTCACTGGAACTAGGCTTCAGCATTTCGTTAACAAAATGTAACATGAAGAATTTCATCTTTTAAGCATTCTTTTTGATTTACTGATTCACTTTGTTCACAGATTGTTTTCTTTCTCAACATTTGGGAAGGTGAGTGCTCTTTTAATACTTGACATGTAAAAAAAAGTCGATACAGCTCATGCACTTTGTCATTTACATATTACAAGTATAACAATACTTTGATTTTGATTTTTTTCTATGAGAAAAGTCCAAGTTATTCTTGTGAAACACAATAAAGATGAAACGCTTCATTTTATGTGTTGGTGTAGATGGCAAAGGCCCTGATGGAGGCCTTTCCGGCATTGCCAGGTATGTCCTTTGGGACATCCAAGAAGGAGATGGCATTTGAGAGGACAAAGCTTGCACTATCTTTACTCAGTGGTTCAGGTAAGAAAGTAATTTCCCCTTTAAATTATATTAAAGGTTTGAGTTTTGTTGTATAACTGATAAACTTATTTTAATCAAATTCAATCTAACACATCTAAACACACTACAGCCTCTGAAAATGAGTTCACGAAATGCAGCTTTTCATAGTCCCCAGAATCATTGCTTTCTTAATCTTAATCTTAATGAATGATTGAGTTCTGTATGCATGGAAGCTGATGGGAAACTGAGTGACAGACAGATGGCTAGGAGCAGGGGGAGTCTGAGGCTATCTGCTGAGTGGATAGGATGATCAGAGTTAAATTGTGGCATCATCAGAATTGTTTTTCATCACCATGTATGTATTTACAAATAATATGTTTTCAATTGTGTTTGTTAGATGACAATACAAATAAATAATATCAGAAATATGAAAAGAATATGCATTTCTGCTATTGTAGAAAAAAAGATTTGCAATAATTGGGAGAATAGAAATCAGGCTTGTTGTAGACTGTTTCTTGCAGTTATTTGTGATGAGTATATACCAATACTAAGTCTTCAGATAGTACTTTGGAGTTGATTTAGTCAGTTCAATGGATATTGACAACTGAATATCTCTGCAATTCATAAATAAAAAGAAAACCAACATTCAAGATTTTCCTTTATTTATCTCTAAATATAAATAAAACATGTAAAATGACAAACATGCTCTCAAGACCGAAGCCTTAACGCTGTTTCAGTGTCCTCTCTCCTTTGAATCCATGGATTTAGTGTTGATTGTTTCAATAAAAACTTTGCCTGATTTAGCTTAAGTACACTCAATCTGCAGTTGAGCTCATTGTTTGCGTCATATTGACTTTTATTTGAGCTACTATCATGAAAATTTCAGTTTTAAAAATGGTTAAAAATGTAATGGCAGCCAGACAAATTTTAAGGAGCCATTTAAAGTTCTTGTATGTGTTTACATGTTAAAAAAAAGTGTTAATAAACTTAAAAATGTACATATTATGTGACTGAATATAATTTTATTTTCTGCCAGTGTTTGACATGGACAACCACTGTGCTATGTGCTCGACCTCAAAGCCCCCAGGATCAGGGCCTCCAACTACTGACTGGGTGAGAGGTTGTCGCTGTGTGTTCTTTATAATTTATGGTTTATCCTATGATAAAACTGTAAATTAAAATGTGTGGTTTTAGATGCACAACCGCTCTGTGTTATTTATTTATTTCCAATATGTACTAAAGTGAACAGAGAGAAGATACAAAATAATGTGCAATTACATCTGATTTTGACAATTCTGACCATGTTGAATGTCAACAGATGAAATGAATACTCAAATGTATGTTGACTTCTTTTAAGTGTTAGTTTTTATAGTGTTTAATAAAAGTTTATACAGTGACAATAAGAGGGTTATGAGAGGTGTAGTGGAAAAATACTATCTGTCTGTTGCCTTCGTTTGACCTTAAAAGATTAGGATGTTTGTGCATCATTCAGCAATTAGAAACTGTTTCTCTGTATGGCCTTGGTCTGTATCTCCAACAGGAACACTCCTCAGGATCTGAGTACAGCATGACCCTAAATCAGTGCCCTCCTGACAAAGGAGTTTCTGTTGGTGTTCCTCCGTACCAGGTGCCTTTATAGAAGCTTGCATAGATAAATCACCAGGCAAACTAGCAGAAGGCGTAGTCACTAGGGCAAGCTCAAACCAATGACGATGTATCGCTCATGTATATGCAAATACCTGTGAAATACCCTGTGAAAGTATAATTATGCTCTGCAACCGGGACTGCCCCGGGAATCTTTGATGCAAAGATGCAATCTTTTGGTGACTGATGTTACTTTTGTAGCTGATTACCCCTTTTGCAAAATAACTTTTTATTATATCCAATAAAATACACAAAGACAAAAGACTTTGACTTGAGATATTTTATTACCAACAGAAAAATCCACAACAGAGGATTCTAGATTTAAGTTTAGTCAGTAAGTTATGGTTTTCCACCTTGAAACAGGGTTATTGACTCTTCAGAATCAGAATAAAAGCACAAGATCTCCTGCTGACATCTTAAAAAGAATAAGATAAAAATATAAAAAGCAATAAAAAATATGTAATAGAATATATAACACAAAATGTGCAATGGAGGAGTTGTGCAGATATGTGCATGATTTGCAGTCTACAACAGAGTGCAATGTAAACAGAAAACATTTAAGTCCAGTGAGTGTTAATGTAATGTATCAAATCAGTTTCAGCCTTCACATTACTGTCATGTACTGAGCTCAACTGTACTTTTGACACAAACCGGCAGCACTTCTATACAGAGATGTTCCTAAATCAAAATTTGGTCTTAAAGGCTGAATGTGCGACATTTTACACATACTGTAAATATAGCAGAAATCCAGTATATCCTCGGTAAATATCTCTGTGAGTCATGACTGTCTACAATGAGTGCCTATAACTAGAAATGTTTCTCTATTGCAAAAGATTCTCTATTCCTGACAAGTTGATAAAGGTTTGCACATTTTATTTTACAGATACAGTGTGACACATGCGAAAGATGGTACCATGAGCAGTGCCTAGCCATGGATTAAGAAAAACTCCAACATGCAAGGGTGAACGATTGGGATTGTGCTCTTTGCATTTAGGGCAGAAAATAAAAAACTTCAAATTCAAAGATAGATGTATATAGTTGTTGGTGTTCAGAGTCGTTGTAATTTCATATGTATGTTCTTTGAAAATGTTAATGTTTATAAGAAATGTAAAAACAATGTCAATAGTAATTTTATATTCGTGACTGATTATTAATATTTGAAAAATGCTTGTATGTGTGTTTATTGCAAAGTATTAAAAGTGCAACATGTAGCTGTGACAGAGCGAATCAAATTGGTACTGTCACATTCAAAACACTGCAGAGAGCTGTGTCCAACCAAGTAATAAGTCCAACCATATCAGAATAATCTTCTACTTATGGAAGAATTTTTTTTTACAAGACATCAAAGTCATAAAAAAGACTCATTATAGTGATTTATAAGGGACTTTGACAATGGATTTCTCAAAAAGTACAAGGTAAAGGTACTTCATATTACTTGTGCATGTAGTCTAGGAAGTAAGTCAAACGATATCAGAATCATTTTCTCTTTCATCATTGTGTACTTATGGAAGAAAATATATATAATTATTGTTTTCTCCAGAAAACTTTTTTTTTTTAAATTGTGAAGACTCGCAGATTTATTCTCACTAACTTCACCGACCTCCGAAGCTGTTCCCTGTACAGTATTCTGTTTACTCCCGTTTCATACACTTGTATCTCATAGCCAGTTTTATGGTAAGACCTAGACATTTAGCACTTGACGTCATCGCTCTTCCTGTCTGTTACTCCTGCTCGCTCTGCAGTCCGGAGCATTTACCATAAAGATCAGAATACGTGAGCACTTCAACTTTAGGGGCGGCTCACTTCACCATGTAAACTCGAGTAGGGGCTGGCTTGACCGCAGTCGCAGAAACTGCTCTGCAACTTTGTGAGCAATATTTAGTCAAAGGGCTAGGCCTATAGGTTACTTGCACCTAACTGCGTACATTTTTATTTTTTTTATTTATAGAAAATCACTTTAATGGTATTTTGTTGGAAAGGTCCCTTTTCTGATGTGATCCTGATGATCAATGTGTTCATTTGCTTCATTCACCTTTGTTTTAATACTCCGATTTGTTTACTTACCTCATAACTTTCAATTCAATTTACGTGTTTTCTTCGTTTATTATTAGACTATAATTAAATGTCTATATTCGTTCTTATATGTTTATCTTTGGATTACCCTCCATATTTATTTCCTGCAACTTGTCTGTATCAATTTAGTTTAACACTTTCTTGTGGGCTACGTTTCCTCTTTTTTTTCTTTTTCTTTTATGAGGAAGGAATGCTTTTGGAGCATATACTGTGAACAGTAATGGACAGAGCCTGAGTGATGTCATCCATCTGTTGCTGCAGGAGGCTTTGCGAGCCCTGATGTCGGTCACCACGCTGGAAATGATGTCTCAACTTAATGTTCAGTCAACTCAAAGACAGGCTAAGAGCTGGAGCTGAGACGGGTTTAAATCCTCTTGACAAACCGTTACATGCTTGCCCGTCAATCAGGTCAGACACGAGCCTAACTATAACTTGTAGTAAGTTAAAATTGACCCTTACAGTGTGTGCTGATGAAAACAATAACTAATCAGACCAAAATCATAACAGGCTGCAAACATGTTCATTTGTTAATGACATTTTTCAATTGGGGTGTTTATGTAACTTCAGGGTTTCTTGAAGCCAGCCTCAAGCAGACACTAGAGGAACTACAGTTGTCCACATATGCATTCTTTTTCAACACTGGAGTTTGCTGCATGTTTTAGACTCAATCTTCACAGTTTCTGAAAACTACACAGACCTTGCTCCAGTGTTTTTATTGACAAGTTATTGTTAAATCAAAGTTAATTACCGAATGATTTAATATAACAGGTTAGATAACATTAATATCCTTTCCCATGTTGATAATGAATTTCAGAGGAGCCTCGACAGCATAAAAGTACTGCTGAGGCAGCAGCAGGAGGGAGCTAAGCTGCAGCTGATGTTAAGTTCTGCTTATTTAGTAGAATCACGTCTTTTAGAGAAGCTTGCCTTTAAACCTGAAGCCCTCAAAACATTTTTGTCCGTCCCTTTTCCTGTTTTCTGTTCTCTCAGTGTTTGAAGTACTTTTACAGAGCGTTAGTTCATGTAGCCTAAGTGCTCATCTTGCCAGATTTAACAAAACCTGTGTCTCTCCTGTCTCTTATGTCCTTATGTCTTTAATCAATGGAAGAACCCAAATGCTACTTCAAATGCTGCTATGCTGCAAGTTTTCTTTGCATTTTAATTTGTATTATGTATCCTGGTAAGAAGAGACTGCAACTGTGAGACAGAGGGTACACTGGATCCTTTGAGTGGATTGGGATGGGACAAGGTGGGCATGCAAAGTTGATGTCCTGTCAGCAACAAATGATCAAGGTTGTCCATTTCACACACTCAGGAGAGAAAATCAGCATGCAAGCTATATGTCATATATATGCTATATGATATAAATGTTTGGTATAGTGCCTGGCAATACTCAAGAAATAGTTGTTTTCTTTTGCTAAATATCCTAAGCATTGACATTTTTTTTCTTTTTCTGTCCAAGTTAGCTTAAAAGTTGAAGGAAAACAGATGATGACAACAATATTTCACTGGAGAAAAATAGTAAAAAGATATTAAACCATGGTGTACTGTTTTTTAATTTTTTTTTTAAATGCATTCAGATCCGGTCCAGCAAGGCTGAGTTTGGGAGAATAAAATCTTCTGTCTAGACTTACCCTGTAGGAGGCCTCTTCCTGTCCTGGAAATCATGCCAGGTACTTTTCCAGGGCTTTCAACAGCCAGGAGGAAATGCAAAGCAGAGATGGTCACACAGTGCACATTTTCTGGCCTATACCTTCTTTTTTTTTTAGTTTGCCCTTCATGCCTTTATTGTAGAGACAGGACAGTTGATAGAGTTGGAAATCAGGGAGAGATAGAGTGGGGAATGATATTCAGGAAAGGTGCCTTAGGTTGGCGTCAAACCCACTTCAAGGACAACATCCTCTGTACATTAGGCACGCAAACTAACCACTTGGCCAGGGACAAGGAATTACATGGAATTTTGTGTGTCCAGAAATCTGGTTTTTACTGAAATATTTTCTTACAAAAGTTTCTTACGAAAATTGTGCAATGGTGAGCTTATTGAACTTCAACACTGGCCTTTTTTTGGCTCTACCTGCTACTACCTATGATTTAAACACTTCTCTGGCTAAAGCATGATACTCAGTTATATACTTATTCCACCCAGGCCTCATTATCATATTTGTATGCATGTATTGCTGTACAAAGAGATTACTACAGTATTTCATAAGATAGAGAAGAGATCACTCCTATGCTCCACATTGTAACAATTTACATCACTACACCCACTAGGTAGGTCAATGTGACATGACCCTGATAATGATAATGTCTTTTTGGATATATGCGATGCCTTTCAAGAAGTTCGGCAGATGTGATTGAGCAAGACATGAGTATAGAAGTGTGATGTTGAATTATGTCTCCTCCGGAGGATTCATCTGCTGTATAAACTTTCATCAATGTAAGCCATCTGAGTCAACTGAGTCTTATTGTGTGGAGTCAAGTCTTAGTCATTTCTTCAACAGGAACGACAATTGTTTGGTTCATAGCTGTTGTGTAAAATGCTGCAGACACACAAAGATAGTCAGAATGACTTCGCGAAAAAAGGCATCAGATATTTTATTTGAGCTCTTGTAACATAAGGTTTGACATGTTTGGTCCCGAAGCCCAGGGTCCATGTACACAATTCAGCAATGGACAGAGTGGAAAAAAAGGCTGGATTTCATGTTTGCTACTGCTGCTCATGGTTGCACAATCATTCACAAAGTCTTAGCAAAAAAAACAGATGATTGTTATGAGACCAACAAAAAAGGTATGGTTTGAAATATCTGTCTTTAGGTGCTGAATTCCTTTAAAAAAACATTTTAAAAGATATCGGAGGTGCAGAAAAAAACAGATTAACATCATGAGTACAATGAGTAAGGCATCAGGCAGGTGCAGAATAAATATTGGATGTTTGGATATGTACACACGGTCATCGCATATCTAGGCTTGTTTGTCTCCGAGGTAGAGAATGTCCATGATAACACAACAGCTAAAGTGACCAGTTGTTTGTTAAATTCAAAGATTATATATACCAGTTATGATAAGGATTTGTTACCCTTTATATCATGTAGTTGTTCCTTTCTCAGTTTTAGTAGTAAAATGTAATATATCCAGTGAAAACATGGGCAACAAAATGTATCAACATTCTGTCAATATCTTTGCATAAACAATGTTTACACAACTTCTAGAAGCACTTGCAATTAAGGCAATGACTTTATTAATTGCAAAAAGTGTGACCAGCACTGAATGTGAAAGGTAAGACTGGGATACAGAAATCTCCAGAACCAGCCTTGATCACATTAGAGGCTGTGCAGGTCTAAACGTATGTGTGGAGTCTGTAGTGTGGGTGTCACCACAGTGTCGGACTCTCCATGTGATTAAAGTTGGTCTCCTTCCTCAGCTCCCAGTATGTGTTGTTGCTCACCCAGGTATCATCCTTTGACTTCCTATCGGGGTTTAAGAACAGTAAACAAGTGGTAAATATAGGGAGAGATGGAAATGTGTTGAAACTGATGTTATAATAGAGGCTGCTCTTATAATGTCAAAAATGCGAATAACACAAATAAGAGCAAATTTATTTCCCATAATTTAAGATCTATGTGAGAAACTAATACATCTGGATATTTAGGCTACCTGAAGAATTTAGGCTGATGTACACTGTTGCTCTCCTCCAGGAGTCTCCGTCTCTCTCTCTGCAGCTGTTCAATCCTCTGTTTATGCTCTTCCGCGGCCTCCAAGTTCCCCTCCTCCAGCAGTCTGCCAGCCAGACAAAGACATACTCATTTTTGCAAACATGAGACAAAAATTACACGACATGGTAAAATATGACAATACCTCAAAATTAAAACTTTGAATGTTGAACTTTGAATCACATTGATTCACTTTTTGCATCATAGAAAGATAACATAACTGTATTTACAGGACAACACTTTTCAATCTCTTTTCATAGTGAAAATAGACAGTTCCTCTTCAGTTCCTCTTCAGTTCCTCTTCAGTTCCTCTTCTATGTTGTAGCAGAGTGCAGTTTAAAGTCTTGTGAGCTAAAACCCCCAGCAGTTACTCACGAAATAAGACAGTGTGTCAAGAGGAAATGATTAAGATCTATAACATCAGATTGTTAGAAAAAGAAGCGTGTGTGTGTGTGTGTGTGTGTGTGTGTGTGTGTGTGTGTGTGTGTGTGTGTGTGTGTGTGTGTGTGTGTGTGTGTGTGTGTGTGTGTGTGTGTGTGTGTGTGGGGACTCTTCACTGTTATCTTATGTTATATAAAAGTCAGTTGACATATACTTCCGGTTTGTGTCTATGTAGGGCCCCCCTAAGGACAAAATAGCATGTCTTAATACTCTGCTGATTTTGTCCCATACAGTTGGATGTTGGGTTTTCTGAAGAAAAATCTTGACCTGCTTTCTATTAAAAATCACTCACTGTGATTTTTTCTCTTTGCTTCTTTGGTGTGCTGTTAATTGCCTAATCTGGCACCTGATGAATATCAGGCATTACAATTAACATTGAAGAAATAATCAACCTTTATGCTGATGGACACGTGTGCTTTTGTAGGTCATGAGCAAACAACCGGAGCGTTCACCTGCCCTGACCGCGCCTCCTCAGCTGGTGAGTCCACTCTGCCTTGACGTCACCAGACACGCACGGGTTCGCACTGTCGGCACTCAGGCTTCACCCCCTCGTCCACTTTTCTCTCCTACGACTCTGATAATCGGCGACTCCATAATAAGGAATGTATGGTTTTTCAATGCCACCACTCTCTGCCTCCCTGGTGCTACTGTCCCCGTCATTTTAGAAAGGCTCCGGAAGACTCTGCCCTCTCTTCCCACCACCATCACTCGCCTTATCATTCATGTGGGCACAAATGACACTTCTCGACAACAGTCTGAACTGACCAAAGAGCACTTCAACCAACTTTTCAAGCTCTTAATACTAACTGGTAAATCCATTTTCATCTCCGGACCCACTGCGCCTCTGTCCAACGCCGCTCGTTTCAGCAGAACCCTCTACCTCCACCACTGGCTGCAGTCCACCTGCAGGGCTCACGATGTGGCCTTCATTGACAATTTTAATCTGCTCTGGAACCGCTACTCTCTTTTTAAAGCTGACGGACTTCACCCAAACAAAGCCGGCTCACACCTCCTAACTACAAACATCCAACACACAGTACAGTACACGCCATGCAACTGACTATCAATAAATGACGACATCAATACAGCCGATTCCCAATCTTCCTCTATGGTTCCAGCACACCCTACCGTCCAAAGGTCTGCTCCTCCATCCTCCCAGCTCTCGCTGTGATCAACAGCGAGAGCTGACATTGTCTGCAATAGAAACTCTCATTACAAGAAGGCATCCAAATAAAAACAAAATCACTAAATCTGTCAATTTTTCAAATTTGTCAACCATCCCCTGTCAGCCACTCCCTCACCCTTCACACTGTAAAACACCACATCATAACCTGAAACTGGCCTTGCTGAATACTCGCTCCCTCAACAATAAAAGTCCCATTCTCCATGACTTCATAACCGACACCAACCTGGACTTCCTATGTCTCACCGAAACCTGGCAAAAACCCTTGGACTATTTCTCACTAAACCAAACCACACCCACAGGATACACATACATGGACAAACCCTGTCCCGATGGAATGGGTGGGGATGTTGCAGCCGTTTACAGGAAGGACATTAAAACTACCACCATTTCCATCCCTGCATTTTACTCATTTGAACACATTGCTTTCAAACTCTCTGGTCCCACTCCCCTAGTCACTGCTGTAATCTATCGCCCCCCCCCCAAACCAAACCCTTCTTTTTTCAGTGATTTTCATGACTTTCTGACCCAACTCTGCTCCATCTCAACTTCTGTTCTGCTCCTTGGGGATTTTAACTTCCACATCGACGACACTCAATGTTAAACTGCCAAAGAATTCCTGGACCTTCTTCACTGCCTCAACTTCACACAGCACGTCAACTTCTCAACCTCAACATCTCCGACCATCTGGCTATAAACATGGAAATCCTGCAAACGCCAGGTCGAAAGAATCCACAAGAAAACCGGTTTAACAGTTCACTTCCAATCATACTCTGACTACCTTAAACAATACATGGAAGCTCTCAGTGCAGTCCACTTATTACTCACACCTCATCCACTCAGGCTCATCCAACCCCAAGGCTCTCTTCTCTACAATAAACAAACTCCTCAAACCCAGTGACAACACCTCTCCCTCCTTCACAGCTGATAAATGCAACGCTTTTCTTTCATTCTTTCAATCAAAAATTGACACCATTTACAGCAGCTTCAACACTCTCACTGTCCCCTCTTCATCCCTACCCGCATCCCCTCGCCCCATCACCCAACCTCTGTCTCAGTTCTCCCCTGTTTCCCCAAATGAGCTATCCATCATCACCTCTAGCATGAAGTCCTCCACCAGTATTCTCGATCCCATCCCATCCAGTCTCGTCAAAAACTGTCTCCCAGCCATCGCGCCACTCATAACCTCAATCATCAACTCCTCCCTCTGCTCTGGTTCAGTACACAAAACTCTCAAACTGGCAGCCGTCACCCCTATCCTCAAGAACACCTTCTCCTCACACATAAAGCCCTTAACCACCAGGCCCCCTCCTACCTCACGGCTCGCCTTCACCCTCACACTCCTGCACGCAGCCTCCGTTCCTCAAAAGCCAACCCCCTATCTCCCCCTCTTAGAACCAAGCACCGAACCTGGGGGGACAGAGCCTTCTCCATAGCTGCCCCCTCCCTCTGGAACTCACTCCCTACACACTGCACCGACCCTCCTACTTTCAAATCACTTATCAAAACTATTTTTGACAAGTGATTTGAAAGTTTTTTTTCTGTTTTCTTTATTGTTGTTATCTTATGATTATGATTTGTGCGTAATGCTGCGATGTCCGTTAGTCTGTCCTTACTGTGCTGTTCTTTATGTTTTAACTATTGTAAAGTGTTTTTGAGTTTTTAAAAGCGCTTATAAATAAAATGTATTATTATTATTATTATTATAAAGAGGCATCACTATTCATTTCAGTCTGTTTCTTAACCAACGTTAAACGTTCCTCACTTAAATCTTTGACTGAAAAAAAAAACCGTGTTAAATACATAAAATATTCACAACTACAGGACTTTAATCGCATTGGCATTTTGTGTGTTTTTTCTCTTACCGTTGGTCCACTCGTAGTCTGGTGTCTGTGGGCGGTAGCAGCTGTTTAAGGGATGGGTCGAGCTCATTCAATTCGATAGCAAACTTGGTGAAACCAAAGTACTGCTCATGGTCTACTGGCATTGCATCTAAAAAACATAAAATAACATTCACTTTGTGTTTTTTTAAATCCCTTTCTCTGCACTCTTTTTGAAAGACATTTGTCATACTTGCTCTCCAGACGCATGTGGCTGAAGGCGGGTCTCCACAGAAAACTGATTCATGCCACTTTCCAAAGAGCCTTCGGGTGACCTTCCCTTTATTATCTGTGATAGTTCCTTCAATCTCATTCACACTTGAATTCCAGTACTTGGCCTGTAAAAAGAAGGTAGTTTGATTATATAATACACACTAACAGTATTAAACAATAGGAGCACAGCGTTCAATCATTACATGGTAACTGAATAAAGCAGAGGTTATTGTAGTGTTCTCTAAAGACCAGCAGATGTTGCTGTTGCATAAACTACCGTGTGGATTGCTGGGCTGTGTTGAATGAGAGGGAAGGATGTATAATGGCTTCTGACATGTTTGGACTTGCCATCCTGCACAGCTTCAGGGGGTTGTTGAAATGAGCACACACTACTGCAATTGACCCCCCCAAGAGAAATGGACTGACAGAGAAATTAAAGAAGATTCATCTGCAGTACGACCTGTAATATTACAAGTCAAACTAAAGAAAGTTTGATCTGCTCTCCTGTATCCTAAATGAATGATTATAATGGTTATAATGAAGTAATAATAGAGGCCATTACAGCCCGGCATATATAGCTACTAAACCGAATCTGTCCCATTAAAGGTATTTTAACATGTTGGGCTCACCTTAACAAACGTGATCTTGCATTGACAAATGTCACTGGCAGAGTTTCTGATGGAGATCTCTCCATAGTGCTCAATCCAGCGTTGTCCACTAAGAATGTTGTGGATGCAGGACGTCACCTTGTTCCACTCGTAGTGGTCTCCAGTTCTAGAAAAAGAAAGAAATGATATCCATCTTAAGGGTATGTGTTTGAACATCTTATGCATATGTGTGTCAGAGTAAATGAGGCCAAACAGACTCACCCTGGTAGAGCTACATGAATGGTACCAACAGGAACAATCTCCATTGACTTTCCCCAGAATTTGTTCTTGCACCTCACGTCTTTGAGATCAATCAGAAAACACAAATTGTACATATTCTGGAGATTCAATCTGGACAACCAGCCACTATCGTAAAAGCTGAATGGCTTATTTCTGTATTACACTACCTTGCCAATAGATGAAGTTTTTAGACTCTGCGTGGCAGGCTGAGATTGGTGGATGATGGCTGACCTTATAATGATAATAGGAGAAAACAGCCACGTTAGAAGATTTGATTACAAAAAAATATATATTATTTATTATGAGAATGATGTGATCGTTGAGTTGTTGATAGCGCAGAAATGTGTGCATACCTGCTCTGCAACAAATCGAAAGCCTTTATCAGGCCGGTCACATTCATATGTTTCTCCCAGAATGGGGTTGAAAGGTTTCCCCCCAGTCCTGTAGTAGCTGGATGCATAGCCTGATACTACAAATGTAGCTATGTATACCTAAAAAAGAGAAAACAAAACAATTGTTGGTGCTTTTTAATTTATTTTATAAAGAAATAATGGCTCATCTTCACTAAGTTGATTCAGGCATAAAACTATCCATATGACAACCAAAAAGGATTAACAACAGAGCAGTGAACTTCCTAAGCTGCATCAGTAGGTTAAGCTACCCTGTATCATTGGATCTTAATGTGTGTCAAATCTTATTCTGATTCTCAGTTGTTCTACTTTTCTCTCCAATTCACTGTAATGTGCCAGGAAACTACCAAATTGTTGCAATACTCTTAAGAGAGCACTGAAATAATTCCAACTCATAATGGGAGGCCACAGATAGTAGCTCACTCTTATTTCACTTTACTTTTACATAAATAAAGTTTGTGTTAAATGCACATTTTTCATGTATAACTTGGCAACGCAACAGGATATAGGCTACATCTATGCACCTTGACCCCAAAAGTGTACAAACTTAAGCACCCTTCAATCCAAAGTAAGTCAATGCAAATTCAGCACAAGCAAAGCACTGGAAGAGACGGTGTAATGCAATCTGCCTGATGGAAACCTAGAGACGGAGGTAAGGGTTTACCTCAGGGCTCACAATGCCAAACCTCTGCCAGCAGGCTGATAGATTCCCTGCTCTATGGCCACTTAGAAGTGCATTAGCCTGCAATGGTTGTCAAAAGCTTGTAAAACATTATTTTATTTAATCAATTAACCTTTTAGGGCTTATTATACACTATTAAAAAAGTGTTTTTAAATATCCTTATTTGCTTTCATGTCAAGACTTCCATGTCTTTATGCTAGAAGTTCAACGAGCAGCAACCTCCAGAGTTAAAGAAAAATTAAGTAAACGAGGAGGCAAAAATAGAAAAATAGAGTTAATCCCCATATATGCAATATTTAAATGTAAAATGTTACAGCAGACAGATTGGTTCAATGATGTTGACGCATTGGTCACAATATTATCACGCATGACAACCGACATGAATCTTTAACACTTTAATGATATCTATTTGTCATACTTAAAGTTATAGATACGTGGGGGATTGGTAGCTTTGAGGGACTGCTAGTTGTCCCCTCAGCTAATTCCAGCCACTGAACTACTATCTTGGATGTGTCTGTGGTGTTTGTGTCGTCTGGGAATGTTTCAGTTGAATGTTTCATTTGAATTTCCCTCGGGATCAATAAAGTATCTATCTATCTATCTATCTATCTTCTCTATCTATCTATGCAAATATTGTAGTAAGTAATATGGCTCTCTTTTTCCAATCCCATCCAATAAGTCTGTTCTTCAGCTTTTTTGGAGAGTGAAATTTAAGTGTTGTTTTTATTCATATTCACTACCCCCATAATCACAAAAGCACTAAGTAAGTCATTAACTTTTTAGCCTTCTAAACCTTTGGCATGAGTTTGATAACTTGGCATTTGACAATCCCTAACTCCAATCCAGCTCCACCCACTTGTCCCAATATGATCACTTCTTGCTACAAAGAACAAGATGGTGAAAGCCATAACCAATGTGTTGCTCTGTCCATTCTAATTTACAGTCTAAGAGCTGGAGCAACAGATTACCAGTTAGCCTGGCTCTTTAAATTGATTTAAAAATCTGCTTGTTTCGGATGTAAACTAACATGAACAAACATGCCAATTAGTAATTTTAAAGTGGCCAGCAGAAGTATTGTTAACATTAGAAGTAGTCATGCTGCCCTGTTTCAAGTTGTATTGCTAAACTAAACTAAGCTAAGCTAAGTTACGCTCCTGACTCCAGATTCATACTTAACTTAAACAGTAACTCTGTTTAAGTTAGAGTTAGAGTGTCATTAAATAAATTGAGGAAACCATGTAAAACATTCTCCCCTTTGCTATGTGAACCCCTAACACTATTATTTCTCATTTAACATCTACATATCACATGTTAAACAGTAAATTTGCAATCCTACCATACGTTCAAAGGGGTCGTGTGTGTTGGCAGCCCTGTCGAGAAGTTCACTGTACTCCAGCTCCTCACACAGTCTCTGCAGGGTGTTGAGCGGCTCATTAAGTTGGACGGGCATGGCCACCTTAGAAAGGTCTTTGCCTATATTGTTCCTCAGGATGTTCCACAGGCTGATGGTGCTATTGTTGGGGCAAGGTGAGGGCAGACAGGATCTACGCTGACAAAGGCCTGCAAGAAAATGTTACAAGAGGTAAGACAGTTCAAACAACTGAACAACTGTGACTGTGATACTGGTGAGCTAGTGTGAAAATGCCCATATCTCCAAAGCTTACCTGAGTTTGGTCTCTCACTTTCTGTCTCGTTGCTGAAGTTGTCAATGGAAATATTGTCACTAATGTCACTTATATTTGAGTCATCTTCTGATGCCTAAAAAACAAACAAACAAACATCCAAACTTTAGCTAAACGACAGATAGATAGATAGATAGATAGATAGATACAATACTACTTTAATGATCCCGAGGGAAATTCAAAGATAACCCTTTAATACCCTTTAATACCCTTTAATACGATAACCCTTTAATACCTCCTGCAGGAGGGGATTGGTCAGGTCTCTTTCAATATCACATCAGCAGACGATCTAATGGGCTAGAAATAATTTGCCCAGTGGGGCCTTGGTGGCCAATTTGCACTTCTACTTGCTGTATTTATAAGAAAGTAATTATCTCTCATTTTTACATTGCTTTCACTCCAACTGCTATCTGATCAGGCATGTTGCAGACTGATGTTACGACCAATCTATTACAAAATGTAACATTAAGACTTTAACTTGCTGCTGAGTTAAAAGGCAGATCTTCCTGGAAAAAGAATGGCACTGAATTGTTACTATGCTTCAAAGATTAACACAATCCATAGACTGAGAATGGAGGATATGTGAGGTGTTGTATCTTAAGTAGTACTTATTTTCAGACAAAACTGTCTGGATTTTTTATACTAGTAAACTGAGTTGAAGCTCTACTGAAAAACCTGAATTTCTTCTCTTCTGCAAAACGCAAAATGAATCCAAACTTTAAGTGTAAGTTTAAGCTACAAAATGATTCCAAGTTAACAGCACAGACTGTATAAAGAATGGACAGCACAAAGAGCCCCTGAAGAGTGAAGCCAAAATATTTTGAGCTCCCCCTGCTGACTGCATGCAGTATAAGTTACAAACCCCCTCCTCCTCACTGTTAAAATACAGAACATGAAGCAAACTTTCCAAAACATGGTTTCTGTCATCATAGTTAGTTCTTATCATGATGATTTATGTCCTAGTGTTTATTTATCTGAATAGTTTAGTTTTAATTAGTTATTTGATGTGAAAGGAGCAGCTGTTATGTCATGACTGACTGTTTCACTAGAGAAGCAGAGTAAAGAAGGAACAACAAGAGAAAATATAACCAAAACATACTTTCCAGTCTTTGAACTTCCCATGAACTTGAGTATCTGCTTTAAATCAACACAATAATCACTTTATGTGTTAAGTTAAATGTCTGATTCAGTTAGGGGAGTAGGTGTGGAGTCATTTCTGTGGCTCCACCAGCCAGATCCATTTTGCTCGGCTTGGCACCAAATGGTGTCACTGGCGCAATATGTCAGCGCCCTTTGCAGGAGATTTTGACTTCAATTTGGTACAACAGAGATGGAGACACATTGTCGATTTATATTCAGTCTATGGTTAACAGTAACATCAGTAAAATCTCTGCTATTGACAGTTTACCTGTCACACTTACCTCATTTTCAGAAGAACTAGCAGACAACAGAACCTCGTGTGCATCAAAGAACTCAGACAAAGACTCTGTGATTGAAGCTCTGCTCTCATTGGACACTTGGTGTACGAGGGGATGGGATTCGTCCACGGAGGCTTGTTTCTAAGAGACACAGAGCCCACATCTATAATTAAGGACAAGAGAAGGGCAACACTGTGACAGCTAGGCTGGGTGGAAATTACAGGGCAATTCGGAGTACAATATGATTGTGGGATAATGAGACCATCACAACACACAAAACTGGACATTCAATATATTGAAATACAGTCATCTATAAAACATTCAGAACTTCACTGTTCATTTATTTCACTTTGAGTTGAGTTTAAAAATATAGACAACTGAGTGGAAACATTCACACTTGTTCTCTTTAAGATGTGGCAACATGTGTGTAGAGTTTGCCATAAACCGGCAGTATGCTGAACTTCTAAAATCTAAATTGAAATAAGAAAGGGTTTTGTTACAGGTACAGTCCAATTTCACAATCAATTTAGAAGAATATGTATACATCAAACTTAGATCTAGACTGTATATCAATAAGTGACTGCATGATTTATGAAGAGTAAGTCAGAAGTGCAAGCATGCAACAAATGTGCACAAACTCCGCCAGATATGTTGTTGTTGTTAACTTAAAACAAGGTGCACATTCAAAATGAAATCAAAGCATTCAAAAAAGTCCTTCAGAAAAAGAACACAAAAGATGAAATGAATCACACTGATGAGGTATTAGAACCACACATGCAAGTGAGCATGTCCCTCTACCCTGTGCTAAAACCACTTATTAATTAGCCCCGAGATAATCTCAGTGGTGTAGCATTATCTCTGCACTGTGCGTTCACCAAGTTTCCAAGAGGAAAATTGAGCAGATCAGCTCACACTCTCTGGTCAGTAAATCCGATTAAGTGAGCAAAGAGCTTCCTCATGAGACAATAATTTGTCAGGTGGTTAGAAGTCCTCTTCTTGAGCTGTGTGATAGTGAGGCACAGCAAATAACTGAGAGGGAGCAAGGAAGCACTGAGCAAAGACAGAAACCAGGGGGAAAGTGTTCACTGAGAGGTGTATAGTTAAGTAGATTTATTGACTCTTTCTTTGGTCATTATAAATCAAAGTGAGTCAAATAAGAGGAGGAAAGCAACATTTGTTATCTGGATGAGAAAGGAAGGACAGCTCATTCATTCTGTGGCAAATTGTAGCTCAGGTGGGATGAAAATAAAGACAGACAATTTTAACTATTATGATGGTGTGGGGAAAGGTAGCATAGTGACTGCAGTCCTGCAACCCACCTGCAAAGGGGCAGTGAGATTTATTAGTGTGGGTTCTACGATGTTGGACTCAGCGTGAATCTTGCCCAGGCGCTCTCTCAGCTCAGAGTTCTGGGCTAAAGCCTGGAAAAGTAACCAGTTTACACACTGTTTATACCACAAACCCAACCAAATAAGCTTGGGTTAAATCTTCCATACTTTTAACCTCTTTGCCTTTAAAGAAAATGGAGCCATGTGTTGCCACTGCAGACATCTGACAGAAAGCAACAAGAGTCCAAACTACAACAGTCACCACATTTCAGACTCCATGTGAGGTAGAAGCTGAGTAATCAGGAAGGAAGGCTAACACCAATCAGGTTATTCTTAAATTCTAAAAAATGTGTTGCCGTGAAGAGCACAGGAGTAAAGTGGTAAAAGAAGTCAGTTAAACAATGACTGTGTGTAACCAGAAAACAGAAATGAGAAACGCCATCTGAGTGGGAGGCAGCAGCCACTGGAAACACGACCGATGAACGTGCTTTTGTTCAGGTGGGCAGACACAAGCAGCCAGTAAACCCTCTTAAAGGCTCGTTGATGTGTCACACCTGACGAGTGGTGTGGGAGGACACGACATCTGAGAGCAGTGTGCTTATTGAATGAATGATAATGTTTTGGTGTGTGTGTGTGTGTGTGTGTGCTCGTGTGCTGGTGTTTTTAGACATGCACCAAACGCCTGAAACTTTCCTGCCGTGAGCTGCATGTCTGATTGCAAAACAGCCACATCTTTATTCTTCCTGATAACTCCCGAGTCATGTTTTAGCATGACGTTGGGGTGAGCTGATGCGTGAATGCAGCAGAAAATATTCAGGAAAATTCCCCACAAGTTAATGATGACGTTTATATCACGTGGTCGAAGCGCTCTTCATGCATTTAACGATGCCGCTTCATACTTTTTCTTATCGCCATTATATTCTTTTCCACTTGTTGGTTTAAACTCTGAATACGTCCTTTTACACGTAGCATTGATTTAAAGTAAAACACTATCATTACAGTGTCTGACCCTGTCACTTTGTCCACCATCTTGGATTTCCGCAGGATCTTTTTAATGTCATGTCTCTTGAGAACGTCCCCCACTCTCCCTTCAGACAGGGAGCAGTTCATGCTGTGAGCGACATGTGTCAATAATCAACTCAGGAAGATTTCAGGGGCAGCCAGTCCTGAAATTCTCCAGAAAATGTTCATGATTGAATGTGTGAAAACAGCTTATACGTATGTGTGTGTGTGTGTGTGTGTGTGTGTGCTTCACTTACTGATGACAGTGCGTTCTTCAAACCAACAACCTGCGGGGAGGTAGGGGGACATGTTTCATGGTCCAGACATTGTTTTAGTCTCTCTCTCTCAGATGTTAGTGAACTCAGAGCAGATGTCATGGTCGCATGCACTGCAGAAACAAGAGAAACAGAAGTGGAGGAGTCACACAATCACATTCTTGTGTGTATGCCTCTGCTGGTATGTCAAAGCACTTTGTTAACCTCTGGTATTAAAAGTGCTATATACATAACGTTTTTATTATAAACTTATTATTATTCTGTACTGCAATCATTCTCATTATGCCATGTGGAGCTTCAATATAAATCTTGATGAGTGGCAAAAACTAATCAGGAATCAACTGTCCTAGCTTTGTGGGCAAGTAATTGTAAACAATGCACTCAGTAAAAGCCAGAGGAACTGCTAAAGGCTTCCTCTGAATCCTAATAAATGAAAACTGACTTTATCAGTAATGAGCAGCTGCATCGGCTCACTTTAATTTCTGTAAACAAAACACCATGTCAATACTATCGTACATGCAAATTAAACAGCAGACACACCAATTTCCTAAAACTAAACAACTGAGGTTTCAAAAAAGAACTCTTCCAGTTGGTAAGAAAATCTTGTATGGAATTGGCAAGACATCCTGAACACAGTATTGGTTACAAGCTCAAAACATTTTACCCACAATTAGTGGCAACACGGCAGAAGTCCTCCTGCAGCTTGGCAACATCAAAAGTGGAATCCAGGGATTCAGTGTCGACCTTGTCATTGACCATCGCGGCGCTGGAGAGGTTTGGGTTAGAGGCATGAAGGCGAATAGAGCCAGAGGAGATGCAGCTGGGTACCTGCAGTAAAGTAAAGATGAGTACAGCTTGGAGGGACATTAACAAAAAAAAAAAAAGATCAAGCCTGATCAGCCTTCATTTTCATGTGATTACCTGCAGAGTTGTTTTGACGTCTTTGTTGTAGTTTTTAGTGAGCCATTTCTTTGGAAGTCTCTTTTCCTTCTTTGGGCTGTCATATGTTGATGCCTAGTGATCATAATGAATGGTAGAGCGTAGTTTTATTTTTGGAAAAGCTTTTTATAGAACATACTTTCAGAACTAGGAGTCTATTTAAAGTAGCAACTGACTGGAGGTCAACAAAAGAAGTCCATGGAGAGAAATTAAAAAAGACGAAACAAGAAAAGCTCTTGTATGCATAAAATTCTGTCGACTTGTGTTTTTATCTACTAATTATTTATATTTATATAAATAGAAAGTTTATGCACTAGCAAGTGTCTCAAACTTAATATTTACCTCAAATTATTAAACAAACATGCTTTTAATGCTAAGGTTATGGATTTTAGAAGTAAAGTGTTGACCTGCAGCGCTTGGATTGATGGAGCAGAATAGGTGCGGTGAAGGATCTCCATACTTTGAAGCAGGTGGTTGAGCTCCAGCAGATGGGCCTCACAGACCGACAAATCTTTGCAGTGTAAAGATCCACATTGATTAGGATGTTATGAAATTGTAACAGATAAAAAGATGAGATGAAAAGGGGCTGTCCACAAAAATTAGCATTTGCTAGTTTGGCCAATATGAATAATAGAGCCATCAACCTCAAACCTTTATGGGTTTATAGAACTCTTCTGAGGTATGTCATGAACATTAAAAAGAAAGAAGGCTAGAGCTCATGTCTGTCTTTTACTGTCATTTGTGATGTAAATGTAATTTGTAGGCAAATCACTGAACGATCCTCGACTGACAGGAAGCCACCATTTATTTACACATTTTGTCATTTTTAATATGGTTCACATCCAACTTGAATTCAAAATGTCTCACTTTTCAAATAGCAAAAGATAGATATTATAACTTGAAGGTCCTGTGATGAGTTTTTAGCTGGTTATGAATTTGACTGAAATGTATTATAAGGCCTCTTTATGAGCTTCAAAAGCAAACAATACCTTCAGCTACATGATTAATGATTTCTATAGTGTTCGTTTTTCATGCCAGAAACCATTGCCGCAGGGAAGATGTCAGACAGGGCGATTAACAACACACTGCAGAACCAACCTTTAAACGTTTTTTCACAGTGAATATTCACAATGAGTGAGTCATTTGATTCTAAAGAGAAAGCATGGTGAGATTTTTTTTACAAAACGCCTTCATGTACAGGACAAAACAAGTATATTGATACAAGTTCTCTCAACATCAACTGAAAGTTCTTCATAGGCTTTCTGTGCCTTTAATGGAGATATAGGACAGTGGATAGAGCTGGAAATCAGGGAGAGAGAGAGTGGGGAATGACATGCAGGAAAGGAGCCACAGGCTGGACTTGAACCTGGGCTGCCCGCTTGGAGGACCACAGCCTCCATACATGAGCGCGTGCACTAGCCACTGCGCCACCAGTGCCCCAAATCTTAACACTTTATCATCCTGCTACGAAACCAAAAAACATAAGGGAAGTCACACAGTCGGAGAACAAGCCATAGAAATTAGAAGGACATCAGTGATTAATGCGTGTTAGAAACTCCAGAAAATCTGAAGTGACAACTCTGTCATCTCACCTTTTGAGCACTTGTCCATGTCATTAGACGACTGCAGCCATGCTGTGACCTTGGCCTGGCTGCTGCAGCTTAAAGCAACGGCTCCTGCTGAAGGCACAGTGGACTGCCTTCGTACAGATATGCACTGCGAAAGCAAACAGACCCAAGTCAGTACAATAATAATTTGCTTCCTCTAAAATATTCTTCTGTCAGGGGGCTTTGACCTTAGTAGATAGTGTGGATGAAATAATTGACATTCATGAACAAAAAACAGCAGAAAGCATCAAGAGAGAAAGCAATGTCAACACTGCATAGTTTTCATTAACAGTATGCGGTGTGTGGCACAGGTATACCTTTCTGACAGAGGCACTCTCAGGCATGCCTGGTGAGATGGGGGAGGGGTAGTGGGGATAGTAGAAGGACTTCTCGTTAGAGTACATGGCAATCTCATTTTGCCGATAGAGACGATGGTGACGTAGCTTTGACACCCATTCATCAAACAGCTCCGGTGACTTAATCTGCAGAGCAGATACCACAGTCAGTAACCAACACAAGGACAAGAAGGAGGCGTGAAGGTGGAAAAACACGCAGCTACTGCAACCCCCCCTTATTCACATAAACAGCACATAAGGTCATTTTAAAGTCAATTTAATGTTAGCATCACAGGAATCAAAAGGGAATAGCCTTAATTATACATTTTTACTTCAATCTGTGTTAAAAATATGAAAAATTAATGACAGCCATTGGCACTGCAGTCTACCTTCAGGTGATAGATGTTTTCCTCTGCATCAAGATCGATACATTTGGATTTCTTCTTGATTGCCATGACTGAGAGACCTACGTCAATGCAGCCATGCAGTTTCCCTTTCTCAATCTGCAAAAGTCAACACACAACATTATGATAATATCCGACTGATGACAATAACAATGTAACAAGATTCTGTCTTAAAGCTCCAGTGAGGAGTTTTTATCTGGTATTGAAACGGACTGAAATGAATACTGATGCCTCTATGGAACTACTAAATGAAAAAAGACTGTGGTACAATATTATATTTGATCTGATATATCTATGATCATGTTTTTTTCTGAAGCAAAAAAAGTCTGAAGCACTCTGAGATCTGCTTCTGATGAAAAGTGAGTTACAAATACAGTATGTTATTCATATCACATTATTCCTGACAAATTAGCAGAAAGTGCTTTGTCCACAGGGGGCGCCGAAATTGACACGAAAGAAAGGTTCAACATATTGCGATGTGTATGAAGCTCATGGCCTGGCCAACTAGTGTTTGGGCCTTTGAATGGCTGATGTTGAATTATGTGAGATTGGCAGGTAAAATGCACTTTGTGACGCCTATCAGTGATAATGAGATTGTGAGGGATTTAGGGCTTTTTGTTACTACAGACACAGATAGATATTCTGGGAAACACAGGAGCAGTACAGCCAGAACACAGAGTCTTTTTTTTTTGTAATCCTCTGTAACTGAAAAGACCACACAGTATACAGCCCGCAGGCTTTTGTACTCACATCGGTACTGCACTTTCCATATTTCAGGATGCCCTTGTCCAGGAAAAAGTATCTCTGCAGGCATAAGGGAGGACAATAAAGGAATGAGATACAGCTGGAATGATATGCAACATCCCTCACAACAACTTTAAAGTCACTGGTATGACTCAGTGATCACGACATGCATCTTGATAATGTATGTTGTTAATGTCTGATGCACTCAGATGTTTGTCATCCTTGCATTGTATCTTCCATTATTACAATCACCCCGTTGCAATGCTTCTCCTGCACTCTCTTTGTAAATGTGATTCTGGCTGCTCTTACTGTACATCACCCAAATCTGACTTTTGAAAGTACAACGCTCTGACTGTAAGTCAATACTAAATCCATACAGCTCTATTAACCAACAGGCCATCAGCTAATGCATCGGAAAGAAACACCAAGATGTCTCGAGTGTATCATCCCAGTGAAAGCTTTTAGGCCGAGCATGAAGAGACACTGACCCACGTCACATGTGACTCCTCTGTGGTTGAAACCATCCACACAATAAGCCCATTCAATTAGTTTAAAACACACACAGAGTCATGTCAGCAGTTTTTTTTTTTTGTAAAAGAGAAGCTGGAAAGCTTAGAGTACAACCAGGAAATGGAGATGATGTTCAGCTGTCAGGTACGCCTTAAAATAAATTATGAAGTCTGTCACTGTGACGGATGAGCAGGGTGAGGTAATATGGGTCATTTAAGGACCTCACAAGTGTTGGATTATACCTTATGCCAGCCTTTCATGGGCCATTTTCTCTTCTTTAGCAGATAGCCCTCCTGTTTCTGTGGCTCCAGGACAGAGCTGAAGCCTCCACGCAGGCCCTCCACTATTTCCCAGCTGTCCTGTGGGCAGAGAACAGACAGAGGAGATGAGGGACCAAGGTTAGCAGACACTCAACTAGTTGCAAGGAGATTTAGTAACATGCGATCAAATAAAAAAATGGCGGTGAGAGTGAAACGCATTTTTGTAATATTTTCCTTTCTATGTGTTGTCAGCTGAGAGGAAAATGCAGCCCTATTAGGTTTGATGTCCTGTGTTAGGCTATACAGACCTCTTTCACCTCATGGTCACATTATAAAATTAGCTTACCGTTCTAATCTCACTCTTCACAATAATCATTTCCTGACTGAGATTAGAGCGCTCAAATATAAATCCCCCTCAAATACAGAGATTTAGATGATTTTTCATCATAAACCAAACCAGATCGGCATGTACCATCCTGGTAGGAATTTCAGGCCAAAAACATCAAATACATTCAAATGTTTTTTATATGGTTTTAAGTGTATATCAGTTAGATATCAGTAACAGTTAGAGAATACATTTGTATAATGAACAGGACATACACCAAGTTAACATTTAAAATCAATCACCAAAGGGACACATGTGCACATAGTTCAGGTTACTTGTTGAAACCAGCACTATTTATCAACAGTTAAAACATTGTATAATGCCTTTTGTGGCTCTTTGTTGATGTTAGCAAATCATCATTTTTCAACAGTTTTATGAGACGGGAGGTAAGATTGAGTAAAATGTACTATTCCACATTCATCATGATGACAACAGAAATGACTAGAATGCATTCTTTATAAGATTTTACTGTGGGTGTGTCTGGTAAATAACTCATTATGCAATATTTTTGGATGCGGTGTACCATGAGACGGAGTCACGTTCAAATTTTCACTTTACAGTGTTTTGGTCACATTTTTGTTTTGATAAATGGGGATAAAATATATAAAGGAGCCAATATGGAATTAAATCAGGAAAGTGGTTTTATTGTTAATTTGTTTACCCAAACTCAGATGGGAGTGAGGTTGTCAAAATTTCCAATACGTCGATGATTTCGATAACACATGTTTTAAAACTAGACAATCTCTGTTATTAAAAAAAATAAATCTCTGTTACTAAAAAACAAAAGCTGTAGTGGGCGAAATAATGAGATCCGCTGTGATTAAATTACAGGTCAAATGTTTCTCAAGCCTTTCAAGTGTCTCATAAAGAGACAATAGTTATGTTTATGTTACAAACGGACTGAGAGCAGAGGAGGTGACGGTCAAAGCATTTCAGTACCGAACGTTGTAGATGTAGACCGTGTTCAGGAGTCTTTTCTGGCAGTTTAAGGTAATAACAACAATACATCTATTACGCTGTATTTCTGTTGCTGTGGTCTCAAAAAAGGTATGGATACTGTTAGTTTTTTACTGGTGCTGCAATTAGATTGGATGAAATGTTTTATTAAGGGTGACCCACATTAAAGGAAGTGCAATCGCAAACTTCTGGAGTCATTTGTGGACTACACAAGCAAAACATTTACTGGTTCCAACTATAACAACAAAAGGCCTAGCTGCTTATGTCTGTTTTATGTCACCATACATTGATATTATGAGGGACATATTGTACCACTTTTCTTTTTTTTTTTAAACTAAAGACAAATTATCTGATGATAGAAATTATCACAAAGGGTGCAGCTGCTTCTATTGTGTTAAATTATAAGACAAGTAATAGAGTATTTTAAGATTATAACTTAAATGAAACCTACTGAGACAAAAAACTAAAACACAAATGACTTTCACGTCACAGCTCAACACAGGGACTCTGGGATGAGCTGTGAGGTCGGCGATGACTCTGTGTTTGTTTTCAGAGTGTCCCTGACTGTTCCAGCTTACAGTACAACAGTTCAGGGAAAACAAACAGGATCAGTCAGAGAGGATGGACTGCTGGAGGTGAGACCGTCTAAAATGAATGATTATTTTTGAAGGGGGGTTGGTGGATGGAGAGGGCGGGGCTTGTTGGTTCTTTCTCTTTCCCTGAAAGCTCATCACAGTTCCCTTGAACTCAGTCACCCGATGAGTCATTGTCATACACTGCCTTAGCACTTTTCTTCAAGGTCGCAAGAAGCATTCAGAGTCAAAGCAGTAACATGACAGACAAGGAAACATGTTTACAGGGATGGCTATCAGCAAAAGCAAACACAAATCAAAAATGTTCCCCAATCCAATTACATGTATCTCCTGCTGAAGCTTGCAGACAGTTTGTGCAAAGACTGAATCATATCCTTCCAAAATGTGAAACTATATACACTAACCAGTGCCCATTACTCAGGTCTAACATAAAAAATAACAATTAATTAATGTAGCTTGATGTTATTATTAAGTTATAACAAGTGGTATAGAAGTTTATATTAGCCTCAAGTCTAGAAATAGGGACATTGATATGGTAGTTTTGGGCCGATACCAATATCGATATTGTGGAGGAAAAAAAATCTGATACCAATATATCGGCCGATATCTTTTTTAGATCTAAGTTCTATCAGTAGAGATAAATATAGATATACAAATTTATTGTGTTGATCCCTCAAATGCAGTTATCAAACACTTGTGGTACGTACGTCATCGCTTGACACTGGAGAGTGATAATGCCTGTTGTAATCCATAAAGCGCACTCTGCTAGTTTAATACATTTAAACTCAAATGAAATGCTATGTTACTGGTGAATAAATCTATTATTTGGCCGTACATCTGTGAAAAAATGTGTTGATACCGATAGTGACTTAATACGCAGTTATTCGGGTGCAAAAGAGCTTCCATTGGGAAACTGTTGCAAAACTGCCTCTGAGTCATTAAACTGCTCTTTACATCAACTCTTTGCTGCAGGCAGTAGTCTGAGACTGAGACAGTGGTGGACATTCTCTGTGAGAAAGTCTGACTTGTGCTCACAGCTTTCTTTGTCCTTGCTGCTAATGAAATAAAATGCAAAGAGAAGCCCAAATGTTTTTTTTTATAGCCTGGGAGCTAGATCATCTGAAGAAACCACAGGATTTATCAGCAGAAGTTAGTTTGTATGGTGAGGCATTTACTGTTAGGTCCTTATCCTCCCACGACACAGAGGAATCCCTGTGGACTGGCAGTGGCTGTGCTACTCTTTTATCAAACAATAAGAATGTGGAGAGACCAATAGTTTAAACTTAGGGACTAGGGAAAGGATCTGTAAATGCAATGTGATGACAGAGACTTTTTTGAAAAGCAGCAACAGTGCACGATGGAGACACATGATTAGTTGGAGACCTGTAACAAGTCCTGATAGGTCCACAGCTGGTGTGTGGGTGTGTGTTACCTGTCGGCTGTCGTGTTTGGACGAGGAGCTGCTGTTGCTGCGTGACACTGAAGATATCTTCTGTGACATTGCTGAACTGCGCTCCTCTGAGCCCATCTTGCTGCAGATTGGCCTGTGCAGGCTATGACTTGAGTGCCAGGCACATTCCTCTGCTGAGAGAAAAAGGGGTGAAGATTAGGGCGCGGTCTCACTGGAGAGTCAAGCCATTTAAAAGCCATTTAAATCATCTCACTGAAAAATGCATAAGGATGTTGAGGGATCCCATTTCCCACGAGGGTGAAGCACAATATTGCATGCATTGAGAAAAGCTACGCATAAATGTTCTCAATATCAGCAAAATAAATTGACAGACAAGACTTAAGGACATACTGTAAATTGTGCGTCTAAAAGTGAGGCGACTGCAGCTTTGAATCATTCATGTCTTCCACTCTTCCAGGCAGATTGTCAGCATTAAAGGATCATATGTACCTAAAACAACTACTAGACGTATATTCATACAACAGTGTTTGAAGATGTAGTCAGACTAAAAGTAGAGGAGACAAAGTTAATGCTGTACAAGCAAAAGTCTATACAATGTTTACTCTGGGAAAACTACAGCACCATAATCAGTAAACAGTTTTAAGAGTAGAATTATTTTTAAGGTGCTTAAATGTTAAAAACATTTTAAACAATCCATAAACAAACCTAAATACAAAACACTGGAAAAAATGGACCTTAAGTTTGTACATGCTATAATAGATTGTAAATGTTAAGTACAACGTGTATTGTACCTTACGTTAAATAAATGAAATACTTTACTAATAAATAGTATATAAGTATTAGTGTTGTAGTAATGTACAAGCAATCTGTACTTCAATTTCTTGAAATAAGACATTGTATCTTATTTCAAGAAACTTCAGTTCATTTTGGCAGCTATAGATGCAGCTATATTTATTTATTACAGCCATTCAGCCAGGCCAACCTTTAAATAAGATGTTTATCTGTACTCATCGGGTGAATGTGGCTTATATTACTAATAACATATTTGTAGCTAGAAATGAGAAGAACCCACTTGGTAAGAAGTAATTTTTGCAGTGTACATATGGTTCCTCTCAGTGAGTATCAGCTCTATGCGAAGCTGAAGTTTTGAATAGATGTCACTGAGTGACAGCTGATGAAGTGACATCATCAAACAAACGTAATATCATCACTTCCAGTGAGTGTGAAAATAATTAAGCCTCTATAAGAAATAGCAACCTCTCCAGTCTTCTGCCACAATTCAGATTAATTAACATTATGTGCCTGCTCTACCACATCAGCACACAGAGCCACATCACGCTAATGCACTGTGAGCGACAGGATGTCTACAGTGGAAATTCCCGACCAGGCACGATGTGTTTGTGTAAATCATAATGGCACACATGGAAGATGTGGTCACTCTGGGGGATCTTGTGTGGTTTTTGTATCATTAGATTCATTGCTGTTTAAAAGAAAATCTGCATGATTCTAAGAGACGAAGCCATGAACACATTGTTGTCTTCTATTGTACTTGGATTAGAGCATTGACTATGTTTTCACAGAGTGGTCGTTTGGTAAAATAAGGAAATGCTTCTCCAAATGAATTAGGGAAGATGTTTGAACATTAATATTTTGTGAATTTGCATCTAGATATGTCAAATGACATTCCACATCAAGTAATAATACTGATATCTAATAGGGCTACAACTTATTATTATTTTCAATAAAAGATGAATCGGTTTTTACTCAATTAATTTATAAATCATTTAATCTACAAACTGAAAAACAGGTTCCGATATCAAGTTTCAATGCCCAAAGTGAAACAAGAGCCCAAAAAATACTTTATTAACAATAAGATAAAATACAATAAATAAGAGCAGAATTTTGCCGTATTGGAGAAACTATAATACATTTTTGCATTTTTGCTTTATTTCATGGATTTCTTCTTCGATAAAGTATGCTACAGTTTGATACGGCTTCCAGAGCTGCACACAATTAGCTGCGTCCATGACGGTTAAAACAAATAAATTGAAACAATAGAAACACTATACACTGTAACACTGTGTATAGTGCAATCATCAATCGATGAATACTGTGACACAAGTTGACCTCATTTCTAGTTTTTTATGAACAATTTTCTTTCTACCAGTAAAACTAGTAGATGGCCACACCCACAGCATCTCCTGCTAGCTAAAACTCAATGAGACATGCCATTTGTTGACAACCACTCTGAGGCAGCAGCAAGGTTAATCACATTACCTGCTCTGCATCCACACACTTTGTGCTGCATAATGGCCATAGGCTTTTGTGTTAGAGAGAGACAAAGGCAGAGTTATCTGAAACCTCCATCCTTCAGCTCGGCCTACACCACTGCTCTGTGTTTGGACTTCAGGCTTTCACTGACAGACCATGCTGCATTAAATGTAGCCACAACAATAGATCAAAGCCGGGAAAACAAAAAGTACAGCCCATCAGCAGGAGAGCACACTTTTTTTTGTAACCTCAAATGTTTCTGAATGCAATTTACTACAAGTGAGATAAGGACAACTATGATTTATGAAACACAAAATGTGTGTAAATCAGGCTGTCACCATTAACTAGTTAATCACAATTAATCAAGGTCTGAAATTAATGCATGAATTATTTTAAACAAGCTTAATCGTATGCTTTTAGTCCCTTTAGGTGCACCATGGATTAGCCTCTGCTGTGTCTCCCTGTAGTCACAGGGATGGAAAAGACACTGCTGCAGTGTTTGACTTTAAAACACCTAGACAGCTCAGTTGACAAGTCAAAAGTAATAACCTTCGATCCATCAGAAGGCCCTTACTGTATTTCAAAATAAAAGCAGGGTTGATTTTAAACAGAAATTGAAGTACTCTCAGCTTAAGAGACAGTAAAAAATATTCAAAATAAAAGCCTAACAATTCTTTTTTTTAAAATTCAAAATAATCGTATTTTGAGCGTGCATGTCTGACAGTCCTAGTGTAAATCTATCTACAGTATGTATCCAATGCTTCTTCCATGATTCATTCTTCCACTAAACGGGTGCCCCCCCCCCATGAACAGACAGCTTTTCATCTGATACAACACCACTTCTCACTTCTCAAATTTCCCTAGCAATCTGACTCACCACACCGCTTCTTCATGACTTCTCGTGTTGGAGCTAAGATGAATGAGGTATAACATGAACAAAAGATTAGTGGACTAATGTCAGATGGCGGTGAAGAGTTTTTAGAGATGAAGCTTGATTAGGTGTGAAATTAACATTAATCCTGGGTTTTCCCTTTAAAAAAAGACCTCTGTATCTTTCAATGAAATCAGATACTGTTATGTATCATTCTATGATTGTCTTGCAAACTATATTAATGAAGGTAGGATTATTACTTTGGCTCATGTATCACGAAATGTATCGTCTTGTATCATATCGTAAGTGTCCCTGTGATTCCCCCCCTACTCATGAACCTAGCATCTTATTATTGATATATTGATATATGATATAAAAACATACTCCCTGGAGGTATGAGTTTAATGTATAGTTTTGCAAATTAACTATACATGTCTGCACGTAGTAGACAAAAACATCTTAGTAGCTGGCAACATTTCTGCCTTTTCAATTGCACATCCTCCCGTATGGATCACAAAGTCTGATAGTTTTAGCTGTTTCAGGCGTACCAGAGAACTGTCATCAAATCCTAGTGCAGCTATGTATCTTGATTGAAGTTACAGATGGTTTAATGTCCTTTTAAGCTGAACTAATGTATTTACAAAGGCTGAAAGCCCTCTATTACATTGTGCAGTTCATGTTGCAGATGTTCATCTGTCCTTCCACTGACTCAAGAGTCTGCTAAAGAGTTGTAAAGCCTGACAGGCTTTCAGGGATCATCAGGATGTGACTCATCAGAATAAATGTCGCTTGGATTATCTCCCACAGTGAAGCTTTCTGAGGGAAAAGTTGTCATTTTTGTATGAAAATGACAGCACACACTGATGCACCACAGTTATTCAAGAAATTCATTTAGAAAAGAGTTTCAACCGCCTCCCACCACCCAGAAACAGGAAGTGAAAGTAGTGAGTGGTAAACTTCTTTAAGGAGTGAAACAAATACGTTGGAGCTTACTAACGACAGAAAAAACGTTCCCTCTAAAGCAGCTCAAGAGAGGCAGGCATGGCCTTAGAAGAGGAACGAGTCAACTATTGAAAACATATATAATGTCTTACAACATTTCATCTGTAAAATCCTGTAATGAGAGATCAATTATATCACAATTTCAAGGTTATATTTTGTTGCTTTTTCATAGATTTATTTTGGAGCTTTTTCTGCCTTTCATGTAGAGACAGGACAATGGATAGAGTTGAGAGAGAGAGAATGGGGAACATCATACGGAAAACGCGCCACAGGTTGAATATGAACCCGGGCCGCCTGCTTGGAGGACCACAGCATCTGTACATGGGGCGTACCAACCAACTAACAGGCCACCAGCTCGCGCCAAGTTTGGTTGCTTTTTTTTATCCTCAATTCAGTCTAAATTGAAACCCTTTGAGGTTTGGCCTGCGGGTTTGATCAAATATAATTATCCAAAATGAAGTATATCCCGGTTGATTTTCTCCTGGAGACAAAAGCTGCCTTTAAGGTCCACTTAACTCTGGAACAAATTCCCTCATTTTGACAAAACCAACGGCCTGTGGGTTCATCAAACATCTAACCTTGTGTTGTGTCAACCAGACAGTCACTGACAGATCGTTTCTCTTTACACTGAGCTCTCTAATCGCGGAGCAAATTGTGATGAGACAAATAGAGGAACCTTTTACCTTTCCTCTGACGCTGCACTCAATCCATCTGGATAAAATCCAAATAACACCGCCACTTTTGATTGTCTTTAGATTTTCCTCTGTCGGATGAACCTATCACAAGCTGCACATAATTCTCCCTGTTAGCTTTTTTTCATGAAGTTTATTTCCCGATAGCCCCTCACAAATGAGACACACAGGGCTGCATCTAAAACTTGCCACTTTAATAACTGTAATTGTATTACATCTGTGCATTACCCTGCTTAGATGATGCCACTTAGTCTTTGTTATTTCATTATTGAATTGTAGAACAACTCTTCCTTACAAGCCTGACATTACAGGCTCAACGGAAAGGGTGGGATCAAAA